AGTCAAGGTAGTATGTCAGCCTGTCCACCATTCATGTTCTCTCTGTACAGCCCATCAGTGTTGGATCGTTTGAATGCTTTGCTTGAACCTGGAGGTGTCCTCACTGTCAATGAGAGAGGATTGATAGATGGATCCACTCCTACCATAACACCAAACCCCAATTTCAGGTATTTGTGTTTCTTAATTTTCTGTACTAGAATCTGCAGCCCTAAGTAGATAAGATAGACAGGACCTCCTTATACATTATACTCAAGATACTAAGCTAAAAGGTCATAAATTTACTTGTTGACAAAGTTAAAACAAGTATTATAAAGGCTGTACTGTTTGCTAGGCACAGCTAGGCTCTGGGGACACAGCAGTAAATGACAGGTGAGGTCCCTTTCTTGGGTTGGTGGTGAAGAGTAGAAGCTGGGAGACCAGTCATAATCCTTCTTTAGTGTTCAGGCAGGAAAAATTGGTGACTTATTGTAGGGTGGTCAGATACGTGGGACTTACTGCCAGACTTGTGAGTTGAGGAAAAAGAAAAGGCAAGGATAAATTTAAGCTTTTGTCTTGAGTTATTTGGCAAATGAGGGTGCAAAGGAGCAAGTTTGGTTTGGGGAAGGTCATCTGGGAATCAGCTGTTTAGTTTCAGACATCAGTGTGAGATGTTAGATAGCTAGATGAAGATGTTGATGACCATTACATGTGTGAAACTAATTGTTACAGGAGAATACACTGCTCCCTTTTCCCTTTTACTTTCTGTAGGTGAGTTAAAATGATGAGTCTGCGCTGCCTGATTTGGGGAATATTTGAAAGTAAGATGTTCATAGTTGCCAGGTGGTATAAATCCTTTGGAAAGTAGGCTTCGAGAAACTGATTTGCTGTGTTGATGCATGTAGGAAATAGAAGATAGAATGCAGATAGATGGCAGCATGCTTTGCATTACTAACGTGAACTTCCTGGAAATGAGTCATGTGTCATCTGCCCTAACCAGTTGTTGCCAGGCTGTACTTTCGGTTTACACTGAGATTAAACTTTTGTTTTCCTCTCAATTTCCACTTAACTAGGCTTTTTCTGTCAATGGATCCTGCTCATGGAGAAATATCCCGAGCTATGAGGAATCGTGGACTTGAAATCTACATTTCAGGAGAAGGGGATGAGAGCATCCCAGACAACCTGGATTTGAAAGTTCTGCTGCACAGCCTTGGGTTGGTGGGGGACAGTGTTTGTGACATCCTCTTGGCTCTTCACACAGAGACCCGAAGTACTATTGTAGGTGAGGTACTTGACCTCTGGGCCTCTACGAAAATTAATTCCTGTAGAAATTCTTGTTATTCTATTTGACTTCTAGTCTAGGAGTTTACATCTAGTGTGCATAGAAATAGACATTACTAGGAACACCTGTCAAAAATGTAGTGGTTCAGGCACCCTACGTAATTGAGTTTAGCACATCATGAGGCACAGGGATCATTGGTATCTTAAAGAAGCTCCCCAAATAAATCATGCATGCACCCAGGGGCCAATATTTGAGTAATTCTGCTTTAGACTCTGAGATTCGTGAGTTTTGTCCCTGTGTCTTTAAGTCATCATTGCCCTCTTAAAAGTGGAATATAATGGAAAGTTTGATTTATGAAAGCTGTGATTCTTGTAAATGTTTCATTATACAAAAAAGATCAATAGTTTTTTGAGTATTTACTGCATATTAGGGATAATTCTGCTTATTTATTTACTTCTGAAGATTTATTTCCATTTAAAGGTAAAGCTCAGTGTGTTTGAATAACTTGTCAAAATTAGTTAATAACTGCTGGGATTCCAGTGTATGTCTGCTGGATTTCAAATCCTGTGGTCCTTCTTAAGAACATATTCATTTTGCCATTTTCAGTGTGTTAGCTTGAGATTAAAGATAAGTATGACTAGGCTTTATCAACACCTGTGAAGGAGTACCCACAATTCATGGCAGAGAGGGAGAAGAAGGGAGGGCAGAGAGGAAATAGGATAAGAATGTTCCCATAAGTTCATTGTGCCTCAGGAGATGCTGGAGTCTACTTAACAGTTTTCTAAAATAAGTACCTGCCTGGGGCTGAGCAGAAGGATGTTTGATGTAAAGGCAGAATTTATCCATTTTCATCAGGTTTTAAAGACTTTTGCTCAAAGATGGCCATGTTTTCTCTTTATAGGTTCTCCAACCTCTTCTGTGGCTACTCTAATTCAGACAACCATACTCATTGTCCAGTACCTGCAGCGAGGGCTGAGTTTAGACAGAGCCTTTTGGGAAGCATGCTGGGAAGTGTATGTCAACTCCCAGCATTCAACAGAAAACCAGAAGGTACTGCAAAGTGTTTCAGACAGCTCTCTAATTTATAACACTACATTATTGAGGAAGGTGAAATTATTTTTATGGATAGCAACTTAATGACCTGGGAGAGCTGGCCACTGCAATTTTGCTCCAGTAAAGATCTGGTATTCAGGTACTTTTCTGAAAGATAGTTTAAATGTAAATATTCTTTTCAAAGTGATCTTTCATCAAGAAAAGTAGAGATTATCTTGTGGTGGTATACTTTATAAAGAACATTTCTGACACTTGTTGGGAGATGGTCATTTGAACATCATACCTTTCTCTGCTAGTGTTTTTGGTAATAACACTTAAGTTGGTGCCTGCGTACCATGTTTACTTCTTACAGGTTGTGCAGGCTTTGCTGGAGAAACACATTTCTTGTCTACAAGCACGGGAAACCTGGGGAAACTCCATTCTTGCCATGGGGTTGTGGCCAGATTCTGTGCCCTCAGCTCTCTTTGCTACAGAAGATTCTCACCTCTCTGTTGTCCGAAGTGATGGGCAGATCCTGGCATATTGCCTCAATAGGATGAGCATGAAAACCAGCAGCTGGCCGAGGTAAGCAGCTTGTCTTGGAGGTTTCTTGCCTGTTTTTTGCTTTTTGCTAATAATAACAGCTAGGATATCGTATGTCCAACCGAGCATTACGTGGCTGTTTCTTACCCAGTTGTCATATTACCATTATCTATCATGTTATCACTCTTAATCACACACTTGCACAGGGTGGGGAATTTAACCCAGGGCCTTGTGCATGCCGTGCATGTTCACCATCAGCAGCCCTAAGTATCTTTTCATTGTCATCTTTTGTTAGGGGACTCATCTTTTTCCCTTTACCTGTTTGATACAGTATTTGCAAAATTATTTCCTTAGTTCTTTGAAATGTTAAGTTGACCGTTGTTTTATTACTAACTTTGCCCATTCCAATGACTTTCAGGAGTCAGCCTCTTACTTTGCAAGACTTAGAGAAAATTATGCAGTCCTCTAACCCCGAGAACCTGAAATTCAGTTCGGTAGAAGTGGATACTTACTGGATTGATGAGCCAGATGTTTTGGCCATGGCTGTTAAATTGCTCATAGAAAGAGCAACCAATCAGGATTGGATGCTCAGAGTTAAATGGCTTTATCATTTAGCCAAAAACATACCACAGGGACTTGGTGAGTAGAAAAGCTTAATTTGTACAATGAAGGGATTTGTATACGCTTATCCTGGTTAAGTGCCTCAGTAGCTGTTATTTTGGGACTACTCTGTTAAAATTTTAGCTGAGAAATCTCTGCAAGAAATTTATGATATAGTACTATTGTTTTTAAGCTTTGTTAGGTGCAAGTTTACCCTTAGATGTATCACAAGAGAAACTTTTTTCCAGTGTAATCCTCAGTATTTCTGGACCTGTCTACCTTTCTATCAATTTCAAAAAGAAAATGTATACTATGTTACTGTTTAGCTTTAAACATCTGATTTTTTTTTTTTTTTTTTTTGGCGGCTGTGTTGTTATTGCACAACCATTCTGTCTGGGAACAGTGTTGCTTTTGATCAATCAATTTCCCTTTGCATAAATTAAAATGCATAAGATTCTAATCTTAATACCAGCACTCCAAGTTGTCACACTTATTTTCTCTGTAATTTATTCAAAGAGAGAGAAAAAGGAATAACAGCAATTTTTCCTAAGTTGTAAAGTACAGCACATGGAATTTGTTGCTAGAAATTATTGACTGAAAGAAAACCGCATTTACACCAACTTTTCTATCCCATGAGAATTTGTAGAAAAGCCAATGAATGTGTCTATTATTAAATGACACATATGTGGTGATCTAAGTATGTGTAGAGCGAATTTGTGTACATATTTTTATCTGCAGTTTATATAGTAGCTGCTGACCACAGGTAATTTTACAGAAAGTTATATAATTATGTATAAATAAATATGAGGTGATTGACATTAGATAACATCTAAAATCCAGTCCCTTATTCACACTGGCACATTTCAAGTGCTCATGTGTAATTAGCAGCTGCTCCATCTGACAGTGCAGCAATGGAACATTTTCATCATTGCAGAAAGTATATTTGGACCACATTGCTTTAGAGTCTAACATTACTTCTCCTTTCTCCTCAGAGTCAGCACAGATTCATTTGGAAGCCAGTGCTACATCTCTTAGGAATTTTTATTCAAATTCCCTCTCTGTTGGGATCAGTAATATCTTCAAAATATTGCAAGCAAATATAACAGGTATGCACTGCTTTTGGTTTCTAGCTTTTGGCACTGTTTTGGAAATTTGTCCTTTTGAGTCATAGGGAAAAGACCCACTGTAACAGAATTCTTTAGACGACTCAGAATATCCAGATGCAGAGTTCTTTTACTTGTTTGAAACTATTCACTCATCTTTCAGCATCTGAAGGAAGCTGGGGAAATACAGTATACTAGAAAGAACATAGGGGTTTAAAGACTATGCTCAACTCTGCCATAAAATGGCTTGTGGAGTTTTAGCTCATCGTTGTCTGTGTTTGAAAACCACAAAGGTTAAGCTCATTTTTCTGAGCTCTTACATGTTTAACATTCAGTTGTTCACTAGTACTTGTTAGTAGGAAGAGTTACAAAGGATGAAATATTTGACTTAAAGGGAAAGTTGTACAGCGTCAGTTACTTCAGATAATATAAAACTATAATGATAAAAGTTAGGAACTAGCCTTCATGATAAAGTTATCACACCATAATAATTAAAGAAATAGACAGCTGAGTTCTCTAACCAAATGAAGTGTTCAAGATGGCTGAAGTAAGTGTTAATGAATAAAATAGGGACATTTTCCCAAAGCCAAATTTTAATTAATTTAATTTCGTTGGTGACCAAAATATACTATTAACCATTTGGTTTGGAAAAAATGTATGAGATGCTTTTGTGCTAACCTAATTACTTTATGTATACTAAAGCTTATAAGTGAATGTTTATAAAGAGATCCAATAACAATGAGAACTGTAGTGAACAGGTTGTGGCCGAACAAAATCACAGCTTTCCAGTTATGACAGGATCGTAGTCTTCAGGAACAGAGAAACATAGTATAGCAGCAGGTTCTGTTTTTTAGCAAACACTATCTTCTGTTGTAACACATTAGCTTTAACTTTATTCTCTTTTTCTCTTGTGTAGCTGCTTGTCTTACTGGACTTTGGAATATTGGTTTGTTTCTTAAAGTACCTCGCCCTTCCATTGGTAGTGTACAGTGTGGTGGATGGTTCTAAAACTTCAAACTGTTCCACTGAGCCACACTGCCTAGCCACTTTCAAATTAAAGTTACTAGTTTTTTGCATCTGACTTCCTTTCCTTGGGTTTTCACCTCTGTAGAGGGCCAGAGGCTTTTCTGAGTCAAAGGTTTAAGGAGCAGCAGCAGTCTCACTCTTTGATTGTCGAGAAATTGGCTTTTTGTATTTGTTTTTGTTTTTTGAGATGGGCTTCACTGTAGTGCTCAGTCTAGCCTTGATCTCTTGGGCTCAAGAGATCCTTCCATCTCAGCCTCCAAGTAGCAGATACTAAATGAATACTGTGTCTGATCAAAAAATATTTTTAAGGAAAACAATCTTGAGTTGTTTTCTTATTGGAGCAGGAAATGAGATGTGTTCATTTTTCTGTCATGTAAGTTAGGTGGATTTTTGTTACTCTTTTGTGGGGAATGATGACAAACTGATCATAGATTTAGAGATTCTTTTCAGACCAGTAGTTAGGTCTGAGGAAGTGAATTTAATGATTGGAATGTTTATGTTCTAGCAGGGATTACCTTTTATATCCTGCAGTGGGATGAATTTTCAGGATTTGTAGATATTTTGAATTTGGAAAGAAATAGGTTAAGAGTTGCTAGATCCTGCTTTTTTAGTGTCCTAGGCTGAAACCCGCAGCATTTCTGTGTTTAACTTCAATGTGATTGGCCTAAAATGATGGAAATATATTCCACTGAAGCTTGCTAGGCAAGACATTTTAACTACACAATTCTTTTTTGTTTTGTTTAGATGACTTTGTGATCCCTCTGGACCCCCGATGGAATATGCAGGCTTTGGACATCATTAGAAATTCAGTGGATTTTGATCCACAAACAGACCAATTTGAGCAGCTCTTTGCCCTTTTAGAATCAGTTGCAAACAAGTAGGTGAAACCTGTCGTTCTGAGCACCATTTGTCTCACTGGGCTCACACATTATAACTTCCCTACAACTGTCAGTTATAGCTTATGCATGTTTAATTTTGTGAGCCTAACAAGTGTTGGAGTGCTAGACATGATTGTCTTCAATCACAGTGTTAATACATGGATTATCTTAAAGTTAATCTTTAATCACAGGACAGTCAGGTTTCTTCTGTGTGATTCCCAGTAGTCGCTCCAGTTTTTTATCTACTCCTTTTGTCACATGACCTTTCCAGAACCATCTGTTTGTCTGCATCATTTCTCATTCCCAGATGGTGGAGTCATGCATAGCCCCTGCATAGATAGGTATACACTCGTGTAAATCTTCGTATATATATATACATGTGTACATATACATACACAGTTCTTTCCTCATTCCTCCCGGTAGTGACTGGGTAGATTTTTTTTTTTAGGGGGAAGGAGGAACTGGGGTTTGAACTCAGAGCCTTGTACATGATAGGCAGGTACTCTAGGACATGAACCACACCTCTAGCCCTTTTTGCTTTGTATAGTTTGGAGATGGGGGTCTTGCTTTTTGCTCAGGCTAGTCTAAGCTGTGATCCTCTTATTTTAAGCTTTCAACCATTGCTGTGATATTGGGCACATGCACCACCATTGTCTACCTTTTTACTATTGAATTGGGGTCTTGCAAACTTTTTTGCCCAGGCTGGCCTCAAATCACAACCCTTCCAAACTCAGCCTCCCAATTAGCTAGGATTAAAGAAATGAGCCACCAGCACATGGCTCTGACCGATAAAATATTTTGCTGTATAGTTTTTGTTTTGCCAATTGCCATCAGTATAACAGGTTTTTTTTTTTACATTATAATTAAAGTATGATGTGGATTACAGGAAAATACCCTAATTATTGATTGTATGATTTTGATGAAATTTCTAAAGTGAACCTGTAACTGTAAGTGTGACATGTCCTGGTACTTCAGAGGCCCCCTTTCTCCCTACTGTATTGCCTTCCCCAGTAACTTCTAACACCAGAGTTTAATTCTATGATAGCTGCTTTGAAGATTCAAAGTATAGTTTGTGAGATCGTGGCAGAGCAACAGAACAAGGTCATATAATCTCCTCTTATTTCCAGGTTTCTCTGTCCTCTTTCTACCTTGGTAGCCATCATTTCTGTCTCTAGTCCAGAATTTGCAGAATTGAGAGGAGCAGGATGTTTCAAGGGTTCACAGGACTCAGCATGTAGAGGAAATTACTAAAAAGTATTACTGGACTGCTAACACGGTTCAGTACTACAGTGCTTGCCTAGCATGTACAAGGACCTGCATTTGATCCCAGCACCCTAATTTATTTTAAATTTTAAAAGGGTATTATTAACCAACAAATAATTAAGGTTTTTAAATCTTACTCCAGGACAATCATCTATCTTGACCGGGAAAAACGCATTTTTACTGAAACGAATTTGGTGTCTGTTGATAGTAAAAAGTTAAGTGTTTTGAGAATGTCTTTTGAATTCCATAAAGGTAAGAACAGTTCATCTTTTGTATTCTTCAGTTAAGCATTTGATTGCATTTTGTTGCTAAAGTTAAGAGATATATTCACCAGCTGCTACTGGTCTGATTCCTTTTGATGTGTTGACTGTTTTGAAATATGTCCCTTACTCAATCATAATGACTTAACATTTACTGAGCCACACCATGCCAGACTTAGCTAAATGCTTTTTACACGTCCTTGATCTCATTTACTTTTTGTACCAACCCTATGAACTTATGAACCAGGGAAGGGGGAGGCATAACGATGCTCGTGAAGTCACACCTTTGTTTGGCAAGTAGCAGACTAGGATTTCACATATAGGTCTGCTGACTCAAAAGTACATATTCAGAGCACTGGTTATGGGAGAGAGCATTTCTCCCTTCCTCCTGAATTTTTTGTTGAAAAGACAGCTTGTTGGAAAAAAGCAACTGTGTAGAAGAGTAAAAACTGAAAGATTTCTTCCTTACAGCAGCTGCTATTAATAATTTCATTTTTATCTTTTATCTTTGTTAACTATCCAAACCTATGTGCACTTGGTTTTGAATTTAAATTGTATAAAATATGCAATTTTGCTGTATAGTTTGCATTTTCCAATAAGACATTACATCTGTAATATATATATTTAATAATAACAGTAGGCACAGTATGATTTTTGTACTAGGACTAATGTAAGTTCCAGAATACAGTTTATTTTGAAAATGTGTAGAGATTAATTTAAATCTGATGGAATTTTTTTTTTATTTATGTCAACTCTTAGATCCAGAGAGCTATCACAGCCTGCCTCATGAAATTGTGGTCAATCTTGCTGCTTTTTTTGAACTTTGTGATGCACTAATCCTGCTCTGGGTACAGTCCCCCCACGGGATGGTGTCTGATGCCACTGTCTTTGAGGTGAGGCAGTGTACCTGTTTTTATTTTAAACAAGAAGACTTGCCTTGGCACAAAGATTCTTAGGGACAGGACTACCTCCAGTGTTACAATATGTCCAATATTACTTCAGAAATCTTAGCTGTCATTAATATACACCCACAAAAGCTTTATCAGGGTATAACTGACTGTTTACAAACTGCATGTATTTAAAGAGTACAATTTGATAAGTTTTGACATGTAGATGACTTTGGAACCACTGCCACAATCAAAATTGCGAGCATATTCTCATCCCTTAAAGTTTCTTCATGTCTTTTTTATGTTTCTTTCCTCTCTGCTGTCCTTATCCCAAACTGTGTAGCCATTGATCTCATTTTTTGTACTGTAGATCAGTTGCATTTTTCTCTAAACAGAATCATGTGTATATGTTCTTTTTGTATATAGGTAAAAATGAACTACTGTTTATCAGTAAGTCCATTCATTTTTATTCCTGAGTAGTGCTCTTTCTGGGAATGTACTACAGTTTATCCATTCACCTATTGATGGACATTTGAGTTAATTCATTTAAACTTTTTTAGGTCATTTATAGGTTAAATGAAGTTTGAGTCCAGATTTTCTTTTAAGTCTAATAAAGTAAACTTTTGGTCTCAGGATTCTTTTGTAATCTTAAAAAGTTATCAAACACCATAGAGAGTTTTCGTTTTTTTAAATATGGCTACATCTATCAGCATTTATCATATTAGAAACTAAAACTGAAAAATAAATTTGTTTAAAAATATAGTAGCAAACATTTTATTAATGTAAGTAATTTGTTTCTAGTATAGTAGCCATTTTCCATATTAAAATTAGTGAGAAGAGTGGAACTGTTTTATATTTCTTTGAGTCTCAGTGTTTGACTTACGAGAGGAAAACTGGATTTTCAGATCTACTTCTGCATTTAGTGGAGAAAATCTGGCTTGCCATAGTTACAAGGTTGAAAAAGGAAATAATAATAGCTACTCCTCGTAATTATGAATATTCTTCCTTAATAGTACTCCACAGACTTGACAAAAAGTTTTGTAACAGTTATTCATGATAGAGAATCTGAAAAACAAATCACTGAATTTAGCTATCATGCATCAAATTACCGGTCTAGGGGCTAAGTGTCCCTAGACCAGTAGTGGTTAAGTGTCTGCCTAGCATGCATAAAGCCCTGGGTTCAATCCCTATTACTGCAAAAAAAAAAAAGTGATGAAAATCATTGGTCTAATTTACATCTTGGATGGACTTTCACCCTTCTGTGAGTTTGTGGCTTTCCTACTAGGGAAATATTGTTGACTGAATTGGCATATTTCATCCTTTAAAAAAGTCACCATAAATTTCACTGGAAAGGATTTAAGTGCTAAGTAGTTGTTAAACTCTTGATTTTCCAAAATTGTGAGTTTTGCTCGAGAACTCAAATTTTACCTTTGGCAACAAATACAGTTTTTTCCTTGTGTATCTGTGGGTTCCATATCCATAGATTGAACCAACCAAGAACCATTTCTGTAGTGAACATGTACACACTTCTTGTCATTATTCTCTAAATATAACAACTGTTTACATAGTATAAGTAATCTAGAGATGATTTTAAGTACACACAGAATATGGGTAAGTTATAAGCACATATTCCATTTCATATAAGGAACTGAGCATATTTTTTTATCCAGGGGAGATCCTTGGAACCAGTCCCCTAAGTTTACTGAGGAGCAACTATGTTCTTAAATGTTTTTCTTCAAGTAACAGGCTCAATTTGTTTATATTCAATATAATTTTTGCCAAATACCTAACCTCAGTTTGTCAGTTCTTTTTTCATGCCATTAACTTAAATATCAGTTCAGTTAAAGCAAATAACATACTGTTAATGAAAAATAGCTCTGACCTCGTGGGACTCTTAAAGGCAACCACTTAAGGGGGAAACGTGGGAGAAACTGTATATAAAATACAAATCATTATTAATTATGTAAATTATTATGTAAGCTAATCATAAGACAATCCAGTTTTGAAGATGAAAAGAAATTGGAATGGATGCTCTTCCAAAGATACATAAATGCCCAGTAAGAGCTTGAAAACTTTCAGTACCGTTAGTTGTCAAGGGAGTATTAACTGAAACTGCAGTGAGGTGCCGTTACACCTCTAACTACTGACTACTGTTGAAATTAATAATGATAGTTGTTAATGGGCAAGTAGTGCCTGGACTGGAAATGGAACAACTGGACAAAATAGCGCTTTCTGAGACATTTTAGTTTCTTTAAAAAAATGACATGTACACTTTACTGTAGGACCCAAAACTTCATTTTCTCTAAAGCAACAGCTTTGTATTTTAAGTACTGGAGGAAAAGATCTTTGCTTTGTCTGCCTACACATATAGCCTAACCTTAGACCTTTCATGTATTTATGTTGAGTGTCACATCCATTTTGGTCTTTTTTGGAGACAGTGTCTTGCTGTGTAGCCCAGACTAGCCTTAATTTCCCAGTGTTCTTGCCTCAGCTCCCATGTACTAAGATTATAGGCATTTGGTACATTAGGTGACTTTTACTGAGCTATGTTTGTGAGCAGTCTTTTTATTTTGTTTGTAGATCTTAGGTTCTGTGCAGTGGCGGGACCGATTTTGGACTGTGGCCGACACAGTAAAAGTGGATGCCCCAGGTCTGGCTTTACTTGCTCTCCATTGGCACTGGGTTTTCAAACATTTCGTCTGTCAGATTCCACAACTTCTAATGAATCATGAAGACAAGTAAGGCTCCTATTTCGAATAATAATATAATCTACAATCTTAAGATGGTTTAGAATTAAAACTGTTTCTTCCTGCTTTACTTTGGTTTATTTCCTTGGCATATTGGTGAATATAATAAAATATGAAATGTAAATGGGTTCTCTTATTATTCAGCATTTCCCTTCTGTCTTTTTCTCCTTTAAAGGTATTATAAGGAGGTTCAGACTGTCTCAGAACATATTCAGAAATGTCTGGGTAGCCCATCTGGTGGCTTCACTGGTTTAAAGAGGTTGCAGAAGGTCCTGGGACGACCATTTCCTTTTAAGGTACACCTGGAAGAATGTGGTAAATGGAAAGGTTTGGTTTCTCCTGGACTTGGGAACTGACATTCAACTGGACTCGTCTTTGCTTCAAAGTTTAACTCTTTATTCCACAAATATTGCTGATTTATGGAATGAATGTTACCATTTTATTTACCCTGAGACTGCTAAGGCCGGATAGAGTTTTGATTACTATAAAATATCTCTAGAGCAGTCAGAGTAAAGAAACCCTGTGTTTTCTAGAAGCATGAATAAAATACCTTAATATTTCTAGTTTCAACATAATCTAGGTTGCTAAAAAGAACCACATTTCAGCTGTCTTAAGGAGGCTTTCCTGGGTTTTATGGTTTCAGGATAGGCTGGTGGTAGAATGTTTTTCACAACTGAAAGTCCTGAACAAAGCCCTTGCCATCAGGGAGCGGATGCCTGTGCTTGGGGAGAGTGAATGTCAGGAAGATATTAATCGTCTCCAAGTGGTTGCTTCTGAATGGACATTGAAGAAAAGTCTCTTGCAGACTGGGGGATTGATCCTCAGAGCTAATATTGTAGAAGATGTCAACCTAGGTAATGTATTCTGGTATTTGCTGGCTGACAAAGCTTGAAAACTGTCATTTTCTTACTGTCATAAGTTTTTCCCTTAGAGTTCCCCTTTTTTTGGATGTAGCATAAATACCATTAAGTGTCATTCATTGGGCTGAACTTTACATATATAGTTTAATTCCATCATTAGAATCATGTAGGAATTAATACTACCATTTAACATATGAGAAACTCAATTCAAGCAGCTTAACTCTGATTAAAATTTAGGTTAAGTTCATAATCACTTTGCCAGCTGTTGGGAATCTAGACCTGGACTTTTGGCTACTGTGCTCTAATACAATTCTTTTTGGTCTGAATTTAAGATGAATTGAAGAATCTTGTGAACACTCAGTGTTTAAAACTAGAAGCCAGAGGACTTTCACTTGGCTTTCTGGAAAAAAAACATGGTGAAGCTTCTCCTCCATTGCAATCAGACTTCACCTCCCTAATCCAACTCATAAGGAGGGTTCAGCTGTGGCCTGCAGTGGAGTACCTGGCTATGCTTTGGCAGTACAAAGTAACAGCTGATTTTATGGCACGGACTTGTCTGAAAATGTAAGCCATTCTTTCATTTACCTTCTTTGAGAGAATGTATTTTCTTGTTAGATTGTGTGTGTTCTGTGTGTATAAGCAAAGCATAGATGTGTCTTGAGGAGGAGTGAATGATTGCTGAGACACAGGGAAGTCACTTGCCACTTTAGTAAGTCAAATCTTGAAGATTCTTTGCTTGTTTTGGCACTAAAAGTCACTAGGTATTTTTCTAATAGAATTGCTCATTTTTAAATAAATGTACCATAAGTTCTTTGTGTTCCACCTTTCTTTCCATCACAATTTTTTAGTGTTCACTGATAGTTTATACTCCATCATCTATCTGATTACTTTTGGAATAGGTCCAGCAAAAATCAACAACCCCAGATAGATGAGGAGATAAGTCATCACATCACATTTTGTCTTAAGCATACACCAGTTTTGCCTCAAGAACTTCAGGGCCTTTGGTCTTTGCTGCATCATCAGAAGGTAAAAATCAGAATCAAAAGAAAAACAATTGTACTTCACTCTGAATTGATTCAATTTTCTTTGGCAGAGTGGTTGAACATTTTGTTTGACTCCAAAATTCCATGTTGTAAACCCCATGCTTAACTGAATTAGGTCTTAAAGTAGGACAATTTTGGATGTCTCCTGGAATAATTACACGGGTGTCACACAGTTATCACAGGAATTGGCTTACAGTTAAATGGGTTGAAAGTATTTGCTTTTTTAAACATTTCACATTTGCTCAAAAATACGAGTTTTTACTCTTCTCTAGAGTATCTGTTGAATGTGAATACTGGTAAACTTTGGTTAATAAAAAATTTTATTAGTACAATCTTAAGTTTGTAAAATAATGTTTCGTTTCTTTTGATGATATAATTGCGTGAACTGCTTTACATTCTATACTTTTTGGTAGGTGTTATATTGAGGTTTGAACTCAGGTCCTTGTGCTTACTAGGCATTAACACTACTACATGAGCTATTCCTTGAACCCATGAATTGCTTAACTGATACTCCCTCATGAAACCTCATAGAAGAGATTTTATCTTAGTTTTATAAAAATTATAAACAGCTTGTATGACTCAGCTAAGATGACTTAAGGGGCATAGAATCAGAAAAATTAGAATTGATACCTTTAAACCTTTGTTAATTTTGATTGATTGATTATCTTTTCTTTTGGGTGCTGGGGATCAAATCTAGGCCTCTACTACTGAACTACATCCAGCCCCAAGCCTGTTAGTTTTAGATAGATCTTAGAAGACAGACTTAATAACTTGTTTTATGAAATCTTTCTCAAATATTCTTTTATCTAATTACTCCATCTCTCTAGGTGTCTACTGAAGAAGTTATTTGTTTGTGGTCTGAATTATTTAATTCTGCGTTTATGTCTTTCTGGAGTAGTACTGTGACCACAAATCCAGAGTACTGGCTATCATGGAACCCTCTACACAGTGTACACCACAGGGAGATACCAAAATCCCTTTTGAACTCCACATTGAAGGTTTGTTGACATAAAATTATAAAAAATGATTGCAGAAATTTTCCTTTCAAATCTAGAAGTAAGCAGTTGAGTATAAATAGGTGATGTGATACTTTATTTTCTGTGTGATATTAATAAGAACAGTGTCAAAAAAGGTACCTCATCTTAAATGATTTGTATAATTTGAGTTAAAGTTAAAAAGTTTCCATTACAAGGGCCTTAGTTTTTGCTGGACATTGTGGCCCATGTCTGTAATCTCAGCACTTGAGAGGGCGAGGCAGGAAGATCATGAGTTTGAGGCCAGCCTCAGCTACATAGGAAGACCCTGAAGTTTTAATTACAAATATTCAAACTTCAGAAATGTGTGTATATTTATAATATATAATTTGTTACAGATAATCATTGCTCTGCACCCTTGTGTTTACATATATTTTCATATTAAATATATATACAAAAATAAGAACTTTGTTTACACATATATCAGGGAAATGTGTAAATGTTGTTCCAGATCATTATTTTTGTTTTTTGGCAGTACTGGGGTTTGAGCTCAGGGTCTTACACTTGCTGGGGTGTAAGACCCCACTTGCGCCATTGTTATTTTGCTTTTGTTATTTTGGATAAGGTCTCACAGATTTTGCCTGCGGTGGCCTTGGACCGCAGTCCTCCTACCCATGCTTCCCAATAGTTGGATTTACTTGGCTTATTTATTGGGGTTGGTCGGGGGGGTCTCACTAACTTATGTCTAGTCTAGCCTTGAACTGTAATCCACTTGATCTCTGCCTCCTGAATAACTAAAATTACATGAGTGAGTCACTGTGGCCCCATGTAATTCTAAGCACTCCCCCCTATTTTTGTTTGTTTGTTTTTAGAATCCTCACTAAGTAGCTCAGACTGGCCTTCAATTGCAATTCTCCTGCCTGAGCCTCCTGAGTATTGGAATTACAGCTATGCTTTAGCTTTTTTTTTAAAGTTACTTCATTATTCTGAACAGAATTTATTTACTTTCTCATTAATAAGTTTTGAGGTTTCTTGCTTTTTCATACCCTTCTTTAATAAGCAAAGCTACATTGACTGACCTTGTGTAATTAGCATTTGTCTTAGTATCTCTGTGGGTAAGTTAATAGAAATCAAATTTTACCCTTGGTCCAAATGGCTACTAAAAAGAAGTATGTTAAAAACATACACATACCCATATCACTCAGTATATGCATATATATATACATACATATGCATATACTGAGTGATAAATAATTCATACAGATAGACACATATGTATATTATGTAAAAACATGAATGGTATGAAATGGAATCTCGGTGTACTTTTTTGTTTTTGTTTTTCTGGTATTAGGGATTGAAACTAGGAGGTCATACATGCTGGGCAAGTAATCTAGCAGTTGAGCTTAACAGCCTCAGCCCTTTTTTGTTTATGTTTTGTTTTGTTTTTGAGATAGGGTCTCAAAACTACCCGGGTGCTTGCCCTGTAGTAAAATTATTTTCCTATATTTCTGTATGTTTTGGGAGATAGATCTGCAATTATTTTCTTTTATAAATATAAAAGGTCCAAAAGCAGTGTACTAATACTGTTTTTGACTAATTCTTTCCCTTTTCATTTACAATGTTTTTTGGTTTTTGGTTTTTTTTTTTTTTTGGTGCTGGTGTTGCTTCACAATTGCTAGGCAGGTGCTGTACCTCTTGAGCTACTTCTGTTATATACTTTATTCCCATAAATGTTCATGGAATTACTTTGGGACTCTATTCTTTTGCTTTATCAAAATTGGGGTTTTTATTTTAAACATTTCTCAAAGACTTTGGTGACAATCCATATGGATTCCCAAGAGTTGCATAGGGTATGTATGTTTCCTCTCATATATTTGGCCCCTTAATCTTTGATGTGAGCAGCTATTATTATGTCTAAGATTAATATTCCAAGAAGCACAGCTTGCCAAGGTTCATATCTAACTCTTACATTTGTCTCCTGATTCTTCCTTCTTCCAACTCTCATCATTCCCCTACCTACTGTGAAAATAGTCTCCCTGATTCCCAGTTTGTGGGATTTTGCATGTAATGCTAAAGTATCCATTGCTCTTCATTTTCTGCTCCTCATTCTGTTAAGGCCTTCTACCACCTGGTCCCATCTTTGGTGAATTTCTACCTGTTCCAGTCAACTTGGATCTCATTTTCTTTCCTCCCTCTAAAAGTTACTCAACTCTTCTCTTGTCTCTCAGGGTTCTGGCATTCTCTGTAGAGCAGTGTTCTCCAAGTGCTGCTTTGAAGTGTTGACCGGCAGTTGCAGAGCAAGCCCCTGGGATGTGAGCGGCCTCCCCATCCTGTCCTCCTCGCATGTCATCCTGGGAGAGTGGGTTGAGAGAGCTCAGCAGCTCCAGGATGTCAGCTCATTGCTTTGGACCAACATGGCTGTCCCTTCAGTAGCAGAGTTCAGGTATTCCCTCCTGGAGCAGAATATTAAGTTCTTGTCTGTTTTCCAGAGCAGGGAACGGGACTTAGTTAGAACTTGCTTCTAAGGTGATTGGTTCTGGTGAGTGAAGGAAAGGGTGGGATTTTTGTTTGTTTGTTTATTTGTTGTTTGTTTGGTTTTTGCATGGTTCACCATATGTACAGTCCATGACAAAGGCTACCATAAGCATGAGTTATCTGGCTCCTCTGTTTAAAACATACTGTGATCAATAAGATGATGCTTGGAAAATCATGTAAAATTTATTTCCTGAAAGAATGGTAGTTTATTGAAAAAGTTGCTGCCAGGTGCCAGTGGCTCATGCTTCTAATCCTAGCTACTTGATAGACTGAGATTGGGCAAATCACATTTTGAGGCCAGCCTGGGTAAATAGTTAATGATTCAGAACAAAATGAACTCTGGTTTTGATACAAGCGGTAGAGCAATTGATAATTGATGCAGTGTGAGTCCTTACATGCTTCCTTACTGTCTCTGCAGGCGCACGGATTCCCAGCTCCAGGGACTAGTGCTGTGCCGGCATCTGACAGGTCTAGCAGAGCTGCTCCCAGAGCCTCGGCGGCAGGAGTATACGCAGAACTGTGAGCAGCTACTGCTTTGGGACAGGCAGGCCTTCCAGTATGTGTGCCAAGCTCTTGGAGACATGGCCAGTCACGAGGCACTACCCAAGGAAGTGCTCTGCCTCTTGCTTACCTCCCTGCACCACTTGTTTGGAGAAGGCGAAAGTAAGAAGAAACTGCCAGAGCCAGCCCTGCGTGGGAGCCTCTGGGTGCACCTTGGCTTGCTCCAGATTCAGACTTGGCTTCCCCAGGCACGCTTTGACCCTGCAGTGAAGAGGAAATACAAGCTTAAATACGCCAAGGAGAAGGTATGGGCATTGAGAGTTAGAAGCATGAGCTCTTTCTCTGACTCCTGGGATTTGCTTAGGTGTCACTCCTTTTCCTCCTTTCGGCTGCTTAGATCATTAAAAGCATGATTTTGTATTAGCTGCCTTGTGATTTCTCATGAGTCTGTTTGAAGACTTCATTTTCCTCTACGAGTTCTTCCAACTGGCTCAGGCAGAAAGCAAGTAGATAGAATAGATGAAGGGAGACATTGTCAGGAAAATAGTGGGCTCTCTCAGTATTCATAGTCCCTCAACCTGAACTAGGTTTTGGGTATTTGGATTTGGATAATTTCTTTAGATAGGATATAGTCCCTATGCCCTAGGTTTTTAGAAATTTTGATGTTTATTAAGATAAATTCAAGAGTCAAGTAGAGTCAAATGCTGTAGTCTCTTTTGCTATTTGAGCCTCTGACCAAATTTGAGAACTGACTGTTTTAAGGTAATCATATATGTACAGTATTTTGAGGAGGGAAAGGCTAGCTGCTCTAGAGGTACTCAAAATTTGTTTCTTTCACGTAATAGCTCTGAAGTGAGTACTGCAAGTTGGAGGAGCACAGCCACTTACTAGGAACCCACGTGCTTTCCATCTTGTTTGTCTGCACGCCCCCAGAGCACTGCTGTCATATGCATGGATATCGCTGGAGTACAGCAGACCATTTGCTCTCTTTTCCATTAGTTATTCCAGCTGCAGTGTGAATGGAAGACCCGGAACCTATCATCCCAGCTACAAACTGGAAGAGACCTGGAAGATGAAGTACTTGTCAATTATTCTCATCCCCACATCAGGTAAGCCAGTAAAATAGTTTTTTGTGTTGGGGGTTATTGACTCTGTTTTTTAAAAAAGGCATGATGAGGTCGACCTTTGTAGTATAATTACAGTTTAGTGAGGTGACAATATGCATCTCTGAACCACATTAGCAGTGAGATCCCAAAGCCTTCGTCCAGGTCAGGAAGAAGGTAAGAAGGTACACTCTACACTCTAAAAGGAGGGGAAGACATTTCAGGGTGTGGACTCACATGAGGCCAAGGTGCTTGAAGGCAGAACTTTTCACCATGAAAGAAACTGGCTGTAACAATTGTACTTTATGTCTCTGCTACTCTTCCTGGCTGTGGGTCTGTTGTCTTAGGAAATACATGATAGGTTGTGAGTTCCAGTCCTTTTCCTGACTGGCTTGGATGTAGGTTGGATCACTTAATGCCATTAAGACTCAGTGCCCATTTCTGCAGAAGAAAAACAGTACCTCTTTCAGTGAGTTGTGCTAAGGCACTGATGAGGTATACATACGCACCCTAAAGTGTGGCACCCAGTGAATGCTCTGTAGATGTTTCCATTTTCATTATAGCTGTCAGTATTTTCCTCATGATATTCCTTAGCAACTGATATGTCTTCATTCTCTTCCTAGCTGAGGGCCCAGTCCAGAGCTGCTGTTCTTTTGACAGAAATTGCATAACGTGTTAATTTGCTTTCAGATTACTTCATGAAAGAATCAGTCAGTTGGAGAATTTAATCCATAGCCTGTCAAAAAAGCAGGCCTTCAGACCCCAACTGCCTGCCTATGAGTCCCTGGCACAGGAGATCCACCACTATGTCAACAGCATAGCCGAGGCTACTGGTGTTCAGGATCTGCTCACAAGGCTCCTGCAGGCCCTCCACACAGATGGGCCACGGTCCTCACAGGTGATCCAGAACCTTCTGAAGGAGGAGGCCTCTTGGCAGCAGTCACACCACCAGTTCAGGAAGCGACTGCTGGAGGAGTATGCCCTGTATCCAGACACTGTGACCCCACTGCATGCATCCATCTTGCAGTTGCAGCATGGAATGAGGCTGGTGGCATCTGAGGTCCATGCCTCCCTCCACAGCAGTGTGATTTGCACAGACAGGCTGGAGGCCCTGGCCTCTGCTGTGCTGGCTTTCCCATCTGTGGGCCCCACCTTCCCCACCTACTATGCTCATGCAGATGCTTTGTGCTCAGTAAAATCAGAGGAAATTGTGCGAGGCCTTGGGAAGCTGACTGTCAAGCATTCAGGAGGAAAGGAGCAGAAAGGAATGTGCCATCAGCCTTGCCCTACCCGTGAGCAGTTGCTGATGAATGCCCTTCTTTACCTGCGTTCCCACGTATTGTGCAAGGGAGAGCTGGACCAAAAGGCCCTGCCACTCTTCAGACATGTGTGTCAGGTAAAGCTGGTTCTGGGAGGCCTGCTGGCCCTTCTTCCTGAGGGGAGCTGGGAGTCCAGCAGGTGTAGAGACTGGCTGGGCAATGCACATTCTATTGTCTGTTACATTCTTTTTCCCTTTAACTACAAGGTTTGCAGCTTTTGACCCTCAGTTTTGTTCATTTGTTTTGTTTTGTTTTGGTTTTTTTTTTTGATTGTTTTGTTTTTGTACTAGGGATTGAATCCAGGGCCTCACACGTTAGGCAACTTGCTCTGACAGTTGAGCTATGTCCCCATCCTGTACCTCAGTCTTCAACAGATTTATTTTTTAAAACATTAATAAGATGAGCCTCTCATTTAGATACACACTGCAGAAATTTTCTCCTTGTTTTGGGCTGTTTTTTCATTTTTTTATAGTAATTTTGCTATTCAGTGTATCAGTTTTTTTAATATTCACTAAAGAGCACTTCTCTTTTATCAATGTAGACAATTAAGAGGATAAATATGAGCAAAATTTTTAAAATAACCTTACCATTTGATCCCATTAGCATATTGGTATACTACATTTTAGGCTATGCACATGTAGATGTATGTCTGTGATAGAACTTTTTGAGGTAATATGTCTCAGTGGTTTACAGATTTTTATTATTTAGTAGAAGTAGATTTTTAAAGTATAATCACCTAATTAGCAGATAAGAGAGTGATGGGTGGTTAAGGTCAATTCTGTGCTGTTTATGGTCCCAATACATCTCCTTAAATAAATTGCTCGAGTTCTACAAACTGTATAGCAAAGCATTAATAAAGTCCATTTTGTTTTTTAAAACTTAGCAGTTCTCGGTGACTATCTCCCTTTCCCTTATGTATTCGTATATTCAGTGTCTGCCAATTTTTTTACTATATGTGTGTGCCATTAGTTATTTAAGTAATTTCCTATCATTGAATATTTATATTTGAATGCATTTTTTATTTTATTTATTTTCTACTGTTTTGCAAAAACTGCCTTAGTTCAGTCTTAAAAATTCTAGAGAGCTGAGGCCTGTAGAATAAACTACTTTCTTTGATGGTAGATGCTTAGATGCTTATTTCCTTGTCCCTCAGCAACACTAGATGCTTTGCTTAATTTATGTTTTTTGCCAATGTAAGGACCTAAAATCTTAGAAGGTAGTAGGGGATTTGATAAGTATCTGGAAAAGCATACTTCAATTTTGCCTGGTCAGTACCTTTGGACCACCTTGTCCTAGTTCAGGTTTTCCTTTACTGCACCTTGGCCCAACTCTTAGAGGTGCCCACCCTGTGCATTCTGAATGACAAACCGCACAGCCAACCTGAGGTTGTACCAGCCTATCCTTGGTACAACACACACTAGCTTCTGACAGGAAGTTATAGGAATTTACGATAGCGAATTTTTAGACCTTTGAAATTTTAACACAGTGAGGAGATAGCTAGGAAACTGGCTGCTGAAGATACACAGTTTGAAATAAAGCTCATTTGCTCTCCATTACATGGCATTTTGTTACTTAGATGTTAGCTCTTCCTTGTTTTTGAGCTATGGTCCTTTCATTTTTGTAAGAAACTAAGATTGGTGAGTTTTGCCTGTATTTGTTGTGAGTGCCTCAGAAGACAGATCAGCTTCCTTCTGCACTGTGACTTTTCAGGAGTTCATCAATGAATGGGATGAGCAGGAACGCATAGCCCAAGAGAAAGCAGAGCAGGAAAGCAGCCTGTACAGATACCGGAGGAGCTCCCGGACAGCCCTGAGTGAGGAGGAGGAGGAGGAGGAATGGGAGTTCCGAAAACGGTTCCCACTGCATGAAAAGGTAGTATGGGGGTGGGAGGACTTGCTTGGAAAAAATTCCTTGATGCCATCCACATACATTCCTTCTGTATGACTCTAGTCTTTTAATATATCCTAATGTTTGTCTTCATTTTCTCTCCTGACTACAAACATATTCTAATTTTTACAAATTTAATTGTTCTAATGCTGTCTACAGGACTTTGCAGATATTTTGGTTGAACCAACGCTAGAGGAGAAGAAAGGAACTTCAGATGGGCTAGAGGAGGAGGCACCCACAGACCCAGCTCTCCTCTCGCAGAGTTCAATGCAAGCGGTGATGCTGATACACCAAGAGTTGTGCCTCAACTTTGCTCGGTCCTTGTGGTACCAGCAGTCTGTTCCACCACATGAGCCAAAGCACTACCTCAGACTGTTTCTGTCTTGCTATCAGACTGGGGCATCTCTTGTGACACACTTCTACCCTCTGATGGGTATGGCAGTTTACTTGTGTTAGACCTTTGGGAAATAAAAATTTAGTAGACATGATTGATTCTCTGGAACAGTTAGAACAATGAATTCACTGTTTTCATGTAATTCCTTATTGATCAGAGGATTTCTTTTAGCTTAAAAAAAAAAAAAAACTATGCTTATTGCTGAAATTGTGGCTCCAGCCACGGCTGGAGCACTTGCCTACAAATGTGAGGCCTTGAGTTCAAGGCCCAGTACTGCCAAATAAAATAAAAGAATTTATGCTTATTTTAAAATTCAATTCAAAATTCTTCAATGAGGTGGATTTTCATTTTTTGAGTCCTTTGAGGAAGGATATAGACTTAGTTTACATTGCTTTTTTTTCAGCGTTATTTCCACTTTCCATATAATAGCCTTACTGCTTTTCTAATTTATGGTTTTAAGTATGAGAAGCTGGGGAATAAACCCAGTGCTTCACATATACCAGACAAGCATTTTACACTGAGCAACATCCCCAACCCCTAAATTCATATATTCTTGGGAGCAGCCTGGGAACTCATAATGTGGTTTGATAGTGGTTGGTTACATGCACTTTCCTGTATGGCCTCATGACTTACCCTGGCCAAGTAGGAAGGAGGCTTTAAATTTCCTTTCTGTTTATCCAGGACAGCTACAAAAACTGGAAATTCAAATGCAGCAAATCAAATTCTATCCTCTTGTTTACCCCTAGGCATACCTGACTTCCTGTGTATATCCCAGAATGTGGGGCTGTTATGCTATTAAGCTCACAGTTAATCTGGGCCAGTGTTGCTTTGGGAGAGAACACCAATTAGTTATTGTTTGTGACATCTTGGTAACTTGTTGATAAATTACCTGAGTTTGCTAGCTTTATCATTGACAATCTTGTTTTACTTCACAGGAGTTGAGCTGAATGACCAACTCTTGGGCAGCCAACTTTTGGCCTGCACCATCTCCTATAACACTCTCTTTGGGGAGGCACCTTCAGACCTTATGGTGAAGCCTGATGGGCCCTATGATTTCTACCAGCACCCCAATGTGTCAGAAGCGCGGCAGTGTCAGCCTGTGCTTCAGGGCTTCTCAGACGCTGTCAGTCACTTGTTGCAGGATTGGCCTGAACACCCCGTGCTTCAACAGGTAGGGCAGGTAGTTGGGAAGGGATGAATTCCCGTGGGACCTACTCTGCACTGAGGATGCAGCCTTACATGATCTCCAGGGGCATTCACTTGCACATTTGCACATGCAAAGACTTAACTCTGGAAGATACTTCATACTCAATTGTTAGAAACTTTCTCATTGCTCTTGTATAAATGATGCTCAGGATTTATGTTAATTTTGTTTCTCAGGAGTTATTGACCACATACTAAAATGTTTCCGTGTTGCTCAGTTTATTCAGATACGTAGTCATGATACCAAGGACCTCATGGATGTCTTAAATGTTCTTAAATGTTCTAGGCAGTTTCTCTAGGGGCATAGCTCAAGAGGTACAGCACCTGTCTAGCAAGTGTGAGCCCCTGAGGTCAAGATCCTAGTTCTGTAAGTGAGTGAGTGGGTGAGTGAGTGAGTAAATAAATAAATAAATAAATAAGATTGGCAGTTTCAACTCAGACATTGCTCTGGTCTTCAGCTAATTTTATAATTCTTACTTTAAAATGCTAAATGGACCAAATTAAAAAAAATGTTTATTCTTAGATGGTAATTACATAAACACACTGGAGTATACTGTACAAGTTAGTGATAGAAATATAAGTGGTAGCATAACCGTTTTGAGTCATACCATTTATTGTCTAAGAGACGACTCCTGGTCACAGGGCAGGCTCCCTTAGCCCTCACTTCTCAGCACTATGCATGCTGACAAAGTCTTGTAGCACCTGCTCCTCTGCCTCTCATCTTATCTTGGTGGCCTTTCACTGGAAGCGGCCTTTCTTTTCTAATCCTCTGTCTTCTAACACCTCAGCCACCCTGGTTCCCAGGTTCTCCATGTCCTTAGGTAGCCTTGCCAGTAAGAAAAGTGCAGTACCTTTCTTGTCTCCCATGTTTAAGAGCAGGAGGGTCTCAGTTTCAGAGATTTTAATCTGTCATGGGATAGGAGGACGTTTGGAGGCAGAGCAGGTCACATCATTGTGGCCAGGAAGCAGAGAGAATGCCTGCGCTCTGGTTTTGTAATAATTATTATTACAGAGAAAAATAAAGGACAATTATCTTGGCTAAGAGCTGTGACTCACAACTATAATCCTAGTTATTTGAGAGGCAGAGATTGGGAGGGTCTCAGTTCAAGGCCAGCCCCAGCAAAAAGTTAGTGAAGCCCCATCCCAACCAATAGTTGGGCACAGTAGCATGCGCCTGTCGTCCCATCTACATGGGAAGCATAAATAGGTGGATTGCAATCCAGGCCAGCCTAGGCAAAAATGCGAGACCCTATCCCAAAAATACCTGAACCAAAAAGGGCCAGGGATATGACTCAAGTTGTAGAGTGCCTACCTAGCAAGTGTGAGGCCCTGAGTTCAATCCCTGGTACCACCAAAAAAAAAAAAAAAAAGTAATTACCTTGTCAGACCCTGTCTTATTTCCAGAATAATGCAGCTTATAAAGTGTTTAGCTTGGTCAGGTCCACAGCCCTGGAAGTTTTCTTCCAGTTTTCGGAGGTACTTTCAAAGCAGAGTGAAGTTCCTGTTAGGACACCAATAGCCCGTGATTTTGAGTTACTGATACATGTCTTGAATTGTGTTTTTTTGTTTGTTTTTGTGTAGCTTCTGGTTGTAATGGACAGGATACGTAGTTTCCCACTTTCCAGTCCCATTTCAAAGCTCTTGAATGGCTTAGAGATCCTTTTGGCAAAAGCACAGGTAAGATGATTCTCTCTTTTCCTTGTTGCAGTTTGTAATAAGTTTCACAGATTATTTCTCTTTTGTACCCTTGTTAGAGTAACAGGAAGTTCTAGTTAGGTGTGGAAAAAGATAAATATTCTTGCTTTTTTTGGCATGAGGTTAAGATTAATACAAATAAATTGGTTACCCCTGTGGTGGGGGTAAGCTGCCTCTCTCATTTTAAGGGTAAGACATGGCTTCCATTGATACTGAGGGCTCACAGTGCAGGACATATAGGCGAACCTTCAGCATGGATGAGTGTCTACCTATGTCATCTTCCTTAATCCCCACACAACCTCTGAAGTGGCTACATGACTTTGTTCAAGGATAGCTGGTAGCAGGAATTCAGACCCCAGTCCAAAAATCCTGTGCTTTCTACTTTTAATCTTGGCTCTACTGCAGTTGTGTCACATCACCAGAAAGACCTTTAAGATGGATGTGCTGTATATAAACTTATCATTACTATCAGTAAAAGTTGTTTAATGGTCTAGTAATCGTCTCTCAAATAAAGTCCATGATGTTACTGTTGGTGGAATAATGGCCATAATAAATTCTTTGTTTCTTAGGATTGGGAGGAGAATGCAAGTCGAGCTTTGTCTCTGCGGAAACATCTCGATTTAGTCAGTCAGATGATCATTCGGTGGCGTAAGCTGGAACTGAAGTGAGTGCCTCTCCCTCCCCTTCCTGAACTTAGGTATTTATTATCTGTTGGTAGATTTTCTTCAAGGTTTTTGTAGTATTAGTTACCTAATGTACTTTTCAGCCCTTAGTTACTGAGTTTAAAGCTGGGCATTAAAATGATCTTAACAGAGGCCATACATTTTGAGGCAGCAAACTAGGTGGCTTTTCCATGTCCACTTGTGAGAATAGTGAGTATTTCATCGGTGATTCCAAATATTTCAAATAGATTTGCCTACATGTTTCCATGGCCTCTTCTTTCATGTTTCAGCTGCTGGTCCATGAGTTTGGATAATACTATGAAGCATCACACTGAGAAGTCCACCAAGCACTGGTTTTCCATCTATCAGATGCTTGAGAAGCACATGCAGGAACGAACAGAGGAGCAGGAAGGTAATGCAGGTGACTTGTCCATACTCTAGAGAACCAGTCATTTTGCTGAAGTGTTTTTGTTCTTTATGTCTGTGAGAAAAATCAAAATGAAGTTTGCCTTGGTGTAGGTATTAGTTAAGTTAAAAGTGTTCCATAATTTGCTGTGAGTGCTTTTAACGCATAACCTTGTAAGCAGCTGTTACTTATAAGTCACGATCCTTGCTTCAAAGCTTCACTTTAGTTGTTGTCCTTACCTTATGGCTATCCCTTGATGAAATCTATAGTAGGTTGGATGCATGTTAGGAATAGGGAGTGATGGTTAAAGGCACATTCATGTTTTCTTCTTTCATTCTCTAAAGATGACAAACAGATGACCCTGTTGTTGCTGGTCAGCACACTACAAGCATTTATTGAAGGATCCTCACTGGGGGAGTTCCACGTACGACTTCAGATGTTACTGGTTTTCCATTGTCATGTCTTGCTGATGCCACAAGTTGAAGGAAAGGGTGAGATTTTTTTACCCTTTCTTTTACATTGCATTGTTAAGATGGGTTAGGACTTGAATGCTCTACATGAGCCAGGTATGTGTTGCACCTTTAAAATCTAGATACTCTAACTTTAGCAAGTCATATTAAATATAAAGAAGAACATTCAGCATGAAGTACCAGTTGATTTTAAGTGAAGTAGTGACTAGTGAGCCCAGAAGTAAGTTGCCTCTTGAAGCTCTCAGGAACTGGCATGTCGAGGCAGCACATCTGCTAAGCTGCCACTTGAACCAGGCCATTATTGTGTTCTTTGATCTAGTGAGAATGCTCTGTGTAAGGAACTGCACATAAAAATGCTGTTCTCATTTACTACATCAAACCACAGCAGGTTTTGGATAAAGCTGTTGCTAAAAAATGAGTTCAGTTATAAATGAGTGATAATTAGAATGAATCTTTTAAATAGGTTCAGTGTCTACTGATTTTATAGGTTTCAGAGAAAGAGTTTGGAGTAGTGATTTTAGTAGAACGTCTCACGCTACATAATCTTTCAGAATAGAGCAACAAAAACTGCTATCAGCTGAGATGACAAATAGGATTGTGTTGACTACCTACTTCTTTGTGAACTGCTATACCCAGAAAGGCTTCCTAAATAATCTGCCTGTGAACTGTGCTGTAATCTTACGGTGTAATGAGGAAGGCTCATCACTGAAGCCCACAAGTAGCACATGTAGCAAGTGTGGTGTTCTTGTTTCCTTTTCATATCTTCCAGATTCACTTTGCAGTGTTCTGTGGAATTTGTACCATTATTACAAGCAATTCTGTGACCGGGTCCAGGCCAAAATTGTAGAACTTCGATCCCCCCTAGAAAAAGAACTTAAAGTAAGATGAACAAAATCAGCAAATTCTTTTTCTGTAGTTCTGTTCTTTTATCCATGTATCAGTGAGACAGGGTTATGGGGACTAGAGGCAAGCATTGTGACTGCCAGATAGGACAATATTTACACTTGGTGGTGGTGTCCCCACTGGTGACCTGACCAAGTGTGTGAGAGCTGGTGGAATGGTCCTGTCAGAGATTCCTTGAAAGATTGTCACAAAAGTCTGTTTGTGCTCCCCTGGTCTTGTCCACAGACTTCATCTACCTCAGAGGCATGCCGTGTCATGTGGCTCCATGTGCCACTGAAGTGCCAGGTGGAAAGGAGGGGCCTTTCTTTGATATGGTCAATAAAAACTGTGGTTCTGGGACTGACCCTGGTATGAGGGAATGACTAGCTCGATAGTTTCTAAGCTGGAGTACATATCAAATGGCCTAATGGTTGTAGCAGTACTCTTTTTTGATTGCTTTGAGAGAAGCACATGATTCCTCTTTTAGACCTACTGTTCCCTGACCCACAGTTCTGTGTTTTGGATGAAGAGGCCTCTGGTCTTTGGCAAACAGACAATCTGGGGAGAAACAGAATGATATTAACTTTATGAAGCCTTTTCTTGAGCTTGTTTATCTTTCAGGAATTTGTCAAGATATTGAAGTGGAATGATGTCAGCTTCTGGTCCATTAAACAATCTGTGGAAAAGACCCATAGGTAATTTATCTTTTGAAAGCTTGAGTCACCCAAACTCATAATTTTGTGTGGTTGGCGCAGCAGGACTGCATTCTTAACCATAGCTTGACTTAAATATAAATACCTTGAATTTCTGAAACATCCACTAGATTGTTTTGGTGTGGTTTTCCAACACCACCCCTTGCTACCAAGAACAAAATCTACATGCAGGAAGAATGGGTATGCCTTGAAACAGAGCAGGCAGTGTAGCCTGGAGGACTGATACTCTGCTGCCAACTAGCTGTTTATTTTAAGCAACGCAACCCCATTTCTTGCTTCCATGTTCACTTACAGAAATGGTAAATGTAGAAGATAGTACTTGCCAGATTTTTTCTCTTAAAAAAACTAAAATGATTGCTAATAACTAAGAAGATCGTTGTATACAAAAGGTGTAAATTATTATGTTATGTGTATAAGCCTTAAAAGCTTATAAGCTTAAAACTATAGTTTTAAAATATTTCTTCACTTTCAAATCCTCTCTCCCTTCCCCGCCCTACCTCCCCCATCCCTGCTTTACTACTTGTGGTCAGGACACTCTTTAAATTCATGAAGAAATTTGAAGCTGTCCTGAGTGAACCCTGCCGGTCTTGCCTGGTAGAGAGTGATAAGGAGGAGCAACCTGACTTTTTGCTCACCGATGAAGCCGCACGTGAGGTGTCTCCAATTCAAAGTCTGAACCGAGCTCTGAGGGAGACTTTGTTAGCCCGGCCAGCAGCTGGGCAGGTACGAGCTTGTGGGATAGTGTGCCAGTCAGGTGGGATCTGAGTTTTATGTGTTAAGGAGTATGCTGGGAACTAGACAAGGAAATGCCTTTGAAATTCTGATTTTTGGATGTATATGACATATGTTTGCCTGACCCTGCTTGCACAATTAGGCAAAAAACATTAATCCTATTACTAAAAGTTTAATGTTAGCTTGTGGGAAGTAACTGTTTTGCTTATCTGTGGACATTTCATATACCTGTGAGGGAGGATTTGAAGCATCAGTTTAAGAATATGCTAATGAGGCTACCTTTGGGCTGCCACATGAGGAAGCTGTTGCACAGGGGTAACTATGCAGTAATGCACTGGTTTTTAGTGACTGCTGGTTACTATGGTGGCTTATTTCCAGTACCATTTTGAGTTGGTTTGCAAAATTCCTAAAAATGGAATCTTGATAGAACTCTTGAGTGAGCCAGTCTGCTCTAAGATGACTGTTCTGCTTCTTATCACTGAGTGTGGGAGCTCCTGTATTGGAGAGTACTCCATGAGAAAGTAAACACTTTTCGCTTCTTACTGGAATTCACAGAATTAATAGTAGAGGACCCTGAACTGTTTTAATATTTTAGTAGTTCAAAAAGCATAATAGAAATTGCATATAGCCATAATAGGACTTTACCAATACCATATGGCTGCCAAATTTCTGTGGACTATATTTTTTCGGCTCACTGCTTCTGTCATTCTGGTCAAAAATTTTCATTTGCTGATGATGGGAGCATAGGAACTTTAGGGAACCTTCAAGGAAGGAAATGGTGAAAGTATGTCCCAATGGATGAAAAGTCTTTATTTTTCAATATCTTAGCTCTGGATATTTGAATGGTTGGTCAGATATTGGAGGATGAGGGTAGATGATAGCAGAAGTAGGATTTGATGGGCTGCTTTTGCCTTGCTTTTGTGTCTGAGAAATACTGTGGCTCTAGTACCACAAACTGTATTATTCATTCTGGTGGGTTGATAAGTCAGAACCTGTCAAATCTCCTTGCTGGGTGGGGGGATCCTTCTGTTGCAGTGGCCTCATACAAAGTAGTAGCCTGTATTAACTTTAGTGCTACATTTGGTCTCGAGATTTCTGAGATGGCGATAATTTTATATTTTCTGAGCGAGGGATGTATGTGTTTGCACGTACAGTACCTATGCATAGGTACTAAATTAAAACTGTTATTGTCATTCTTGGCAGTGGGACTAACTGTACTCTGTCTCATAGTTCACAGTTCCAGAACAGCGTCAGAGGGCTGGTCCTTTCTCCATGGAGGGGGAGCTCCTGTGTCGCTTGCCGAAGCTCTTGAAACGCATGAAGAAGATGTGCCTGACATTCATGAAAGAGAGCCTTCTGCCTCACCTAGTGGAGGGCCTAGATCAGTTCACTGGTGGGTGCCAGCAGTTAAGGGCAAGGGTGGGACCTCCTCTGTCTCTTTTCCCTACTGACTCAGGATGGCTGAGTATATGGTACTTAATGTCTTTTGTTCACAGGTTGTACAGTGTTAAACAGTTAATTGAGTAAGTGAATGGGCTAAAAATAAGCAGAGTTCAAGTACTGGAGCTCCCTAGCACTCAGTTCCTCATCGTATTGTCCTCAAATATAAATTAGATGTGTTAGATCTTTTTTTTTTTTTTTTTTTTTGAGATGAGGTGTATGCTGCCCAGGCTGCTCTCAGACTCCCGAACTCAAGTGAATCTCCTGTGTCAGCATCCTGAGGCCTGGCCATTTTCTCTAACGGCCTTGTCATTACCAGTTCTTGCTGGCTGGGGGAATGGGTAAAGGGACATGGAGGTAGATTTCTCAGAGTCTGTATTGTGAACATCTCTCAGAATGTCTCTCTTGAATTAAAGGAAAAGTAGTATTTACCCACAGTCCACTTGCTTTCTTTACTTCAGAGGGGTGAGGGGATTTCATTTTCCTGGCTGTCTTTAGTTTGGGTGAGAAATGAGAGCCAAGATCTTCTCTGTAGTTTAACAGAGCAGTGACTGGGAAGGAAATTTAGACTTTAATAAATGGCTTGGGGGCTGGGAGTGTGAGTCAGGTTGGTATTATGCTTGCCTGGTACGTGTGAGGCCCTAAATTCAGATCCCAGTACCACCAAAAATGTAGATGATTTGAGTGCTTGGCAGCCTTTTACCACCTCCCTCCTACTTTCACCCCCAACACTAACCTCAACCCTCTTGTGAGCATGATGGCTCAGAGAGGCTGCAGCCTGGTGCCAGGGGACTCTTGATCTTTACAATTTAAATAAGACATAGCTTACTATCCATTGTTTACATTGACCTGCCATTGAGCCCAAGGGGAAGGGTGAGTGGAACACAGGCCATGTGCATCTCCTAGAACAGGGATGTACTCTGTGTGGTGTAGAGTAGCTTCTTTTCTCTACTAACCTTTCCACTGGGCAGCACCCTCATGATACAGTACCCATGTTTGTTCGGAAGGCAGCATGGTCCTGTAGAAGAACTTGGGTTTGGGTGTCGGGTAGGCCAGGGCGGAAGTCCTGATTCATCTACTTTGTAGCTGGATGGCCTTTGGAAAGCAGCTAGACTTTGAGTCTTCTTTAAAGTCTATGAAATGGAGCTGCAAATAGATGCTTCTGAAGTTGTGCAGATTAAAAGAACATTTAGCAGGTACTAGCTATAGGGTGGGAACTTAATACATACTGCATCAAAAATTTCCCTAGGCAATTAAAATGCCTAGTATTTCCATGCATCTTGACCAGTTCGTGTTCCAACATACAGTGAGTGTTCTCTAAATCCTAGAGACTGTGTTAAGTACCCAGATACAGAAACAAATGGTGTCTGGTCGTTGTTCCACAGAAAGTCCTTGGTATTGAGTAGCATGAACATATTAAAAAAGGCCCTGGGATTTTGTGGTTTCCCTGTAGGTGAAGTGATTTCATCTGTAAGTGCCCTGCAGAGCTTGAAGGTGGAGCCCTCTGCAGAGAGGGAGAAGCAACGATCAGAAGCCAAGCACATTGTCATGCAGAAGCAGCGAGCTTTGTCAGACCTCTTTAAACACCTTACAAAAACTGGTAAGGTTCTTGCCTGAAACACTGAAATACAATCACCACTTTTGGAGGAGAAAAATAAAATGGGTGGTTTGAGACAGCTGAGACAGCAGAGAACAAAGTGGCAGGCAGGATTTTGGAATACCATTCTAATTACATGTAGGAAAATCCTATTATGAACTGTTGATTCCCAAATATTTTCAGGTATTGTTTTATTCATTTATTTTTTGGGGAGGTGGGGGTTGGGTGCTGGAGCTTGAACCCAGGGCCTTGTACATGCTAGGCAAGCACTGTACCACTGAACTACATTCTTAGTTTGTGAGTCTTCTTAAAGTGTGCATGGTAGTCCTGTTTCAGGCTTTGTGGGTCAGGGTGTGAATTGAGTCTACCTGTCTTTCTCACTGTGTAGACCTGGCCACTCTCAAACTCTTGATCCTCCTGTCTAAGCCTCTCAACTATGGGAATTAAGGCCTTCATACCTCTGCCCAGCTACCTGAATTTGCATTTCTGACAAGCTTCCAGGGGATGCTCTTTACAGGATTTTGCTTTGAGTAGCAGAGATGGTGGGGACATAACCTTTTCTCCCTGAATTTCTTTGCTTAAACAAATGATACATATTTCCTAGGTTTATCATATCGTAAAGGTCTTGCCTGGGCCCGTTCAAAAAATCATCAAGAGATGCTTCATCTTCACCCATTAGATCTCCGGAGCGCATTGTCTATAGTCAGCGGTACTCAGGAGGCGAATTCTAGGTTGGTTTGTTTTTAATAATAAATAGAGCAAGTCATTTAAGTCTCATCATCCTCACTTGCCAAAATAAGGGTAGCAGTGTTTGTCTGGTTGTGACTGTAAAGATTAAGAAAGGTGGTTTTATAAAAGCACCTGGCTCAGGATCTGGTAACTGGTAAATATTTAATAAGTGTTCCTTTTCTTCTTTGTTTCTCTTTCCTTCTTGAATTCACCTCTCCTGTCTTTGTTTTTAGGGTACTGGGGATTGATCCCAAGACCCTGTGTGTGCTGAGCACATTCTCTACCACTGTGCCGTACCCATTGCCTGTGTGCTCTTTTTCTGGTCTTTTGATTTTTCTTGAAGTTTGCTTGCTTGATTTGAATGTATAACTGGAAATCCCAGAGAATGGCCTTTTTTTTTTTTTTTTTTTTTTTTTTTTTTGCCGCCTCTAATATAACTAAGTTCTAAAATATCTTAAAGAGTCCATAAATGTTGGAGAAAGCTGTTTCTGTGTACTATCCATGTGGAGGTTTTTGTAAATGATGATTACATGTTTTGTTTGCTTAGTGCCCTCTTAGGGCTTCAACTTTGAATTTAACACAGCATTGTAAAAATGAGAAATTTTTTAGCAACAATCTTGATTTTTAGTTTTTCAGGAGAATTTGCCAAGTGGGCTTGCATTCCCAGTCACCAGGTTGGCTGGTATGAGGTGCACCTCTGCTTTTTCTTTTTCTTTTTTTTTTTTTTGAGCAGCACTGGAGTTGAACTTAGGGCCTCACACTTGCTAGGCAGGTGTTCTTATTGCTAGAGCCACTCTGCCACCCCCTTTTTTTTTTTTTTTTTGTGGTGGATTTTTTCGAGATAGGATCTCTTCAACTATTTGCCCAGGGGTGCTTTCTTTAAACCATGATCCTCGTGATCCTCCTGAGTAGCTAGGATTACAGGTATAAACCACAGGTACCTGGCTGACCCTCTGCTTTTGACAGGACACATGCTCTGCAGTTGACTTTAGTATTCTACTGCCTCTGTGGCTCCCCTCATATTGAAATCAACTGTCACTACCATATATCATTTTGTGCATGTCTGTTCTTGATCATTTATGTTTTCGTCCTAGCATACTTATAGCATGAGAATTTACGACACCCAGCCTCCACTGCAAAGATAGTTACAAAGATTTTTTTGAGGAAAGCATATTATCATCATTATGTATTTCCCCATGATAGTAACAGTTCTAAGTATACAGTATATCCCCTTGTATAAAAGTCTAATGAGTGTTTGAGTGAATGAATCCTCCCAGAAAGTAAATATATTCTAGCCGTTGACTTTTGTTGTGGCCAGATCTGCCAGTCTCTGAGTCTCTAAGATCTGTGGTGGGAGCTTGTGTTTTTAATGAAATAAATCACATTGATTTCTTTTCCAGCCTGCTTACAGAAATTGCTTCTTCGTGGGATGGATGCCAGAAGTATTTTTATCGTTCTCTCGCACGGCACACCAGGCTTAATGCAGCCCTAGCAACTCCTGCCAAGGTAGAATGCCACAGCATGACAATTGCACAGCCCAGGGAAAACTCCTGTTCTATTCTTCCCAGGACGCCATTCTCAGATCTTGCCAAGAGGACTTGACCAAGCTTTTCTGTAGAACATCATTAAGCTTTTAATAATTCAATGGATTTTTGTGCTAAATCATAGCGCATCTTATGCTAAATTCTATTAGGTGCACTTGCTGTAGAAACAACAGAATGAGAAAAAACATGGAAGAAAAACTTCCCATTGAAAAATGTCATCTTAATCTTTTTTTACCCTTGTGAGTTGAGAAAAGACCACTAATATCCACTTTTGGTGTTAAGCCTCATTTCTTAACACCTCTGTGGAGGCATAGGGAACCACCATTCGAAAGCACATATGCAGCATGTCCACAACTTGTATAAACAAGAATCTTGAGATAGTATTCCATGAAATAGGTTTTTAGTGGAGCCTCTGTGGGTGGTATTTGCCAGCAATACGTTCAGCATGCTTTTCCTTCTCCCTCTGGCAGGAGTTGGGCCTGGGCAATGTTGAGAGGTGTAAAGGGTTCTCAGCACATTTGATGAAGATACTCATCCGACAGCGCCGTTCCCTTACCACGCTGACTGAACAGTGGATCATCCTCAGGTATCAGCCAACAAGTGTGCTTGGAGCATAAGTTAGGAAGCTCTCTAAGTCAGCTCAGAATTACTGCATATCATGGGAGCAATAAATCCTGCTCTCACCTGTGAAATGAATTGGAGGCCAAAAGTGGCTCTGCTGGTTTTATTTTTGTGATAGGCCTCTTGGCTCTGGCCCCATGCTCTGTCCACACCTCTAGTGAGAATGAGACCTAGGGAAATGAGTTCAGGGCTTGGCCAAGACAGTGAAAATTGTAGGTGAACTACACCTGGGTCTGGAATGAGAACATTTTTTGCTGAAATTCACTGTGGGCTGATAGATGGCTGTATTTATGGAGTTGGAGCATCCTAATCACTGGGCACAGATCAGAGTTGAGTATGCTTCTGTTAGTGAGGCTGTTGCAATCCCTGAGTGGCAATTTGTTGGAGCCACATAGGAATGTTCCTCAATGGAAATGGATAATTCAAGGGACAGTTAGGAAGGCTGTCATTACCTATTAAGTGGATTCTTGACTGAGGGATATTTCCAAACTGTATTCACTTCGGCTTCAGCTCTTCTCTGCACTGTTCATTGGGGTTTATTTAGCAAACTAGTACAGCATTTATACATTTACTAGATGATAATAGTAGCTGAGATCACTGTAGTGGTATGATTGTGTTGATGGGGCGATAGAGGGCTCAAAGGATTAGGTGATAAACCATGAGTTTTGATACCTTTCTTGAAAGACTAAAGGATGTATTTACTTTTATTCTAATCTATATGAGGGATTCTTCCTTTTTTTTTTTTTTTTCTTTTTGTGCTAAAAAAAATTCAAGCCTAGGGCCTTTAGAAGACTGGTGAGCCCTGTATACCCTCAGCCCTTTTCATTAATTACATGCTTGTTCAGAAGCATACAAACAGATTAACTTTTAAAAACAACCTGGTAACTTAGTTAAAGGTGCCGTTGTGTTTTGTCACTGGTTTCTTTGCACAGGAACCTCCTTGGCTGTGTGCAGGAGATTCACAGCAGGCTGACAGGACCCCTAGCCTTCCCTATGGCCCTCCCGCCTCAGGATGGTGTGCAGCAGTGGACAGAGCGGCTGCAGCACCTGGGCATGCAGAGCCAGATCCTTCTTGAGCAGCTCTCCTGGTTCCTCCAGTGCTGTCCTAATGCAGGGCTGCCCAAAATCCGTGGCAGTGCTCCAGTGCTGGATCAGTCTTCTGCCCCCAACCTGGAGGGACTGGAACTGACCAGTGGTCAGTTGTCTACAGCTGTGCCAGACCTAATGCCTTCTGATCTGAGCTACCCATCCCCGGTACCTGGAAGTCAGTTGCCTTCTGGTTGCCGGATGCAGAAACAGGACCAGCTTTGGCAACAGTGTGTTGCAGGGTTAACAGAGATGCTGCAAAACATTAAAACAATGAAAGCTGATATTGACAAAATTAGACAGCAATCTTGTGAGACACTCTTTCATTCTTGGTGAGTATGTCTATGTCTTTACTCTTCCTTTGTGTGCTTGGGTGCTTGTTCAGAATATAGTCATGGGATAAAATTATGAAAATAATTGTGCTTCAGTTCTCTGTTACTCAGTGCATCAGCATGGCAGTTTGTGATATATGTCTAGCAGTAAACGCTCAAGTACAGTGGGTTTTATCCTATGCACACTTCAGTGATTAAGGAGTGGGGTCTGTATGTGTATATTGTTTGTAGCTTCTTACTTCCAACATTATGGCATTTCTGTTGCAGGAAAGATTTTGAAGTTTGTTCTTCTGGGCTGAGTTGCCTGTCCCAGGTGTCAGCTCATTTGCAAGGCCTAGAGTCCTTGTTCGTTCTTCCAGGAATGGAGGATGAGCAAACAGATCCACAAATGGCATTAGTTAAAAGTCTGGAATATGTAAGAGTAGAAATCAGTAAAGCTGTAGATGACTTTACTACTTGGAAAACACATCTGCTCATTTCAAACAACCAAGGAGGTAAGGAGTGTTGAGTAAGGGTATAAAAGCCCAACATAGAAGTAATGTCTTAGAGATTTAAGACTGGTGTTCTTTCCTAGATTTGTACCTGTCTGGGGTTCTAACCAGTGGTTAGAATCCACAGGCCTCATTGGTTCAAAAGCCTTGTCTTTAGATGGTCATCAGGTTGCATACTTTGTAGTAAGCATCTAGGAAAGCAGTACAGGGTTACTTGTCTGTTTCAGTTTTCCCTTAGGCTGAAAAACTTGGGGCTGGTATGTGGGCTAAGGTGGTGTTTGTATACACTATCTTAACTATTTTCCAATTTCTGACATTCTTTTTTGCTAAAGTATTTTAATACAAGATTATAAACATGCAGGCTTATTTAGGAGGCAATTTGTTTTAATTGTTTTTTTCTCCAGCATAGCTTGAGGCAGTGGCTCACCAAATAGTAACTACTTAAATTGGTGGCCATTTAGTAAAATAACAAGTGACTATTGTTGTTAATAATTTACAGAGGCACCAAAGATAATGATTGGTGTTTTTTGTTTGTTTTGCAACATACTAGGAAACCAGATGTTGGATGAAAGCTTTGTTCAAGATTTTTCAGAGCATGTGGAAACTGCCATCCGGGTCATTCTCTGTGCCATCCAGAACTTAGCAGAAAGCAACAGTAAAAAAGCAGAGGAGAGCACTGACCTGGAAAGGCCCCAAGAAGAGAGTGGTATGTTTGAAATCAGACAAAAACTAGTTTTATAGTTGACTTAATTTTTGTATTTACTTCTGTGGTTAAACAGTTAAGGATAGAAAATAGAAGACTTGGCATGAATGAATGCAAGTAAAAGGGCTTATTTTCTGTTGCTCATCATTTTTTTTTTTCTATGAATGAAAGAGAGAGCAGGCTTCAAGGAACTGCAACCAGGACATCTAACAAAACTCTTAGAGGATGATTTCTGGACGGATGTGAGCACTTTGCATGTGCAGAAAATAATTTCTGCCATTTCTGAGCTGTTGGAAAGGCTGAAATCCTATGGTGAGGATGGCACTGTATCAAAGCACGTGGTAATCAGCTGTTTTGTTTTTATTTGGTTTTACAAACTTCTTGGTTCTTCAGAATGAACTGAGTAAAGGCAGAGTAAGCTTCACAGTAGAGGATCCCAAAGCAGGCTCCAGTCCCCAAATCCCTAAGAATGTGCTCCATTTCCAAATGTATACACCACTAACAAGTTTTTAAAAGCATAGTATTTGCTAGATAAAGGTTATAACTGTGAAATGCATAGTTGCAAAAATTCTATCCATCCAGGATAATCTGCTATTTTAGGATTCTTTCACATCTCAATCATCACTCCCAAGTATCTGATGTTAGTGGTAGATGTTGCTGCTATCATGGACACTTACTGGTCATTCTGTGTGAGCACAATCCCCTTCACAGGAAGCCAGCAGAGTAGAAAGTTGTATTCTCTGTGGTAAGTCCAGAGAAGAAACTTATTTTGTAGGACACTGTGTGTTATTCTGTAGCACTAGCACTGCTTCTAATGCCAGCTTTGATTTCCTAGTAGAATTTATTTAAAACCATTATATTTGTTTAAAAAAAAAACCTTAATTAAATGAGACTTCAGTGACTGAGAATTTAAAGTGTACTTTTGTGAGAATTTATGTAAGAAAGACATCTCAGTGAGTTATGATGTTAAAACATACACAGCTTGCCACTAGTGACTGAGCATATTTATAAAGTTGCACAACTTTTCCACTTCCCTAGTTCTTGAACATTTTTATCACCCTAAGAGAAATCTAACACCATTGTGAGCCAGTGTTTTGATTTGTCTTGCCCCCAGCTCTTCCACCAGTCCTGCTGCTTGCTAGTACGCCTGGTGCCCATGCTCTGCACCTTCTCAGACCTCATCCTCTTCTTCCTGACCATATCTTTGGCAACTCACCGGAGCACTGCGAAGCTGCTCTCTATGCTTGCTCAGGTCTTTACAGAACTTGCCCAGAAGGTAAGGACCATTCACATGGAACAGCAAGACATCCAGATATTCCATATCCCTCAGTGTTGGGTTTGATGGGCTTTTATTTTATACTCAAATAACAGGAGGTAATTTTTCTCTCCCCGTGGGTTTTGGGGCTTTGTCTGACACCTGTTTGCTAAACCTGTTTCCAATAAAGTCTTGGAACTTCTTTTCCTCTCCCCCTCCCACCCCCCACACAGATGAATTCTCAACTCCAGGGACTGTCTAAAGTTGCTGCTTTCATAACATAGTCTTCCAATTTGAAGACTTCAGATAACTTGAGCTAGACCTGTAGGATTAATTCTTAAGATTATTTTCTTCAAACCACTTATATGTAATTATGAGTAAATGATGAAGGGGCTCTTGGTATTAAGAAAATGGTTTCTCTTTAATAAGGAAGTTGCTCTTTCATTCAGGCATGTACCTAGTACTATGAAATGCACCACAATTTGGAGTTGTAGACCCTGGCCTTCAAATCTAGGGGCAGGAAGCAGCTCTAGCAGGTGCATCATGGTGTAGAAGGTACAGTCATGGGTGTCCACTTCTTGGACTTTGAGTTTATTACTTAACATCTCCCAGCCTCAGTTTCATTTGTAAAAATGCATTTGGTAGCATTTTTGTGAGAACCACTTTGAAATGAGTATAGAAGTTTCGTTTCTTAGATCCAAGATTTTTTCCAAATCTAAGTACAATACAGATGAGGTTTGCTTCAGGAAGATAGGACTTCACAAATAGAAGATGGGTCTGGAGTTAATATAAACACTCAAAAACTTAGTTTAACCTAGGCATGGTGACACATACCATTAATTCCAGTTACTCATGAGGTGGAGGCAGGAGGAGGATTGCAAGTTTCAGGCCAGCAAACTTAATGAGACCTGTTTCAAAAACAAAACAAAAACCAAGACTCTAACTCAAAACAAAAAAGGGCTGGGAACGTGGCTCCAAGTGACAGAGCACTTGCCTAGCAAGTCAAGGAGGCCCTGAATTCAAGCGCCAGTACTGCGCAGAAAAAAAGGTTGTGGAAGGAGGATTTTAGTCCAATCTCTGAAATGCTGTAGCAGGATTAAACGTTATCTAGAGAATAAATGCATGTATCCATTGAATGATCAGGGATTGATTCTGGGTTTTGTCTCCTCTGCCTGATGGGCACTGAGCCAGTTTTATCTCATCACTTGTTAGAGAAGACTCTGTTCAAAATATGCGGGCGGGCAGAATAGTGTATAATAAGGGTACCTTGAGATTTAGGTCAGTTATCTTTATTCATGTACTGACAGGCTTTAGAAAGTCTTGGCCTGTCAGACCTGTGTGCTTTGGTATGGGGGCAGGGCCTGGGCATGGTGCACATAGGGCGGCTTGTTGGAAGCTCTCTGGCCATCCCAGTTGTAGCTACTGTAGTGGTGTGCCCTGAGAAGGGCATCTCAGTCTTCTTTGTATGTTGTCTCATTCTTCTGCCCACATCCAGGAACACTTCTTTTAAAATAATGCAGCTCAGTGGGGAAAATTGCATAAGTTAATCAGAGTCCAAACTGTATTCATAGCTGTTTTGTGTAAGGTGGAGGGAACTTTAAAGTAGGTTAAGCACAGTACTTCAGTAATAGATTTAGGTTGTAATTAAAGCACTTAATCCACAGAAAGCTATTTCCTTGTAGTGAAGTCACAATCAGCATTCACTGGTCTTGGATCCTAATTCCTTGTTAATTGGCAACTCTTTCTGCACCCTCCCCTGCCCCCACAGTGTGGGGGTTGAACTCAGAACTGAACTAGGCAGACACGCACCCACTTGAGCCACGACCCCAGTCTGGCAGTTTATTTTTTAAGTACGTTTTTGTCCTCAGATTGACAAATTCTTGGTAGTATATATTTTCTTCTACAAAGTTAAAATTTCTATATGATTTATATATGTTACATATAGAGAGAAACAGTGTAATGAAATTCAACCACTATTTATAAAGGGTAACGAAAGGGATGACTATATAATGCAGACAGTGAACTTGTTCGGAGCACACTGTATGCACATAAGGAATTACCACAATTAAACCCCCTCATGTTATTACTGCATGCCAATTCAAAGATAAAATAAAATTTAAGTATATATAATAAATTAAAATTTCTGATTGAGAGCCATTACGTTCTCTTTACTATTTACTTTCCATCCAAAGGCTAGTAGTTTTTTTCTGACATGAGCCCCCCTGCTTTTCTTTTTGGTACTGGGGCTTGAACCCAGGGCCTGCACCTTGAGCCACTCCACCATCCCATTGTTATGATGGGGTTTTTTTGAGACAGGGTCTTGCGAACTATTTGCCTGGGCTGGCTCTGAGTGACACTTCTGAGTAGTTAGGATTGTAGTCGTGAGCCACCAGTGACCAGCAAAATCATTTTCTTAAACCTTCATGAATGTTACTGGGTCTGACTGTTTCTTCTCTAGACTTTGTTCTGTCCTACCTCAGTGACTTGCTCCTAAATACTACCTTCTAACATGTCGTTTAGATTTTGTCTTGGTAGAGTGGTAAATTAGCATATATTAGAGGCCTCTACAAAGTCAAAATTTCCTATATTAAATCTGATGTCAGCCTGTGAAACTTGCATAACTGTTACTGCCAAAGAGGAAAAGAATATGAAAGGTGCACTGTACTTCCGGCAGACTATAATGGCTTTAGATAACTAACAATTTGTTTAAATTCATTTTTCCTATGATAGGACTAGAAATGCCTTTGTAATTGCTTTGTGCTTAACTGTTCACTTCATTTTTTTTTTTTTTTTAATTTCCCCAAGGGATTTTGCTTGCCTAAAGAATTTATGGAAGATTCATCAGGAGAGGGAGCAACCGAGTTCCATGACTATGAAGGAGGTGGAATTGGAGAAGGCGAGGGCATGAAGGATGTGAGTGATCAGATAGAAAATGAAGAACAGGTATGTTTCCATGGGTATGAAATGGGTATAGAGATTACAAAAGCTGGCTTTTTCCTCTTTTCAATAGTTAAGTCACACTAAATGGTTTTTATTACACCAGTGGTTTTCAGACCGACCTCTGGTGTTGTAGAGATAATGGAGCTTGAACAGTGAAGATAAATAAAAAGCCTAAAGCCTGCAGGAAGGACCTTTGAAGCTCAGTCATCAGTTATGGCTATAGTTTTAGTGGGAATGACTTTTGCAATTTGTTTTTAAATGGGGAGATACTTGATAATGATTCTTATACAATATTTTCAAGGATAAAAAGCTTGGCTGTTAGAGATAATAATTGTGTTAAACAATAAAGCCAAAGTTTGCTGTTAATAGGGTTGTTCTTCTTTGTCTTTAAGACATGTTGAAATTCATACATCAAGAATACTTTTTTAAATGTTCAAATGCTATGGGATATGATTCTTGTTGGATTGCATTTTAAAATGCCTGTCTCACTTGTGATGATGTATATGTGTAAACAAAGTTCTTTTTTTTTTTTTTCCTACCTGCTCAGAACTAATGCTTTTTTTTTTTTTCTTTTATTATTCATATGTGCATACAAGGCTTGGGTCATTTCTCCTCCCTGCCCCCACCCCCTCCCTTACCACTCACTCCACCCCCTCCCTCTCCCCCCCACCCCCTTAGTACCCAGCAGAAACTATTTTGCCCTTATTTCTAATTTTGTTATCGAGAGAGTACAAGCAATAATAGGAAGGAACAAGGGTTTTTGCTGGTTGAGATAAGGATAGCTATACAGGGCATTGACTCACATTGATTTCCTGTGCATGTGTGTTACCTTCTAGGTTAATTCTTTTTGATCTAACCTTTTCTCTAGTTCCTGGTCCCCTTTTCCTATTGGCCTCAGTTGCTTTAAAGGTATCTGCTTTAGTTTCTCTGCGTTAAGGACAACAAATGCTAGCTAATTTTTTAGGTGTCTTACCTATCTTCACCCCTCCCTTGTGTGCTCTTGCTTTTATCATATGCTCAAAGTCCAATCCATTGTTGTGTTTGCCCTTGATCTAATGTCCACATATGAGGGAGAACATACGATTTTTGGTCTTTTGGGCCAGGCTAACCTCACTCAGAATAATGATCTCCAATTCCATCCATTTACCAGCCAATGATAACATTTCATTCTTCTTCATGGCTGCATAAAATTCCATTGTGTATAGATGGAATTCGTCAGTGGTGGGGCATCTTGGCTGTTTCCATAGCTTGGCTATTGTAAATAGTGCCGAAATAAACATGGGTGTGCAGGTACCCCTGGAGTAACCTGTGTCACAGTCTTTTGGGTATATCCCCAAGAGTGGTATTGCTGGATCAAATGGTAGATCAATGTTTAGCTTTTTAAGTAGCCTCCAAATTTTTTTCCAGAGTCCTTGTACTAGTTTACATTCCCACCAACAGTGTAAGAGGGTTTCTTTTTCCCCCGCATCCTCACCAATACCTGTAGTTGGTGGTGTTGCTGATGATGGCTATTCTAACAGGGGTGAGGTGGAATCTTAGTGTGGTTTTAATTTGCATTTCCTTTATTGCTAGAGATGGTGAACATTTTTTCAATGTGTTTTCTGGCCATTTGAATTTCTTCTTTTGAGAAAGTTCTGTTTAGTTCACTTGCCCATTTCTTTATTGGTTCATTAGTTTTGGGAGAATTTAGTTTTTTAAGTTCCCTATATATTCTGGTTATCAGTCCTTTGTTTGATGTATAGCTGGCAAATATTTTCTCCCACTCTGTGGGTGTTCTCTTCAGTTTAGAGACCATTTCTTTTAATAAACAGAAGCTTTTTAGCTTTATGAGGCTATAAACTTTCCTCTCAGAAATGCCTTAGCTGTGTCCTATAGGTTCCGGTAGGTTGTGTTTTCATTTTCATTGACTTCCAGGAACTTTTTAATTCCCTCTCTTATTTCATCCATGATCCATTCTTCATTAAGTAATGAGTTATTTAGTTTCCAGCTGTTTGCATGTTTTTTGTCTTTACTTTTGTTGTTGAGTTCTACTTTTACTGTATTGTGATCAGATAGTATGCACGGTATAATTTCTGTTTTCTTATATTTGCTGAGACTTGCTTTGTGCCCTAGGATATGATCTATTTTGGAGAAGGTTCCATGGGCTGCTGAGAAGATTGTATATTGTGTAGAGGTTGGATGAAATGTTCTGTAGACATCTACTAGGTCCACTTGATCTATTGCATATTTTAGATCTTGGATTTCTTTATTGATTTTTTGTTTGGATGACCTATCTGTTGATGATAATGGGGTGTTAAAGTCTCCCACAACCACTGTGTTGGCGTTTATATATGCTTTTAGGTCTTTCAGGGTATGTTTGATGAAATTGGGTGTGTTGACATTGGGTGCATACAGATTGATGATTATTATTTCCTTTTGGTCTATTTCCCTTTTATTAGTATGGAATGTCCTTCTTTATCTCGTTTGATCAATGTAGGTTTGAAGTCTACTTTGTCAGAGATAAGTATTGCTACTCCTGCCTGTTTTCAGGGCCCATTGTTTTGGTAAATTTCTTCCAGCCTTTCATCCTAAGCCTATGCTTATTTCTTTCGGTGAGATGGGTCTCCTGTAAGGAACAAATTGTTGGATCTTCCTTTTTAATCCATTTCTTCAAGCGGTGCCTTTTGATGGGTGAATTAAGTCCGTTAACATTAAGCGTTAGTACTAATAGGTATGTGGTGATTCCTGTCATTTAGTTGTCTTAGTTGTTGGAAGGTTTGATTGTGTGTATCTAAGTTGAGGTTACTCTCTACTGTCTTGCTTTTTCTTTTCCTGTGGTTTGGTGCTGCCTGTCTTTTCATGGTTAAGTTGGGTTTCACTTTCTGTGTGCAGAATCCCTTGCAGAATCTTTTGTAGTGGTGGCTTTGTGGTCACATATTGTTTTAGTTTCTGCTTATCATGGAAGACTTTTATTGCTCCATCTATTTTGAATGATAGTTTTGCTGGGTAGAGTATCCTGGGGTTGAAGTGATTTTCATTCAGTGCCCGGAAGATCTCACCCCACATTCTTCTTGCTTTTCATGTTTCTGTTGAGAAGTCTGCTGTGATTTTGATGGGTTTACCTTTGTATGTTACTTGTTTTTTCTCTCTTACAGCCTTCAATATTCTTTCCCTAGTTTCTGAACTTGTTGTTTTAATGATGATATGTCTGGGATAGTTCTATTTTGATCTGGTCTGTTTGGTGTCCTGGAGGTCTCTTGCATCTGTATGGGAATATCTTTCTCTAGATTTGGGATATTTTCCGTTATTATTTTGTTGAATAGATTACGCATTCCCTTCGCTTGCACCTCTTCTCTTTCTTCAATGCCCATGATTCTCAAGTTTCGTCTTTTGATGGAGTCAGTGAGTTCTTGCATTTTCTTTTCACAGGTCTTGAGTTGTTTAATTAATAGTTCTTCGGTTTTTCCTTTAATTACCATTTCATCTTCAAGTTCTGAGATTCTGTCTTCTGTTTGTTCTATTCTGCTGGATTGGCCTTCCGTTTTGTTTTGCAGTTCTGTTTTGTTCTTTTTTCTGAGGTTTTCCATATCCTGGCTGGTTTCCTTTTTAATGTTGTCTATTTTTGTCCTGAGTTTATTTATCTGTTTATTCATCGTGTTCTCTGTTTCACTTTGGTGGTTATACAGTGCTTCTATGGTTTCCTTTATTTCTTCTTTTGCTTTTTCAAATTCTCTATTTTTGTTGTCTTGGAATTTCTTGAGTGTCTCCTGTACATTTTGGTTGACCCTATCCAGTATCATCTCTATAAAATTCTCATTGATTACCTGTAGTATATCTTCTTTTAAATTATTCTTGTGGGCTTCATTGGGTCCTTTGGCATAGTTTATCTTCATTTTGTTGGAGTCTGGATCTGAGTACCTGTTTTCTTCATTCCCCTCTGGTTCCTGTATTAATTTTTTGCTGTGGGGAAACTGGTTTCCCTGTTTTTTCTGTCTTCCTGTCATTGTCTTTGGTGTTGTTATTGTCCCTGTACTGTGTGCAATTAAGTATTTTCTAGCTTGTAATAATAACAATGGTAATATTTAGAATGGAAGGGTGAGCTGAGATGGAAAGCAAGAAGTTAAAGAAAAGGGGAAAACATACACAGACAAGAAGGAGAAAGCAGAACAAGGTTTCAGACAAGAAAGTTTCAAAGGTATAAACAGGGAGCGTTAGTGTACTAATCGACAGTAAGCTGAACAGACATTAGAGAGACAGAGGATTGAAAATCAAAAATAAAAAAGATAATAAAAATAAAAAAACAAAAGAAATATGTATATATAAAAATGAATTAAAATAAAATGGAAAATAGAAAATTTAAAAAAAAAAAACGAAAAACCTCCAAGTTCAAATGCAGTGAAGTTTCAGTCTTAATAATTTGGGTGTCCATCTCAGTCTCCAATCCTGGAGTTGGTGCCTCAGATGTTGTTCTGTAGTTGTCTCATTAAAGGGGGCGCATAAAGTAGAACAAAGCTATGCGCACACACACACACACAAAAACCCACCAAGTGTTCCAAGTTCAAATGCAATACAGTTTCAGTAAGTTTTTCGGCTTGCAGGTGTAATTCGGTTGTTCTCTCATCAAAGGTAGGGAGAAAAAGAAAAAAAGCATCTGGAGGCAGTTCTGAGAGTGGTATCTGCAACTGTGGCTTGCCTGCCTGCTGCTCTCAGCCTGTAGCTGGCGGCGTTATTTATGCAGATCTCTGGGGTGAGCTTAGCACTCACCTGGTCCCACAGGCTTTGTTTGCTCAGAGTTCTCCTGTGCGGGAGCCTCTGCTACAGGCTTTTCCCTTTCCAAGCACTGGGAAAGGCGACACTGCCCCGCGTTGTCAGGCCTGCGTGTTTATTTACAGTTCACGTGGGAAGTGGGTCTTCCCTCCTCTCACAAGCGTCCCCGCTCCTGGTTGCTGGGCGCGCCCTGCTCCCGCCAGAGCCTCTCCGGCCCGCCCGGCTCGTTTATTTACAGTCCCGGGAAGGATTCCCTTCCCCCAATCTTCAGCGCTCAGGGCGCCCCACCCTCTTTCCAGCGTGTCTTAATTGTTCTTATTGTTTATTACTCAGTTTCTCTTTTTTCCCGGGTGGAGGTCAGTCTGTCCAGGGGGCTATGCTGCTCTGGCCCAGGCTTGTCTGTGGGGGAACCGCGGTACCTCGAAGCTCACCTGGTCCGCGTCTTCCCAAGCCGTCTGGGCGCCGGCCACTGGCGGCCCCGGGGCCTCCTCGGTTCTCCGTTTAACGTGAAGTGGAGATTCTCTGCGCTGGCTGGAGATGTGGAGGAGTCAAAGTTATGCCTTTTCTCGGTGATTATGCCTGCAAAGTGTGTCTCCAGCGTCTCTCCAAGATTTCACTATAGGAGGCTCGCTTTCTGCTCCCTCCCTCTAGCCGCCATCTTGGAATCCCCCCAACAAAGTTCTTTCAGTCATTTAAATTAACCAACACTGACTTGAGGGAATAAAAGGGAATTTTTTTTTACCACTTTGAGTCTAAATCTTACACACATAAGTCTGTGTGTAAGATAGAGTTACAACTATTAGGAATAAAGGAGCAAACTAATCCAAACTGTTCTCTTCTGCGGCAGGGAAAAACTGGAAGAAACCAAAAGCTCTTCTGGTATTCTTGTGGAGCTATTTTTTGTTGTTATTTTAGCATTTTGTATTTTCACATTTAACTTAATCAGCATATATTACTTTTCTCAGTAAAAGCTATGCAAGCTTAATAGAAGCAGTCTTTTAAAGCAAACATTAAGTATGATGAAAAGCTATTAGAAGATTTGGCAGTATCTGCTAAATTTAAATTATATATATATATATTTTTTTTTTTTCTTTTGATGGAATGGGGGTTTGAACTGCTAACAAAGCAGGTGCTCTATGACTTGAGCAACACCTGCAATCCATTTTTCTCTGGTTATTTTGGAGATGGGGGTCTCATGAACTATTTGCCTAAGCTGGCCTTGAACCACGATCCTCCCAAACTCAGCCTCCTAAGAAGCTAGGATTATGGGCATGAGCCACTGACACCTGGCTGAGTTATGTATATTCTTTGTTCCAACAAATTACATCTTTTCTTAGACAAATTCTAGTAAAGGTCAAAGATAAATAAATATGTGCAGGTATGTGTTATATATATATAAGTATTTTACTACAGCATTCTTTATAGTGGTAAAAATTGTGAAACAACTCAAATATTCACCAGAAGGAAAGTATTTAAATTGCTATACCATTCGTGTGGATTGGTACTATATATAATTATATAGTATGTGATGGATCTGTATATATTAACAGAGAAATATACATGATAACACTTCTAAGTTAGAAACGCAGTTTGCTTAATAGATGAAGCATGGTGCTTTTTATAAACTATTGTGAGGTACATATTGATATACTCCACCTGTGTTTCTACATATGTGTTGGTGTATTTATGGATAAAAGTTGAAGATGGACTAAAATGTCACCAATGATAATTTCTTTGGGAGTTTTGGAGGGTGACCATGATAGTGGAAATTTTTTCTTCCTGTTTTGTTCTAGAACTAAATAATGAAAATTTATTATTTTGTATCTTTAAAAAAAAAAGGACTTACAAACTCAAAGAGATAAAATCATGAATGTTTTTCCCCAAAAATATAGATTGTATAGGAATACATAAATTAAGGAAGCTTGAACAAAATTATATTCACAGTGGTGCACTATCAGAGATTAAAGTGACAAAAATATATATTAAAAATTTGTGGGTTTTGGGAGGGGGCATTTTGAAACAGAGTCTCCTAGACTGGCCTTGAACTCATGATCCTTCTGCCTCAGTTTCCAAGTGCTGGGATTATAGGTGTGCACACCACATTCAGCTTGATTTTTTTTTTTTATTCTTACATATTCTTAAAAATAGCTCTGGAATTTAAAACAATTTTTTAACAAAACTCTTGTGACAAAAACCTGTACAAAATTCTGTATTTTCTAATCATGAAAGTAATAAAGAGAAAATTAACTCTAGAAATGTAAAACAAGCTTTTTATATATCATTATGTGTGGCTGTCATTGTCAGTTCTTTTTTGTTTTTTAATTATTATTAGTATCATTTTATTTCTTTTATTCATATGTGCATACAATGTTTGGGTCATTTCTCCCCCTTTCCCCCTGCCCCCTTCCTCTCCTACACTACCCACTTGCTACCAGGCAGAAACTATTTTGCCCTTATCTCTAATTTTGTTGAAGAGAGAGTATAAGCAATAATAGGAAGGACCAAGGGTTTTTGCTAGTTCAGATAAGGATAGCTATACAGGGAGTTGACTCACATTGCTTTCCTGTACATATGTCTCCTCAGAGATCCTTTTGCACTGTCTACCTTGGCATTTATATTCTAGAATTAGAATAAACATTAGTAGGACTATAACATTCACTTATGCTTTCTATAATGCTTTTTGATATAGGTAGAAGATACATTTCAGAAAGGTCAAGAAAAGGATAAAGAGGATCCTTACTCCAAGTCTGATATTAAGGGCGAGGATAATGCCATTGAGATGTCAGAAGACTTTGATGGGCAAATGCATGATGGAGATCTGGAAGAACAAGGTTTGAGAATATCTGTCAATTCATTCTTGCTTTTGGAAAGGTCTTATCCAGGAAATTACAGGTTCTTGTAAGAAGCCTGTTGCAATCTTTTCAAGTTGGTAACTGCATCTCTGTTCCCTCACTCTCAGCTAAGGCAGAAGTTGAGGGTCAGTTTTGCAGATTCTTCTTTGTGCAAGCCAAGGCATTGACTCATGTTCTGGCTGCCTCATGTAGTAGGTGCAGTGGGCTCAGTGGTGTCACATACAGAAGCCCAAAGAATAAGAGTCAAACTTGAAGCATATTTTCTGTGTAGTTTTTTAAAAAATGACCTTCCTAGTTACAAAAATAGTAGGTAAGCCACTGTTTAAATTTTGGTGTATTTCTTTTCATTTATGACACATGGACATACACAGACTGTGTACAGTTCTGTGGTCCGCTTTTTTTTTTTTAATTTAACGTCTTATGAACATTCGCTCTGTCATTAAAATTTTTTGAGAATATGATTTCTTATAGTAGATCATCATTCATCATCATCTGTCATGTTTGTATCATCAGCTCTGCCCTAAGTTTCTGTCCAGAGCCTACCTTGAGATACAGTATCTTATACTAAGCAGAGATCTTGCAGAAATGAATGCTGATCTTAGAGTAGAAGAGTGTATGCTTGCCTGCAAAGCCTAAGGGTGTAACCATTGGTAAAGGAGACATTGAGCAAAATGAAGGCAAGAAATTTCTGACTGGTTTATCTAGACTTGATTGTAGGTGTTGAAGATAGGGAAGACACTTGGGAAATCACCTAGTCCAGTCCTTCATTTCACTAATACGAAACTAAAACCCAGTGAGGTTGCTGAGCCCCATAAATGAGTATTCCTTCAGCATCAGAACCAGACATCTTCATGGCAGTAATTCTATTTTTCTGTTTACTCACACATTATAGGCTTTTTCCTTTAAGTAATTTGCAAAACATAGAGAACTATTTTAGTAACCTATAGACACCTGCCCATAGTGTTCTGTAGAAATAGGGAGTAAATCCCAGATCAGACCCTTGCCAGGAAATGGGCCAATGCCTCTCTTACACACACAAGGCTGGGTCAATTTGAGGACCTAACTAAGCTCAGTGCCTTCCCTTTCAGAAGAGGATGATGAGAAATCAGATAGTGAGGGCGGAGACCTGGATAAACAGATGGGCGATCTCAATGGTGAGGAAGCTGACAAACTAGATGAGAGACTTTGGGGTGATGACGATGAGGAGGAAGATGAGGAGGAAGAAGACAGTAAAACTGAAGAAACAGGACCAGGAATGGATGAGGTAATTAAAAGATTCCCCCATCCCAAAGTCTCCAGGCCTAGGCCAAGAGAAGGTAATCTCACCACATGCCACACTGTTGTCATTTGCTGGTTTTCCTTTTCTTTGTTTTTCTTTTTCTCTTTCTTCATTTTCTTTTTCTCTCTTATCCCATTGATTGTATTCAGAACTGAAAGAGCATCCTGACCTGAGATTTCTTTGCAGATGCTCTAAGCCGATTCTCCTGTGGGCCACTGAATTCCTCCAGCTCCCAGCTTAGAGTTCCAGGGCTAGGTGTGACACTGCGATAGCAGAGTCTGGTACATCTAATTATCAGACCCACTGTTCACATGCTGATTAGTCTTGCTGCTGTATGAATAAATTTGGACTATTCTCTGTAGGTCTTGGATGGCACTACATCAGGCAAATATTTCTGTGGGATAGGCAGAAATTGCCCATGTCTGAGGGTTAGCCCATGCAGAAGCAGTTTCCTGGATTGTATATGACAATTTTGTGTTTTTCCTTCTTTTGATGTTTAGGAAGATTCTGAACTTGTTGCTAAAGATGACAACTTGGATGCTGGGAATTTGAACAAAAATAAGAAACAGCAAGATAAAAAAGAAAGGGAAGAAGCAGAATGTGATGATGGTAGACAAGACCAAGACAAAATTAATGAACAAATAGATGAGGTAACGCAGATTGGAAACTGCTATGCTCTCCTGGCTGGAGACCATGGCATCTGTACTGCATAGTTCTTAGAGTGTTTAATAACTTTTTTTTTTTCCTACTCATGTAACCATTCTCACATGGCTTCATATAAGAATGTACAACAAAGCAGGCATAGTGGCATATGCTGTGACCATAGCACTTGAGAGGCAGGAGGATCACAAGTTTGAGGCATGGGTCCTCAAACCTGTCTCAAACAACAAAAAAAGGAATGCATAACAGAGGCTCACAGCAGGACATAAAATATTTAGCAGTTGATTTCTGATGAGGTAGTCTGTATGCTTTTGAACTCATGCTACAGTTTCAAAGCTAAAGCCTGTGGTCCTTTATTTCTTCTCAGAAGTTTTTCTTTGAGATTAAGTAATATGGGGTCTGTGACCCTTAGAGAAGCTACATAGAAGATTAAATTTGGAGTTCTGACATGAAAAATATTAAAATACTAAAATATGTTGATAATTTTAAAGGCTAGAAATATTGTATTCTCTTTGAACTTACAGCTAAGTTTATGTGAACTCTTATTTTTTTTAAATTAATTTTCTCTCTCATTTTTTTTACCCAAAGAGGGAATATGATGAGAATGAGGTAGATCCTTACCATGGCAATCAGGAAAAAATGCCAGAACCTGAAGCCTTGGACCTTCCAGATGACTTGAACCTTGACAGTGAAGACAAGAATGGTGGTGAGGACACAGACAATGAAGAAGGAGAAGGTATGTTCAGAAACCAGTTGGAAGCCATTAGCTATTTGTCTTAAAATATCCAAGCTTATTTAGCTATTATGTAACTGAACGAAGAAGCAATTGTTTTAAAGGATTATTTGCTATAAAATAAGCAGTACTTGAAGTATCCAGTGTAAACTTTTTTAATAAGACTTTTCCAAATATGATTGTTTCCATTTGACTGTGAGTTGTTTTCTTTGTGTGATAAGGAATGACATCAACTAGTGATCTATAATGGTGATTAAGAATTAAACTGTCATTTTCTTTGTTCTAAAATTTTCATATAGTGGGTGTTTCTTGATTTTTTTTTAAGTGTATTACGTTTTAGTGAAATGAATATGGAAACAATTGGATGTAATATGAGAATATAGTTTAGAACAAGGGTGGGCACAATTTTTTCAAGAATGAGATATGTTAGACTTTGCATTCCATAGTGCTGTATTGAAAATACTGAGTTCTGTTACCGTTTAAAAGCAGTCAGAGGCAGCACAAGATGGACTGGGTGGTAAACACATAAGTAACAAAGCTTAAGTGGCTTTATTCTTGTAAACTTTACTGGCAGAAAGATGTGGAGGGCTATATTTGACCTATGGGCTGTGCTTTGCCAATCCCCAGCTTAGAGAATAAGAATAAAACATTTGCAGAGTTTTAAAGTTCTGAGCTTTTTCTTGTTGTATCTACACAGAAGAGAATCCTTTGGAAATCAAAGAAAAACTAGTGGATACAGAAGAAATGAGTCATGAAGCTGAGAAAATGAGTGAAAGTACCGAGGCTGATCAGGGTGAAAAGGAAGGTTCATGTGAACCTGAGGAAGGCCCCAGTGAAGATGACAAAGTGGAAGAGGAAGAAATGGACAAAGGTGCTGATGATCAAGAAAAAAACACCACCGAACATCTAGACGAAAACTCAGAGGAACAGCAACAGTCTCTGGAGGAAGAGGACAGGGAAGCCACTGATGAGAGTGATGGCAACACTGCTGACCAAGGTCTCCAGCCCCAGGTATTGTTGGGTGTGTGGCTTACATTAAAATGAGAAAACACTTTCTTCCCAGTAAAATCTCTTTGACATTTCTCCATCACCAGGTGGTGCTGCCCAGCATCTCTAAGTTTGCTGGAAGTCCCTCTCTAACCAGTCCCAGCTCCTGGTGTTCTTCCCTCGAGTTTAATGCGGTAGCTCCAGAGTGTTTTGTTTTGTTTTCAGGGGGTTGAGGATGGGATTGGGATTTGAGCTCAGGGCTCTGCATTTGCAATCAGCCTACCACTTGAACCAAACCTCCTTTTTTCTTTCAGGCTGTTTTTCAGATAGGGTCTCAGTTTTTGTCTGGGGCCTGTCTCAGGCATTGAACATCCTTCCTATGGCCTCTATATAGCTGGTATCACAGGTGCCTGCCATCTTGCCTGGCTTGTTGGTTGAGATGGCCTCTTGCTAATTTTTTTTTACTTTGGCTGGCCTCAAACCATGATCTGCCCAGTCTCCACCTCCTGAATAGCTGGGATTATAGGTGTGAGCTGCTGTGCCTAGTGTAATCCTGTATTTCTCTGCAGAAGGAGGAAGAAGAAGAAGGGGAGAAGGCTGACACAGAGGAGCAGGCGCCAGAGGCCACAGAGAGGAAGGAGCACACCTCTTGTGGGCAGACCAGTGTGGAGAATATGCAAAGTGTGCAGGCTGTGGAGCTGGCTGGAGCTGCACCTGAGAAAGAGCAGGGGAAAGAGGTGATGGATCCTTGCTACCTAGGTCAACTGCTTCTTCTTGTCTGAGATCATACTCTTTAGTAGTAGATGGGGTTTTTTTTGTTGTTTTTTTTGTTGCTGTTGTTACCATCTGAAAGATCATCACCCATTCTTAGAGGAAATGATTGTCTTCCTATTTTTATATGCATCTCAGGACTAGCCTCAGAATATTTTTGCTGCAGGCTATATCTAAATGATAGGTTTACAAAGAAAAGGCTACTAGACCGGTAGTTCTCAATAGAGAATCAGGTTCTTTGTTTTTGAGAAAGCTTCCAAGGAAAGAAGGGTTGGATTTAGGCTTTATGCAACAGTATACCTCTAATGGTACTTCACTTCTCTTTACTCTTCACTAGGTTTCTAAGTGTTTTTAATTTAAAAAGCAAGGCGCTGCTTCCTTCCCTCACCTGGTGGTGGTTCGTTCCAATATGGCCAGAGTTCAGGCCATTGGTGTGCTGTGGAAAGAGCATTGAACATCAGATGACTTGCTTCCTTAGCCTCTTTGAGCCCCAGTTTGTTTTTTACCAATCTCAACTACGTATTACAGTCTACCCTGTCACTCATTGAATGTGCATTAGTGCCAAACGTTTTCATTATTTCAACAAGTTCTTAGAAGAGCCTCATGAGATCGATGATAATGTTCTATTTTTTCCATTTAATACTTGAGGAGAGCCTCAGTGAAGTTAAATGGCAACCTCAAAGGTGCACACTGGTCGGTTATAGAACCATGTTTCTAATTGCGGTCTGTCCTGCCTTCAGAGTAAGACGTCATTCTCTTGTAGACAAGGGGGTTTGCGAAGCAAGGGCATTAAGAGGGTAGGCAAATCTGGGTCCTGACACTCCTGTTTCTGCCCGCTGGCCAGGACTTAGCCAGGGATGAGTTCCAGAGGACACAGGTAGGCAGGGGAGTTGGCTGACTCTGAGATGAGCATAATGTGAGAGAACTTGTGCTAAATACAGTTTGTGATAGCTTCATCCATGTCATTCTTTTGTGTCTTGGCTTTCCTAGGAACATGGGAGTGGAGCTGCGGATGCAAACCAGGCAGAAGGCCACGAATCCAACTTCTTTGCCCGTTTGGCCTCCCAGAAACAAACCAGAAAAAATACACAGGTTTTGTTCACTCTTCACTTAAACTTAGATGAAGGTTGCCAGTAGGATAAGATGCTCTAAAACCGGGTGCACTGGCTCAGAACTTTAATCCCAGCTGCTTGGGAGGCAGAGATTGGCCAGATCGCAGTTAAAGGCCAGCCTGGACAAAAAAAGACCCCACTTCAACCAATAAGGCTGGGCATGGCTGGGCACCGGTGGCTTCTGCCTGTAATCCTAGCTACTCAGGAGGCAAAGATCAGGAGGATCGTGGCTCGAGGCCAGCCTGGGCAAATACTTCACGAGACCCTATCTTGAAAAAAACCACCACAAAAAAGGGCTGGTGGAGTGGCTCAAGATGTAGGCCCTGAGCTCAAACCCTAGCACCACACACACACACAAAAAAATCTGGATATGATGGTGTGTGCCTGTCATCCAGCTACATAGAAGGCATAAATAGAATTGTGGTCCAGGCTGATTCAGACAAAAATGCAAGCTCTTACTCAAAAAATACTAAAAGCAAAAGGGTTGGGGGCATGGCTCAACTAGTAAAGTGCCTATCTTGTGAGTGTGAGGCCCTGAGTTCAAATCCCAGTACCTCAAAAACAAAAAAAGCTCTAACCTTTTAAAAGATTGTTTATGATTAAAAAAAAAAACCAAAAAGCCACACCCAGCCTTTGTTCTGCCAGACATGATGGCACCCTCGGTGAGAGACCAAGGCTGCAGGGGTTTCCCAGTGGAAGCTGTCACTGGAATTTCTTCCCTGCAGTTGAGCCTAAGAACCAGGAGTTGTACAGCACCAACCCACCATTCTCACTCTTTTCACTGTCCTTAGATGTTTGCTTTTAAAAAGCTAAAGTTTTGAGATGGGATTGTAGTTCACACCTATGAAATCACTGTATAAAAACCAGTCCTTTAAAGAGTATACATGCTTATCCTGTTCCCAAGCCAGTGAAGGGACCCTCCTAGAGTAAATTAGTACTGCCAGTTTTATCATCATTTGGAGTGTCTTCATATGTGGCATACATAGGTATGTGTATGTTTCTTTGCTTCTTTGACCTTATTTCAGATATAAAAGTGTATCATTGGCTGGAGGTGTGGCTCGTGATAGAATGCCTGCCTAGCAAGCATGAAACCTGGAGTTCAAACCCTAGTGCTACCAAAAAAAAAAAATTTTTTTTTTTTGTTTCGTATAACAAAAAAAGCCCCATTCTTTTTAATAGCTGCATTGAATTCCACTGTTACATGGTTATACTTAATTTAGTTAATCTGCTTCTTATAAATGGACATTATGGGTATTTTGAGTCATTGCTATTACAACCAAGACTGTAATCTCCTTACTTTCCGCAGAGTTATAAGAGGAAACCTGGGCAGGCTGACAATGAGCGCTCTATGGGTGATCACAATGAGCATGTGTGTAAGAGGCTGAGGACTGTGGATACAGACAACCAGGCTGAACAGGGGGCAGCCCAGCCACAGGTGGAAGATGCAGACACATTTGAGCACATTAAACAAGGCAGCAACACATACGATGCACAGACCTATGGTATGGTGCTGGGAAGGCCTGTCCTTTTTCTCATTGAGCTCTCTTTGAAGTTATACCATGTGAGTGTGTATACTCCTGCTAGGCAAATTAGGATGGAGAGGAACTGACTTTTTAGCCTATTTTCTGCCAAATAAATGAGTAAATAATATTTCTGTATGTAGAAATACGATTTATTTTTGATACCAAGGTATTCATAGCCAAGTGTAAGTGCTGAGGGTTTCAGGGTGTAGTGTAAGCCCTCTATATACCCTTATAAACAGTTGACCACATCCAAACCTAGTTCTATTCTAAGGAATTCTTAGAACTGGACATTCCTTCATGGTCACTTTCAGATAAGTCCTTGCAATTGTTGGAGCTGTGAACGTGGAATATGTGTTTCCCCATAAGTGAAAGGGAGAGAAATGAGACGTCAGCACAGAAGGTAGGCAGTTATTCTGGCTCCCTTGGTTACTTTTCATTGTTTCATTCCTAATATATAAATGAGTGTCAGTAATATCTGCCTGTCAGAATGCTGCAAGAGTGATTATTTCTCTCTGTGTCTCCACTTTCCCTTAATATTTATTTGAACAGAAAAAGAGGAAGTTAATTGAACACTGTATATAGTTGGTCCAGCTCCTACCATAGGCTGCAGCGTGGGCCAGTCCCACTCACACCTCAGGCAAGTGTGTCTCAGCCTCTAATGGAGCAATACCCTATTGGGGATCTCAACTCTAAATGACCTGGATGTGGTAGACAGAGGATAGAGAATAAATCCCAGCTACAGTCTAGTCACATCCTTGCCAGGGGAATACTGTTTTGAAACTTGGGCCAGCTATCCAGAAGTCCTGTCCTGCTTTAAATAAAACACCATGTATTAAGCTTTTGCTTTGTGTCAAAACACTCTTTAGCCTTTACTGCATGATGATGGAGTTTCTTAAATAATTTATGAGCTATGGGTAGAGGTGGGCTCACTGAGAAATTTAACTTGTTCGTGAGATTCTTTCTTTGCTCCTCTTTATACTCTTAATCAACTCTTAATTAACTAATTTATCTACCTACAAGTTAGTAATAGAAGATGATTTCCATTAGCTGCTATGAGTCCTGTGCCCAGACTATTTATTGTGGTTCGTTATCTGGCCAAAGAAGTAAATATCCAGTTAAAGATCTCTTTCTCTGGTCACATGTGTAGTTATACTATGTACTTATAACCTCTGTTAGAAGTATACTGTAGTCAGTTGTAGCAATAGGTCAGTAGGAGATTTAGGCCAGACAAGTGTCCAAGCCATGTAGCTGGCCACAGTGGCAGAATAGGCATGAGTAGAATTTTAGAAGTTAGAAGTAAGAGGAAACCATAGCTTACCATTACTTTGTTCTCCAAAACCTAAACTTTCTATGTGTACACCGTTGGCAGATGTGGCCAGCAGTGAGCAGCAACAGTCTGCAAAAGACTCTGGCAAAGATCAGGAAGAAGAGGAAACTGAGGATGCCCTCATGGATATGGAGGAGCAGGAGGAGCTCAGAACAGCAGACACAGAGCAGCTGAAGCCAGAGGAAGTCAAGTCTGGGGTCACAGCAACCTCTGGTGAGTTCTGCCTAGTGACCAGACCTCTTCTAAGCCTTCTGACTTGAGAGAAGTCAGTTCTCTTGAACTGTATGTAGTGTAGTTCTCTTTAATTATAGTCTAGTCTTTTGTGTTTCACGTCCTAACTTATGACTAAATGAGTAATTTGCATATAATAATTTCACCATATTTTATTTGGAGCAGAAAGGTATAGGGGTGGTCTCAAGGATACCATCCTTCAATGAGGAGATCCCTGAGAATTGAAAATAATGAAATCACTTGTGTCCTGTTGAAATATGTAGGAGAAAAACAATAGTGTGTTTATCACAATTGTGACTAAACAAGTTCTGTTGCCAGGCATTTATTTATTATTTTGGCTGATTCTGGGGTTTGTTTCAGGGCCTAGCACTTTCTGGGCATTTGCTCTACCACTTGAGTCACACCCCCAGCCCTTTCTTACATTAGTCATTTTTCAGGTAGTCTCATGCTTTTTAGCCAGGGCTGACCTCCAACCACAATCCAATCCTCCTACATATGTTCCCCACACCCCTAGCTGGAATGACATGACTTTCTCCCATGCAGTTGTTTTTTGTGTTTTTTTTAGAGCATCATTCAACAAAATGATAGCTTAATCAAAATGGAATGAATGCAAATGTTTTAAAACCTGCCATATTCAAGGTTTTTTTTTTTTTTTTTTTTTTTTTTCTCTTCCATTCCTATCCTTTCAGAGGTATCAGGCAACTATCTACTGCCCTGATGGTTACATGACAGTAGGAAAAACAAAAACTGAGATTACTTGACTGGGGTCAAATCCAGGCTTGAGTCTCACTTCCTGGGTTGAGGCACATTTCTCATTTCTTCTTTGTCTCAGTTTGCTCATCTACAAGATGGAACAGTGAATGGTTTTATTTTACTAATTTTGTGGTACTGGGAATCAAGACCCAGGGCCTCATGCATGCTAGGCAAGTAGGTGCTCCACCACTCATCTGTATCCACAGCTCTTTAGTTTTACCTGCATACGGTTTAAACAATCAGTTTTAAGCTTGTTAAGGTAAATGGTCTCTCCTAGAACAGCCCATCAACATCATGGGGGAAGGGAGGAGAAATTAGTTAAGAAAAAAAAAAAGGAAGTGACTGTTCCCAAGAGCAAGAACTTGTGGAAGCAACACGTGCTGAGTGAATTCAGTGAGGTTTGATTCATTGTTAGGAATGATAGATAGGCAATAGTGAAATGTTATGATAAATAAAACTATGTCCTTATATGAAAATAGGCTTTGATGAGATGGAGATGGAGACCCAAACTGTTAAAACAGAGGAAGACCAAGACCCCAAGACAGACAGATCTCACAAGGAGACAGAGAGTGAGAAACCAGAAAGAAGCCAAGATTCAACCATTCACACGCTCCATCAGTTCCTTGTGGATACGATTTTCCAAGTACTAAAACTCTAGCAAATTTCTGCTTTAATAATTGACAAACTTAAGTTGCTTTTAGATCTTTGTCTTTGGAGGGTGGTGGTACTGGTGGGTTGCACTTTCTAGGCAAGCATGCTACCCTTTGAGCCACATCCTGACTTTAGTTTTTATGGAACACCTAGTAATTTGGGGGTGGTGGCGGATTGTGTCCTTATCAGAAATTTTAGGAATACTCTTGCTGTGACAGACACTGTTAAAACAGTTAATCCCCGGGTTACAGTACCCTGACTTGTCCATGATGGTGGGACTGGTCCTTGGCTCTCACGTCCTACTGTTTTTACCATCCTGTGTAAGGAGCCTTCAGGATAATTAATTCATAGTGGTTAAGTAACAAGAATCTTTGGCTTAATGACTGCATTTAGGAAGAGCCCTCTAACTGAGTCTTTTTTCCCCCTAATAGTTTGACTTAATGACAGTGTAGATTTATCCAAGACCATTCGTTATTGATGACTAAAGATTATTTCCTTTTGTTTGACTGGGGTGGATTTATGAAAGTTGTAACTTGCTATCTCTAAAACAGCAATTAGAAGGATTGTTGTCTGGCATCATCTCATTAAACCTTTATATTTGCTTAAGTTTTGAGTCTCAGGCATTTGACTGTACATTGAGTTCATACTGTAGGAAGGAAGGCAGCCAATGATAATAAGTTGGTGGTTCCAACCTGGGCCACTTCTTATCCATTGCTTTTTCTCATTAGCCCTTTTTAAAAGATGTTAATGAGCTAAGACAGGAGATGGAGAGACAGCTGGAAACATGGCAATCACAGGAATCTGGGAACGCAGAAGAAGTAAGTCACTAGGATTATTTTAACAAAATATCTTGGGTTTTTTTTTTTTTCTTTTCTTTTCTTTTGATACAACCAAGTCAGTAAGTAGCTTCAGTTATCTTTGTAAAAGGAACCAGGCATATGAAGAATACAATTCATAATCCTAAAGGCTGACTCTGTTGCATTTTGCTTGCTTTGCCACTGTATCTATCTATACCTTATTTAAGACGGAAACTGATATGTTTGCTTCCTTTAACTTCTGTTACTGGCTCCGTAATGGATGTTAATAGATATGACAGTAATTGAAAGCTAATCAAAAATCTGTGCTGTGCCATCCTGAGAAATAGCCACCAGATTATTGCTAGCTGTGTGGATTAACGAGGAATTTAATTTTTTGTTTGTTTGGTTGGTTTTATTTGCAGTACTGGGGTTTCAGCTCAGGGCCTCACACTTGCTAGGCAGGTGCTCTACCACTTGAGCCACTCACCAGCCCAAGAAATGTTAATTTCAATGACTTTGTCTCCTAGATTTATATTACCATTATTCCCAATACATTTTGTATTGAGTGCTCTGTCATGGTTGGTAGGAAAATCATGGTGCTTTGGTGTCTGTGAAATGAACCTACAGTTAGTGTGTTACCTAAGGGATTTGCGCTTTGTCACTTTTACTTCTGAAACATGACTGAGATCCCACAATTAAGTGGCTGGATCTGCTGGCACTAAAACTATTCACATTTGCCTTCCCTATATGAAGGGTACAGGTGATATTTATATTCTAAGGGATGTGAATAAGACATTGATTTGGTCATGAATTCTGGGAGAGATTTTTAATCCAGTGAATTAGCAGGTTGCAGAGTAAAGCTTTAGAGTGTTTCTGTTGAGAAGGTTCATGAAAGTTGTTTTCTAGTACTTTTGCTTCAGGCCCTTGTCTGGCTGTAATGACTTGGTTGCCTTTGATATTCTAATTTATATTTTATTGTCCTTGTCCCAGGAGAAGGCTGCAGCTGAAATGTGGCAGAGTTACCTGGTCTTAACTGCTCCTCTTTCACAACAGTTGTGTGAGCAGCTACGTCTCATATTAGAGCCTACCCAGGCAGCCAAGTTGAAGTAAGTTTTCCCCATTGGAAGCCTTTATAGCATCCAGAAAGCTGACAGGGTCACCATTTCTGTTGAGCCAGCACTCCACCATTTATACTGCTGGCTTCTAGGTTGCTGCTTCTGCTGTACATGTACTGGTATGGTGTTCCTTACCATGTTTTCTGTTGCATCTACCAAAAGCTTTCTGTGATGTTTAATATGAAGACAGTTTCTCTCCATTACTGTCAGATGGGAAACTGGCCTTTAGATGGGGTCTGGTTCATCTTGCCACCTGTTGGTTTACTCACCTAGATCTTTTCAAAGATGTGGTTTAGACTAGAAAAGGGAAAATACAAAACTTTGTATTCAAGACAGAAAGTTTTAAATAATTTTTTAAATGTATCTTAGCTTTTCTGGAAGGACCTAATAATTAGGCCATATGTCCAGTGTTTTTAGCTGGCATTCAAGAAGACATGGCTCCTTAGTCCTCAATAGATAGTATCTTCTCATTGTTCCAGGTGACTAGTTACTTGGTACTGTCAGTTTTGAACTATTACTAATGTGATTTTTGTCTTAAAAGAAAATTCTGAGGAATGAGCACTTGCTAACTAATCTTTGCCCCTGTTGGATAAACTTAATAGAGGAGACTATCGAACAGGGAAACGGCTGAACATGCGGAAGGTCATTCCTTACATTGCTAGTCAATTTCGGAAAGACAAGATTTGGCTTCGAAGGACCAAACCTAGTAAACGCCAGTATCAGATTTGTTTGGCCATTGATGACTCTTCTAGTATGGTAGACAACCATACCAAACAGGTAAGGAAGAGAAATGAGTGGCAGTTTATTGGCCAATCCACAGTCCATGGGCTACCTAAATGTTTCAAATGTGATCTGGGGAAAAAAGAATGTGATGACTTAAGATTCTGGAATTTAAAAGGGTAATTTCACCACGTCTTAACTACTTTGGTCCCTTAATCCTGTTATATATTGTCTGGCTGCTAAGTAAATCTGACAATGTTTATTTTCTATAAAAGGCAATAATGTACAATTAAATATTTTTTGAACTGCACACCATAATATCTGAAACCACTGATTTTTCTTCATACATTCAGGATGCATTTCATTAGGTATGAAATTATCCTGGTGGTGTTCTGTTATCAGAGCTCAGTAACTTAAAAAAGATTACTGGTAATGCCACTGTGACTCGGGTATTTTATCAGTTTTTAGAGTGATGCTATTATCCAGATAAGCCAACAAGCAATCTATATAGAGTGTGTTCTGCTGAAAAAAAGTAACCTCTGAAACTGGGTTCATAGTCTATCACTCCACTCACTTAAGTGTCAATTTCATTTTCTGTAAAGTGAGGATTATAGCAGTGTTTAACTTTAGAGTTATGAAGATTAAATGAAATAATTATGTAGAACACTTAGTTTAGTGCTTTTTAAACCACTTTAAATTCTAAAATTATGCTGTCATTCAGGAAGTAATGGAATTTTCTAATATGGGTCTACAGTCTGATCTCATTATTAAGAATGAGTCTTAAATTGGTTTTTAAATTTGCTTACCCATAAAAGGTTACTTTTCATGTAACACACCCCCCCCAAGAAAGAAGAAATTTAAATTTATGGACCATATTTCTCAAAATAACTTTAATTAGATGATATCTTGAGCAGACCACTGCTACCAGTGTGATGAATTCCAGGTTTCAGCATTTGTGGTACCAAGGAGGGGCTGAGGCCACTAAAACCTCTGGGTTGGTTATCACTGTTACGGTTTCAGAGGGATTGTTCACCTGTATGCCATACAAAAGATAACTAGCATCTTCTGTGGGAATCTTGATGTTACAAAAGGTTTAAGGGCACTGGTTTAGAGGATTTCTGATTGCTTAACTCCCTGACTTTGTTTCACAGCTTGCATTCGAATCGTTAGCTGTGATTGGAAATGCTCTTACCCTCTTGGAAGTGGGTCAGATTGCAGTATGCAGGTAAGGTTGCCTTTTAATTCCAGTGGGAGAACCCTTTTCACAACCTCATCATTTTGATCGCACAACAAAAAGATAACTTCCGTTGTATTTGTTTTCTCTCCCCCAAGTTTTGGAGAGTCTGTAAAGCTGTTACACCCATTCCATGAGCAGTTCAGTGATTACTCAGGATCCCGGATTCTACGGCTCTGCAAATTTCAACAGAAGAAAACTAAGATTGCTCAGGTATGCCCATGTAGTAAAATGTCTTTTGGGTAGTTAAGCTTAAGTTGGAAAGGCATAATTCTTAGAAACTGTGATGCTCCATTTTGGTATTTAAGACAAGAAAATTTGATAATACAGAATAGTTCTAAACCTTCTCCTGTGTAATACTAAATTGAAGCTTCTCTGGCATTCATTATAAGCCAAGGTATGGTTTACTTTTCTCAGTTCCTCAAAAATGGCTGTCCAGTTAGCTAATGATTTGCTGAGTTATTTTCTTAAAGAAAGCTGTTTTGGGCTGGGCGCTAGTGGCTCACGCCACTAAGTAGCTAGTAATCCTAGCTACTCTGAAGGCAGAAATCAAGAAGGTTAGGTTCAAAGCCATTCCAGGCAAATAGTTGGTGAGACCCTATCTTGAAAATACCCAACATTAAAAAAAAAATGGGGCAGTGGCTCAAGTGATAGAGTATCTGCCTAGCAAGCATGAAGCCTTGAGTTTAAACACCAGTACTGCCAAAAAAAGAAAAGAAAGCAAGCTGTTTTGTTCATGAGTGTTCATATTATTCCTACTCCCAAGGAAAGTATTTCTTCTCATGTGTGGTGGTGCTGTAATCCCAGCACTTGGAAGGCTAAGGCAGGAGGATTGCAGGTTTGAGACCAACCTGGGCTACATAGTGGTCTTCAAGCTTGCAAAGCATGTGCTCAAAAATCAGGTACTCTACGACTTGAGCCACAACTCCAATCCATTTTGCTGTGGTTATTTTAGAAATAGGGTGTCCCAAACTACTTGCCCAGGTGGGCCTTGAACTGTGTTCTCCCAATCTCAGCCAAGTAGTTAGAATTACAGGTTACAGGTTGTGAGCTACTGGCAGTGCTTGTCTTGTCTGTACTTGAGAATGCCATGCAGTGTAAGGACCTTCCTTTACTGAATGTAGCTGCAAGGGACACCTTGGTTGCCTACAGATCCAAGATAGTTACCTGATAATCACTTCAGTGTCAGAAGTATAATGGAAAGGGGCTAAATAGTTTTCTAATTACTTGTGTCTGGTTCTGCTTTAGTTTCTAGAGTCTGTAGCCAACATGTTTGCAGCTGCCCAACAACTTTCACAAAACATCAGTCCAGGTGAGCTACATTCTGTTCTCTTGTTAGCAAATTTCTTTATTTCATCTCACTGAACTGGTTATCATCTTTTAAAATATATAGTCTTCAGATCAACACATGGCATTTATTTATATATATATATATTATATATATATATGTGTGTTCTACAGGAAAAGACAAACAGATGGAGGGCTATTAGGCATTGATGAGTTCTTTACTCACTGTTCACTCAGAAATTTCTATTTAACCCATATTTGTAAGGCTTATAATTGATGTAGGACCTAGACAGTAATTAATATATACTTTTGTGATATACAGAGTTCAGAGTTCTGAAAGAAAGGAGCAAGATGTGTGGAATTAAATATAGAGACCATTCTGCAGTGTTTTAATACAGAGGAAAGCAGAGAAAGGTCTAATTAAAGAACATGCTGTTGCTTTCAGGCTTGAAGCATATGAATTGTTCAGCCCTTTCCAGAATCTTTCAGTTCTGATTCTGTCATGGAGAAATGACCTGTTTGAAGCAAGTCATTCAGCACTTGCCCAAGCTTCCTTAACAAACACAGGCAAACCATATTCTTCAGCTGGAAACATACAGTTAGAAGTTTTAAAACACTTGATTCACTGCTAATGGTTCCTTTCTATTTTTGTTTAAATGAGTCAGTATCAAGAAAAAAACAAATGAGGTACAAGGAATTGATAAAAATCTGAAGTTGATATATTTGAAAACACAGTTCCAGATTTCTAATTTGGGTACTCCCTATAGTTCAACCATAAACATGTATTTCAGTTTTCATATCTGTTGCGCTAAAGTTGAAACTGATAGAAATTTGCAGAAGTTTAGCTTGTCTCATCCTTCCTAAATAATATGTGTAATCATAGGTGTCTTCTATTTCTGCCCAGAATTCCTCAGTTTCAGAGATCTGTTTGGTTTTAATAGTACAGAGAAAGCCTGTACTAATCTATCATACTTTAGGTGGTTTTGAGTTGTTTTAAATAGATTTTCATTTTATTCCTTTCCCTCCTGACATGGGTTCTACAGAAACTGCACAGCTCCTCCTAATAGTCTCTGATGGGCGAGGCCTTTTCCTCGAGGGCAAAGAAAGAGTCCTGGCAGCAGTTCAGGCCACCTGGAATGCTAACATCTTTGTTATTTTTGTTGTGTTGGACAATCCCAGCTCACGGGTGAGTGACTACTGAAAAGCCATCTTCTGAAAAATAGCTTGGATTGCTCCATCATCTTGATAATTCCTAGTGTTCCATCAGTTCCTATTCTATGCACTTTCTATTTTCTTAATTAATCTTCACAACGGCCTAATGAGGTAGAGATGATCAGTGAAGGACAGCAATGTGGGTTATAGATAATGAGTAGAAGAGCCCAGATTAACACAGGCTCCATCCTATAGGTCAAGTTTCCCTCTATATAACAGGTACTGGCAGCCGTTAGTAATGGGTCCTGTCCACGTCTGATAGAGACCAGCCCTCCTCACAGTAGAACGTGTCAGCCAGCTTAGTAAAACACACCCATAGGGTAGTTCTTTTCCTGTGGAAGCACCATAGCTGTGGGCCACTATAAGGCCCTAATAAGATGAATCTCCTGGAAATTATTTCAGGTAGAAAATGGAGACCCATTGTAGGGAAAGAAGATTCTCTTTTTTGCAGTCCTCAGGGCCTACACCTTGAGCCACTCCACCAGCCCTTTTTTGTAATGGGTTTTTTTGAGATAGGGTCTCAACTGCCCAGACTGACTTCAAAGCATGATCCTCCTCATCTCTGTCTCCTGAGTAGCTAGGATTACAGGCATGAGCCACCAGCGCCCAGCTAAGAAGATTTTCTTGTGTCCATTCTCCTAGATATGGCACTCAGAAGGAAGGAGACTTTTTTTTTTTTTTGTAGTGGGACTGGGGTTGGAACTCAGGGCTTCACACTCGTAAGCAGGTGCACTACCACCTGGGCCACACCTTCAATCCATTTTACTCTGGCTATTTTGGATATAGGGTGTCTCGAGCTATTTGCCTTGGTTGTCCTCCCAATCTCAGCCTCCCAAATAGGTAGGATTACAGGTGTGAACCACCAGACCCAGCTCTGCCTTCTCGTTATAATCGTTTACCTAGGAATAAAAGTTAGTTTCATATATAAGACGCAGGAGACTTGATCACAGAAAAGTGAGCCATGACCTAATTTTGTTTTCTTCTTTCAAATTTTATTAACAGGATTCTATCTTGGACATTAAAGTACCAGTCTTTAAAGGACCTGGAGAGATGCCTGAAATCCGATCGTACATGGAGGAGTTTCCGTTCCCATTCTATGTCATCCTTCGGGATGTGAGTGCGCTTCCTGACACACTCAGCGATGCCCTCACACAGTGGTTTGAGTTGGTGACAGCCTCTGACCATCCCTAGAGGACAAAGTAATCCATAGTGACACTGTCTGAGCATGTCCACTGTCTTACCTAGGTGCTCCCTTTTGGACAACTGTCTCTATATGCACATGTGATATTCTTTCATCTATACTTAACATCTGATTTGAAAAATGTTATGTTATGGTGGTGTACATTTGTATTTTACAACAAGGTACCAGAGTTTAGAGAAAGCTTTTGGCTCTTTGCTATGCCCGGGCTAAGGTTCTTGTAACAAACCTGAGCAATAAAGGAGCAGGGTTCCTGTCTCAGATCTGGGGGCACAGGGGAGGCCCTGCTCCACTCTTGGAGCCCTGCTTTCCTCTCCTGAAGAAATGCTGTCAGGATCATGGGACTGGGCAGTGCCAGTCCTTTGGACAAAGGACTAAAGGGAGCTGCCTTTTTTTTTTTTTTTACCATGTTTTAAGCTCTAGGTGTCACGTAGTTGAGACAGCTGGCGTTTTCTGGAGAGTCTGACTATGTTTCCATGCTTACTGTGTAAGGGACTGCCTTCTCTTAGAGAGCAGGAAGCTTATGGTGTATGTACTCTCATAAATTACAGTAGCCCAGGTAATCAACAAAGTTGATCTTGGGCAGTGTAAACAAAGTGGCTTTTAGTGTTGTCCTGCACAAGTGCTGCTTTGGGAAACTATGCAATAATGGGAAGATGACTCCCCTTGTTTCTCTCAGTGCCATCGTCACTGCTGTAATTTATTTTTTGTTTGTTTTTTTTCTTAAGAGGAAGAATCGTTCTTCACACTGCTTTCAAGCTACACTGAGCCAGTGTTAATTCTAGAAATTCTGTGTCCACAAGAACTAAGCAGTTACATCTCCTGTCAGCACACCCTCACTCAACACACATCAGTGATTTTTAGGCATTTTTACTTGGCTAGAAGGCAGTGCTTGAATACTTGAAACTGTGTGCTGTGTTCTATTTAATGTTCCATCAGAATGTTCTTTTGTAGGCAGCATGCCATGGCATAATCTTCTATCCTGTGTCTATTTTCAAGTTACACTGTGAAGTCTGCCACCCTTATGGGTGGTCATCAAAGACACAGATTGCTTGTTATTTAAGTGTCCTAAAACTTGTACCTGAAGTTCTATCATTTTTTATTCAAAAAAGCTATGCAGCTTATATTCTGAAAACTATTAAACCATAAACCACTACTGAGGTCCTCTATGGTAATTCTTACTGGAATACAACAGAGGATTGTATTCCTTCTGCTGGATCAGTCAACTTACACCATGCTAATGTGACCCCATGGCTTTCATGGTTTAATACTGTAAGACTTTATTTTTCACTCACGTTCATGTCATGATCTGTGAAACGCAATATGCTTTGTGGAAGAGGGGAAAGTGAGTTGGCAGAACCACACAGTGACTCAGAGATTCTGCTTCATAATGATACAGGTCTTCCACTCACATTTCACTAGTCAAAGCCCTCTATGGTTCAGGTAGCTCAACTGTCAGCAAGGTTGAATGGATCTGGTAGGGAAAGAGAGCAACACTGACAATGATAGATTCTTAACACGTCTGGCTTCCCAATTTAATGTGCCCAGAGTCATTCTTTTGGCCCTAGGGTGGCTCACGGGGCTTGGGACAGAAGACATTCTGGTAAGCAGGTACACAAGAGCACCATGTTCAACTTGTGGGGAAAGGAACCGTTACCCTTGAGGAACTGATAAGTGGGATCCACGGCCTGGGTGAGAAGCATGACAGCTGGGTCTGGGCTGACAGAGCTTTTAGAAGTAAGGATGAATCAATCTGCCAGGTGACTGCTAACATTTGTGCCCTGCTGTCCCTTCATGTCCCCAACTACCCCATCTTCATGGCAGAAGAATAAGTTCTGACATTTAAAGTGGAATAAATGCTGTATGTGCTGTCTTAATCACTTTGTACAATTTTACCACTCCCATAGTCTCAACCATCATCTAAGCGAGTCTCTATCCAGAGGTCAAGCAAAGCTAATGTTTGGCATTCTTGATGAGTTATAGGTCACTTAATGACAGGGACACATTCTGGGAAAGGCAGAATGTGCTATTTTCATTGTTCTGCAAGTATCACAGACTGTACTATTCAAACCAAGACAGTTACTATGTCACCATGCGATATAATCTTAAGAGACCACCACCATATGTATGGTCGCTTCTTGACTGAAAACCTCTTTACGTGCTGTATGACTGTATTCTGATGTCTGTTGGAGCTCCGCTTAGGTAACTGGCTCTATAAATGCTTATGTTCAAATGACATTGTTATTCCTCAACCTATGCATCTGCTTTACGTCCATCTCCATCCAAATCCTAATCAAATCATCTGGCTGGTATAACATCTGGCAACTATCGTACTTTCCCCTCCACTCCCTCTAAGTCCATGGCAACTGGGGCCTTTTTAATCTCTAGCATATACTACTCAGGACATTAGAGATACTCTTCAAGCTTCTTACTGCCACCACTGAGGTTCTTGCCTGACACTCCTGTCCCTTCATTCCCAGCATTGTCACCACTGATATGGTCAGAGCACACCAGAGTTTGCAGTCTGCTAGTGTTCCCTAGGTTGTCTGGAATCCTCTTAACCTACTTTACCTTTCTGACAAATACATAACTCAGATCAGAGTTCCCACAATATGAAATTCAGCAGTTTTTAGTAGCACTACATTGACCTTACAAGGTTTTCCTGCATGCCCCAAAATATAAATCTTTGAACACAGGCAGCACCTGTGTCTAGCATAAGTCAGTAAGTTTTGGAGGGAAAGAAAATGAGTATAAAATGTTCTCACATGTAGACAAGACTAATTCAAAATTCCAATAAATCAGATTTGAAGAGAAATGACACATTTCTTATGGCCATGTAGAACACTAATTTCTTACAAGAACCCACAGAAACCTGCCAGATATGAAGACAGAATATGCAAAGAAAATTAATTAAAAACTTGATTCTAGCCCAAGCCTGAAACAGAATTTACTGCATAGTCAAAAAAGTACCACAAATCCTGGGAAAGGTAATGAATTATTTAATAACTGGCACTGACATTATAGATTAGTTGGCTGGGGAAGAACTTAGATCCACATTGTGTCATAAATTCTAGATGGAGCAGGTATTTTAAGAATTTAAGCAGTATATTACAGGGCGTGGATGGGAAAAGATGAAGTTGGAAACAAAGAAAATGAAAAACGTGAGATAGTATTGAGGCTTAAAGCTGTCTTCATAAAGAAATGACCAAAAATTAGAGCATACAGGCCATGTAAAACTTGAATGAAATCCCGATCTCCACAAATGGACCTGTCATGAACGGACAATTCACAAAATCAGTACAAGTGATTAGGATTATTTAGCTTCACTAGTTTAAAAAGCAAATGGATAAAACATTTTCACTGCTTCTCTTAGATAACATCTGAAAAACATCATTGACAATGTGGTCACGGGATTAGCACCACTCCTACAATGTCTGGTAAAGTAAAGGAATTTAGGATTTAAAGAGTTCTTGTATGTACAAGGGTCTGTTCTCAGTAGTTGCATGATACCCGTGTGAGTACGTGCTACACACTTCAGATAAGGAAGCAGGTGGGGAGAAATGGCTAGAACACAGCTAGCACCTGGATTACTGGAAGCCGGGCGCCGGTGGCACACGTCTGTAAATCCTAGCTTCTCAGTAGGCAGAGATCAGGAGGATCGCAGTTCAAAGCCAGCCTGGGCAAATAGTTCTGAAACTCTTATCTTAAAAAAAAAAAACGAAAACGAAAAACAACACAAAAAACGGGTGGTGAAGTGGCTCAAGTGGTAGGCAAGCGTGCAGCCCAGCGTTCAAACACCAGTATCGCCAAGAATAAAAGTAATACAAAGGCTGAAAAGGATCACACTGGTTTTTCTCGCCTTCATAAAACAGTCTGCTTCCATGGAATGACATCTGAACCATATCCCATGCCGCACTGTGCCAAATCTTTACCACTGTTATTGCCTTATCACACCTTATGTGGCAGAAAGTGTCACCACTTCAGCGGATGAGAAAACCCAGGCGGCCAAGGGCAAGTGAAGCTCCCGGCCAAACCCAGCGCTTTCCTCCCAGCTGCTTGGCTCTAGCTGTCCGCCCACGCACCACGCCGTCTCCCAGGAAACGGGGCTCGTCCCATCCCGCCATCCCCTGCACTTCCGCTCCTGCGCACTGGGGCTCCAGTTAGACGGCCCATTTGGCCGCTTGGCGGACATGGCCGCCTCTCGTTTGCCTCCAGCAACGCTAACGCTAAAGCAGGTACCAGCGGCTCGTTGAGCCTTGAAGAGCAGCAACTCCAGGGGCTGATTCTCCCTCCACCCGGTCTAGGGAGTGGGTGTGGGGACGGAAGGGGACCCGCATGAGTCTTGGGGGGCCTTACCTGCGCGCACTCTGATTGGCTCCAGCGCGGGGGCGGGACTTCCTGCTTCCTAGGGGCCTCAGTGGCGTCCTTTCCCCAGCGGTGGTGAGGGCTGTTGGTGGTTGTGTGGATCCAAGGCAAAGAACAGATGAGATCGCCAAATAAAGGGAACTAACTGCGTTAATCTAGTGAAGTGCTGTTACTGTTACAGCTTCTAGGTAAAACTAGCCAACTCTTGGTTTTAAAGGTTCTTAGTTTTGACACAAGAGTAAACGGCCCAAATGACCTTCTTTGCCTCCTGACCAAAAATAAAAACAAATCCTTTTTCAAAATTGAGAACCAAAGAGCCATCTGGTAAGTTGGTTACAGTCTGATTTGCTAAGGTCCTGCCGACCGTGCTGTTGTAATTCCCATTTCTCTTCCCCGGACAGTTCATGAGAAGGCAACAAGTTCTCCTCCTCTACAGAAGGATTTTGCGAGCCATTCGACAAGTTCCAAATGATTCTGATCGCAGATACCTGAAAGACTGGGCGAGGGAAGAATTCAAAAGAAACAAAAGTGCCACCGAAGAGGTGAGAACAGGATCGTGGGAGGGCAGCCCCTGCCCCTTTTGTAATGATCGGTGGATTTTTTTTTTTTTTTAAAGTTTAGCAGACATCTTGGAACATAAATGTCACTGAGACGTTACACTTTGTTCATTGCTGATTTTCTAGATATTTTTAAGTTGCTGCATCTACTCTTAACATCACCTGGCTTCATGCATTGCCGCATTGCTTCTGACTTTCCGAGTATGCAGCAGTTCCAATTCCCACTATTGGTTTCTCCTTGTTTTGTGGGGCGAGGGTGGTGGTGGGGGTGGGGGTGGCAGCGGTGTGTGCGTGTTGGGAGGGTGGGGGAAGAGGGAGATTGAACTCAGGGCCTTGTTCATGCCAAATCCAAGCTCTACACCTGAGCTACCCACCTTGTCCCACCACTATTTGGTTCTTGAACTTAACAAATGAAATGGTACAGCTGTACTTTGTTTAACCTGGTAAAGCGATGACCAGATTTCTCTTCCTTCTACAGGATACCATACGTATGATGATTACGCAAGGCAATATGCAGCTAAAGGAGTTAGAAAAAACACTTGCTTTAGCAAAATAACTATACCTGTCTTCTGAAGGATTTTCAAATCTCCAAAGCCAGCCTAACAAGTTGCCAGTTAGCACCTGAAAGGATGATCACGTCATCAGGGAAGTGATGACTGTGAAGAGAGTAGCTTAATGAACACATCGAAACACTTACCAAAAAAGAGAAAAAGACTGTAGGCAACTTCTGGTTGAGATTCTGAAATTTAACATCCATGTAGAACAGTGTAAGTCATTAAGGAAGATCCTTGGTGGCTAGTTTTCCTCCAGGGATGTGAAAAACAATTGGGAGAATACATTGATTTCAGGACACTTGAAAAAAGGTCAGATTCGTCAGATTCGGAGCATACAATTAACTGAGTGAGAGCTGTGGAGGGTGCTGGAATTTCGATCCTGCACACTGAAGTCCTCTATTCATTAGCAGAACTAAGAAGCTAGCTCAAGAATCTGACCAGCACTTGAAAGATAGAGACAGACTTGCAAAATGATACAAGCTATTTAGTGCTGGACTGTGCCAGTGGAGATGTAGAAACTGTATGTTGATAACCTGGACTGCCACCCACCTCCTGTAGCCCCAGTCCATGACAGAAATCTGAATAGCCTTCCATGGGGGCAATCGGACAAATGCATACAGAGCCAATTTTTAGGTTTTCATGTAGGTGTATGTCAGTTAACTTACTGTAAAACCATTTGACAAACGGGAGAAACATTTGTAAATAGAACACTTGTGAAATATTTTGTGTTACAATTGAAATGCACACTCAGACTTACGTAAAATGTTGAAACTTGAAATCATCCTTTAATGAGACAAGGAAGTTGGTGATATTCTTGCTAGCAGTAGTGTATACTGAATGCTTCGAAGGAGTACTTGTGCATTGAATTTGCAAGATGCAAATATCAGACTCCAAGAAAACCTAAGCTGCACTTTGCTTTGATTTTGTTTTTTAAAACAGGTTCAACACTACAAGTTGAATTATTTTTCAAAGGCTACAATTATAATGGTCATGCTCTTTTATCTTTAAAGAACATTTTACTTTGTTCACTTACATGCTTAGATTGTCCCTTCTGAATTGTAGGCTGAGTCCTATTTAGCTTAAGAGGACATTGATTTAACAATTTTTCCTCAGGTATGAAACCACAATCAAGACGTTGGCCAAGGGCTGGACGTGCAGCTCGAGTAGTAGAGTACTGCTTAGCAAGCACAGGGTTCAAACCTTAGGACTGCCAAAGAAAAAAACGGCCAGAATGGAACCGCTAGGAAACACATTCTATTCATTGCAAAGTGATCTCTATCAGTATTCTAGACTAGACAACATCCATGTTTCTGGGCCTTCCCTGTAAACTATCCTCCCGTTTGAATGCTCTACTTTCGTTCCTAAGTTTAAATTTAAGACGTTTGAATGTTCAGCTTCATGCATGTGAACTATATCAAATCAATCATTTTGTATTTAGAAAATTTGTTTTGTACAAGAGCTTTGTGGCATGACAAGTGGGTATGACCATTTTATAACAATTTGCTCCTTTAACATTCTCCCCTTTTAAAATGTGTGAACAGATTGGGAATTTTTAATTCATAATAAAAGAATTGCTGTGGTTGTGCTATTTGTATTACAACAGTCATGCCAAGAAACACTGGTATCAGAGGAGTGCCCATGCTGACCTAAACTGTCTCCCGCAGGGAATATCTAAGAAAAATGCCAGTGAGAACAAAGCAGCAGTCTACCTTGGGCAGGAAGAGGAAGGGAGAAGGCGGGGGATACAGGTGGGAGGAAGGGAATATGTAGAATAAGGCCCAGGGAGGATCAAAAACAAACTGGCACTCTCCAGACTAGAAATCTGCACAGCCGCTTCTTTGGCTTGTGTCAGGCTTTTAAGAAATATTAGCACTTAATTCACTATTTTTGTTTATTGTAGAGAATAAATCACTTTTATTTGCATTGTTTTAAATGTCTAGTTTCTCACAGATTTAAAGTTGCAAGTAAGATTTAGGTTTTATTCACAGAAGTATCCTAAAAGCTCTTAAGTATTTTTAAAACTGGATTATCCTACAAGTCATTTAGTTGATTGGCTTCTATAATCTATATTTCACAAAAAGATGCATTTTAACTATTAGGAACAAGTTGTCAAAAAGCATAATGTGCTCTTGGTTTGCACATGACTTAACTGTACAACTGTTTCCTGCTTCCCCTGGGCTCACTATTTTCCAAATGCCAACAGCTCAGATGGCACCAAAGAAGCTTGCCATGGCACAGCAGTTTTATTTTGATACAGTCACCTGATCTCAGGTATAAGCTCCGGATTGCACTTCTAGAGCCACTTCCTGCTTCAGGAACCATAAACTAAGTCAACCAAAGTGAAAATACAGGCTAACCAAGGGTAGTCACACTTTCATTTTGGAAATAAGTTTAAGATGAACAGGACTGAGAATAATGTTTAATGCTTGGAGGAGAACAAAATCAAGGTGATAAAAATACTAACTAGACAACATGCTTAAGTAGACCAGCATTTTACCCAAAAAAGAAAACACAAACATCACTTCCTTTATTTTGGTCTCCCAAAATTAAAAATGAGATTAAAACTAATATAGCCAGTCTATCACAGGCATTTAGTATAGTGAATACAACAGTGTACTAACAAAAATAATATACAGCTTTTCTGTGTTTTTATATCATTTTTCTCCCACAGCTATTGAAAGTATTGAAAGGTTTCAGCCTCAGTTTGAAACATGACAGGCTATAAATTAATAGTTCTCTGTCTTTGGAAAAGTACGGCTGGGGCATTTGCTTATTTTAGTACAAGGGGAAAATAAACACCAGACCTGCAATTAAGTTTTTAACAGTGCCAAGGAACAAAAACAGACCTATCACAGTTGTTAGTAATTAAACAATTACCAAACCAGGTGTGCTTTACACACCTGTAATCCCAGCACTCAGGAGGCTGAGGCAGGATCACAAGTTTGAGGCCCAGCCTGGGCTATATACCAAGACCTGGTCTCAAAAAGAACCAAAAATAACATGCCATTGTATTGATCTTGCCATGTTGTCACCTCTGTGGGTTAATAGGCTGACTCATTTATTTCTTGCTTTGATTTTCTCTTCCATGACAGAATACCAAGAGACAAAACCCAAGTCTGCCACACTAGGTGCATTTGACCTTTGTCATTTCTCCCTAGTCTTGTCCCTGTGCCATGTAAAAAAGAAAGAAAGAAAAAAAAAAAAAAAAAAAACAGTTCACAGTGGTAAGCTGTCTGCTTCTGATGGGTAGGAGGTATATATAATGAAATACTCTCACAGCATAGACTTGATAGTTCAATTATAAGTTGTTTTCAGCATTTCTCAGCAAGGATACCTTGAGGTAACAGGAAGTATTTTGATAAGTGGAAATAAGTCTTGCTTGGAGTATTACTTGTTGAACTCAGGATTTCATCTCTGAGTATTAGACAGTTCCCAATAAATGGGTATATTTTGAGGAATGATCCTACAGAAGTTAGTGATATCTTGGTGGGATCAGATTTAGAAAAGTGAAGGTGCCTTCCAGTTCTACAAGTCTGTGACTGCATTGGGACCTAATGGGAGATAGAGGAACGGGCCTCTGTGTGAATGATCCAAGGAGAGCCTGGGGGAGGACTGTACTTGCCAGAAGCTGAGGAGCAAGACAAGGTCAGAAACAGGCAATCAATTCAAGAAAACATCAAATTGGGTTCATATTCAGGTTCTGTAACAGTGATATTCATCAACTGAATTAATTTTTAAAGAAATGTGTATATTCATTGATTGTCACTATAAGAAAACCAAAACTCCAAGCTTGACAAAGGGACTAAAAGCATACTAATTTTTTTGGCATTCCCATGTCAAGTCATTATTTTCTCTCTGGCTCAACGGGCAGCATTTTATACATAATTAGGGACAATTGGTACTAGGTTCCTGGGTTTACTGAAGTACAATTGAAGTTTCTATGCATACATGGAATTTTGTAGAGCTGGATATAATCTCACATTCCAAGGGACAAGAGTTTGGGAGGTAATTAAAATCAAATTTCAACATAAGCTACTTTTTCAACTTTGTTTCTGTATTTATACTTCATTATATAGAAAGTAACATCTTTCCAGTGCCTAACAGTGGAGTCTAAAGTCATTGACTTATTTATTACCTTGAGATCATCACTGCCAAACAGTAGAAAGCACTGAGGTTCTTCAATGATAGAACTCAATTCAAAGTGAAGTACTTTCAAGAAATTGCCTTATTTCTTTACAAAATGTAGATAATATCAAATTCAGGAAGGTACTCTCCATGGAATTGGGTTTGATTGCAAATAAGGTTGTAGAAGTTTCAGGCAATTATTACATGAATGCTTTTCCATTAATCTCACTATAATTACTGACATTTGGGGGTGCAAATAGAGAAACTATGACCAAATTCTAGCTCATTACTAACAAACAGTGCTGTTAGCCAATTACTCATTATTTAAATAAACTGACTTTTCAAAATTAAAGTTTAAGATACACTGGATCTTGAGACATCATGAAAATCTCTTTCCTCTCAAAACTGGGTAAGTTTCCACCTGTTGAAACAGCATATTGAGATAACAAATCCGAGAGAGGGTTGAGCACAGCTGCGTTACAGCTTTTACAGAAAGACGTTTTGTCTAGGCACAGCAGGTGTGTTTACATGTACATGAATTACTACTTGAGGTCACAAGGGATTCATTTTTTTCTTGCTTTTGACTTCTATTAATTCACACACCCTGAATTTTAGGGTTTAGGCTTATACACCGTTCTATTTCTTAGCGTGGTTTGCTTAATCTGAGTGTTTGAACTTCAGATGAACCTGGCCTGAGGTTTAGAGTTTGTAATGAAACTTGAAACTAAGCAAACTTGAAACTAAGTTTCAGCTTAGCTGTAGAAGTCTTCATGACTTCAGGGCATAGGAAACATGGCTGGCACATTTTAGAAACTGGTCATTGTTTTAAAGTCTGCTATGTAACACAATAATTGACTCCGTGGCCAACTACTCTGCAGTTACAAAACCAGAAACCCCCAAGAACCCTCTTCCGTTCTCCCTGTCTAATTTTCCTTCTGCACCTTCGTCCTTAATTTAGCAAGCTCTTCTTCTAAACTTTTGATGTGCTCCTTCAGAGTGGCCTTGTCTTGCTGGGCTCTCTGATTGGCTTGGCTTCGCGCTTCTTCGATCTTCCTTTCATACCACTTTTCCATCTGAGTAGAAACGGCCTCAAAAAAATACTGGGTGAGCTCCAGTGCTTGTGAGGTGTCTCGACCATGAGGGGCGGTGGCCTGGTCACTGCTTGCTGCTGCTGGCAGCTGCCTGTGAGGGCTGCTGGCTGCTGGCTGCTGGCCTCGATGCCTTGTCTGGCCACTTCTACCAGACTTCTTGGTCTGGGTGCCTCTATTGACACAGGAGCCCGCCTGCTGGTCACCTTTGGCTGCCTCATTCAAGGGCAGCAGTGCTGTCTGGACCTTGACATTCCTCAGTCGGGAACCTGTACAGTCAGAAGAAGACAGCTCCTGCTGGAGTCTGTGGGTAGCTGTGGAGTTGAGGGCCTTTTCCTTGGGTCGAACCACCTGAGAGGAACTGTCAGATGCTGCTGCAGGCCCTGCAGTCGCCAAGGATTGATCCACACCTGGTTTCAAGGGAAAACAAAAGTCAGAGCAAGTGGCGGTGTGGTGACAATGGTTTGACAGTCCTGGGAATCTGTAAACCAGCAGCCTCCTCAATCTCCACCCACCACATGCAGCTTCTTTTCTGTGGTCTCCACCTTTTTATTCCTTCTACTTCGTCTCCTAGGATTGTCAGTTTGGCTTGTCGGGGCTCTCAAGGATTCTGAGTTCTAAGTCAAAGAATTTTCTGGCTTTCTAGACTGCCTCAATCTACCCTATGAGTTGTGTTGCCTAAGGACTACACAACTCACCACGTGTCTCAAAAAAGAATGGCCACTTACCTATGAGAGTGAATACCCTATTCTCTAACTTCTGGGCCATAAAAGCAGTGTACCAGATTCTTCACCCAGGCTCCCATCTGGAGCGGTGGTCTATTTCCCTCACCCACAGCTCTGGAGTAAGTGACGTGACTGTCCTAGCATGAAAAGATTGCTCAGAATATTTCCAAACGTTAGCATAGAAAAGATAAAACCGTAGTTCCAGACGTGGTTGTGTTAAAACACTTGGTATATTAAAGTCCCCCAGGGAAGCCTGATGACCAGGCTCTGAATGCCCTCAAAGTGGTCATCCTTGAGTGTGATCCCTGTGAAGGATGTGCTCCTTGAAGCAGCACTAACCTAGCACCTGAGGAAAGTTCAATACACAGACTAGCACATTTTAATGAGGCTCGCATACTGGACAAATGCAATCTTCTCCAATCAAGAAGAAAGGAGAAAAACACCCACAAAAGCAGAGAGCCCTGCTGAGGAGACAGGGTCATTCATCATCCCTTGTCCTTGGAGTCCACTGTGACCCCATCAATACTGAACCTGAAGCAATCAACAATTCTGCTATTCTTTCATTCAACTATGCCTCAGTTTTCTGGTGGCGCTAGAGATCAAGCCAGGGCCTTCCATGCTAGGAAAGCACTCTATCACCAAGCTAAACCCCCCACCCCTCAGATATGTTTGAACATTCAAATAAGAATGGATAATCAGCACAGTAGTGTACACCTGCAATCCCAGCACTAGGAAGGCTGACATAGAAGGGTCACGAGTTTGAGGCCAGCCTGGGCTACCCTTGGGGTGGGGGTGCTTTATTTTATTACTGCGTAGGAGCCGGAGCTGAATATGTAGTTGTGAGTGAAACGCAGTCCTTGCCCAGTGCATTCCACAGCCCTGTCACATGGACTGCTCAGGGCAGGACAGAACAGGATCTGCGGGGGCTCACTGTTTTGGACAGAAGGACTCTGTCTACCTGTGGGTTACCTGTAGAGGAGTCACATGTGGAGGGTGTGGATTTAGCCTTGGACGTCCTAGACTCTCCAGAAAGCTTCAGCTCCAGATTCTGAATCTTTAACATGCACCAGGTTTTTAATTCATCCACCAACGACATCTAAAAATAAACGAGAAATACAAAGAAGAACGAGGCGAATTTCACAGGTGACTTATGAATTAAAGCATCAATAACGAACTTTTGAATTATCATGGTTGAGGTGGCCATTTTGACAAATCTAAAAATTGTAACTACCCATCCCCCCGCAGTCCATGTGCATCTAGCACCCAAACCAAGAGCCATCTATCACCGTCATTAGAGCCACCCTGACCTCCAGTGTCCAGAAGCCACCTGAAACATCCAAACTAAGCATTTCTGGCTGCTTAGAAGCACGAGCTCTTGCATGTGCTCAGCAACACACCCTATCTGAACTATAGGTTCTTTGCCACTAACTTCATTTTAAGGTTACAAAAATAATAAGCTAGGTAATACAAATGCTCTCCAGGAGTCCAGGCCTCCGAGTGTTCAATGGTGGGTCTGACTCTTTTAATTGTAAGGAAAGGCTGAAGACCCTGGCTTTACCTGTCGCTTCTCTCCGTCGTGCTTCTCGGCATCTGAGTGCTGCTGCAGGCGACTCAGGCACTCGGTTCTCTCTGCTGAGAGTCGCTCCACCATCAGCTTGTCCAAAACACGCATCTGTGATTCAAGAGGAGCAGAATGCCCACTGAGACATCAAAGGAAGAGCCATGGTCTCTGCACGTGTAAGGACCAGCTCAGGCCTTTCCAGCAGGGGACAAAGGCAGCAAGAAGACTTCACTCCTGTCTGTCCTGCCTCACATAGCTTCTCAAATTCCTGTGCACAATCCTAAATGGTCAGTGCTGTTTCTTTCATTCATTTGTACAAGTCCTAAGAATACAAGTCCTATGAATACAGAATAATACACACCTGAGCAAATGCAGATCCGGTGGGCAAAAAATAATTGTATAGGCCTTAGAACATTAGTACCAAGACTGCTCTTAGGAACAACTATCTCTAAAGGTAGGGAGCTCTTCTTGTAGTCTACACCAGCCTTGGGATAGCTAGCATTCCTATAATGCAGTCCTCTAGGGACACAGGTGAACTGACATGGATTTTCTATACACAAAACAGTCTTAGCTAATATATCATGATCCTAAGAAAAGACTTTTTAAAATGGGCTTTCCACAAAATGCAAATATCAAGCAAATCTTAAAAATGTTCAATCTCAACAGTAAATAAGGAAATAAAACTTAAATAGTGAAATGTCTTTAATTCTGCAAAATCTTTTAAAAAATAGTAAGTGATGGCAAAGATTTGAGACAAAAACTTAGCCACTGCTGGTGGGGTGTAAATTGGCACTTTTCTATTAAGCAATTTGCCAATATTTATCAAGTGCCTTAGACGTTAACATTGGACCCAATTATCCCAATGCTAAGGAAATATACTGAGAAGGGGTCAAAAGTTTCTGCACATGAATATTCATCTTAGCATTGTTTATAAGACAAAAAAATGAATAAACAAATAATGGTGTATTAATATGCTGGAATATTAGCTAAGGACATGGGAAAATACAACACAAAATTAAGTGTAAAAAGCAGGAAACAAAATGTTATTCCTCCATACCCAGGAACAGTACATGCCACTCCAGAGCTACTGGAGCTCCACAAGTCTAAGGCATATTACTAGATAAAAAGCAAGCTGCCAAAAAAACAGTATGGTTCCATATTTGCAGAGTCTGGTGGTGCATGACTGTAATCCCAGCCATTTAGCAGAAGGAGGCAGAAAGGTCACAAGTTCAAGGCCAGCTCTAGCAAAGTTAGCAAGGCTCTATCTCAGAAACAAAATGCAAATAAAGGGGCTGGGTGCATGACTCAAGTGGTAGAGCATTTGGCTAGTGAGTGTAAGACCCTGGGTTCAGTTCCTGCTACAGAAAAAAATCATTATGGAGGTTATATCTATAAGAGAGAAAACCTGTATGAGATGGAGGCACTCTTTTGGGAATGTCATTGTGAGACACATTTCTGTGTTCTGGAATGGCTTTTCCAAAACACATGTGATTTTGTATGTTTCCTTAAAGAGTTTTTTTTAACCTGGAAAATCTTATGCATTACACATTTCTTACTAATAACAAAGGGAAATGTACCTTTAAGACAAACGAAAATGGGAATTACTAGCTTAGCCAAGTAATCAAATCAGCATCACTAATAAGGAGACAGCCTGACATTAAGACTGGCAATATTTAACCTGAACCTCTTAACTACCTGGACCAGCAGTTCTCAAACTTTGGCACATACCAGCATCACTGGAAGTCTTGCTAAAACACAGGCTGATGGACCCTAGACCAGAGTTTCAGTCACAGTTAATTCAGTTCAGTAGATCTGGAATGAGGCTGACAACTGCTGGTCCAGGGACCACACTTTGAGAACCACTGCTCTAGACCTAACTTTCAGTTTACAGAAATAGAAGGATGGAAGAACTTAAATAACATCATGAGGAAACAATCAGAGAAATCTAGGATATGGTATATCCTATTAAACAACTGATTTGCATGTTTAAAAGAGATAATAGCATGGAAAAGTCTGGAAGAAATCAGAACTGTGCTAAATCAAAGGCACAGTGTGAATTTTGGGATTAAAAACAAAAACCAGCTCAAAAAACATTGAGACAATTGAGATATGAACTGAATATAATGTAATTATGTTAATTTTCTGAGTGGTAAGGGTATGGTGGCTATGGAGGAGAAAGTCCTTATTCTTGGGGGGTGTGTTCTGAAGTTTTGAGAGGTGCCACGTCAGGACGGTCTGCAACTAAACTTCCCACAGTTGCACAGGAAAAACGATGTGGACATGAGAGAGACAAAGCAAATGGGTAACATATTGAGAACTGGTCAGCCTCTTCCTATAAACTGCCGAGGTAACCTGTGAAAATGGTTTGCTACTCTCTTGATCCAGAAAACTGCATAAAAATCATGTCAATCAAGAGGTTCAAATCTTTGTGTTCAGTTTAAGAACCAAGAAACTGTCCAAGGCATCAAGGGTATACATATCCACCAAGCATCTGAAAGAAGTCATTTTCAAGAAGCAATGTGTGCCATTCAGCGTTACAATGGTGGTGTTAGTAGGTCTCCTGCAGCCCAACAATGGAGCCTGACACAGGGTCAGTGGTCCAAAGACAGTGCTAAAATTTTGCTTCACATACTAAAATGTGGAGAGTAGAGCTAAGCCTGAAGGTTTAGATGTAGATTCTCAGGTCATGGAACATGTCCAGGTGATCAAAGCACCCAAGACGGGCCACCGTACTTACAGAGGTCAGAGTTGGATTAACCTGGACATGAGCTCCCTGTGCTACACTGAGACACTCCTCAATGAAAAGGAACAAACCGCTCCTCAACCAGAAGAGGAGGTTGCATGGAAGAAAAGTTGCCCTAAAGAAACTGAATAAACAAAAACTTACGGCAAAAGAATAAATTCAGCAGAAAATAAGTACAAATACAAGTGAAAAAAAAAAAACCTGGTTGAATCTAGGTGAGAGTATACAAACATTCATTAGTTTCTTCCTAAAGTTTTTTTGTACAGTTGACAATTTTCCAAATAAAAAGTTGGAAAAAAGGAACAAAAACTACTACAGACATCATTATTCTAATTTTGTGTGCAACTGGCAAGGGGTATAGGGCACAATGGCATATAAAGATTGGAAGAAGCCAAGGTGAGTAGCTCAGGTAGTACAGCACCTGCCTAGCAAGCTTGAGGCCCCGAGTTCAAACCCCAGTACCACAAGAAAACAAAAACAAACAAAAAAACCACTGAACAAAATTCCATAATGCAGGCCTGCCAGGCCAGTATTCACTCTCAGGGCACAGGGCTATGCTAACACCTCTCTATTTTATTTTTTTGCTTTTTGGAGGCAGTAGCTGGAACCCAGACCCTTGTGCATGCCTGGTAAGTACTTATCACAGAGCTATGCTCCCAGCGGGCACACCTAACCAGGAGGCTAGCCCACTGCTTACTTGGTGCTGTGTTTTGGCTTCCATGTGGCCCAGCTTCATGTTAATTTTATCTTGCACAGACCCCAGCTCTGCTTTTATCTCTTCCACGGTTGCTTCCAACTGATTCTCCAGCTTATTGATGAGAGGTTCACAGCGACAACCATCTATTGGTGCCTAGGAGGGAACAACAAAAAGGAAGCATGTTCTCCTTCGTTCTTCCACAAATGTCTTCACTGTATGCCTGGGTGCAGATGATGGAGGGGGGACATCCCTGCCCTTGTTCTGGAAACCCCATCCTCTGGCTCAGTTTCAGGTCCAGAAGTCTCAGAGGGTAAGACATGGCCCCTGTTTTCAAGCCATCTGTCTCTACCCTGGGCCTCAAGATGAAGTTCCCTAATGACAGTGCAGAAAGCTGTATAACTGCACCTCTATATGCCAGGACCTAAGTGGCAGGAGTGGATCTGTACTGTTGGGGTGCAGAGGCCCTCTATGTCATCTTCTTATTAAGTCAATGCCCAAAATGGCCATCAGCCCACAGGAACAGAGCTCACCAGCCCCACTCTGGTTCCCATTGGGCCAGGCTCTGTGGGTACCTGCATCACTTTCCCATCCTTGCCCCGGTACAGTGTGTACAGTTGGTAGGCTCTGAACTCGTGGGGCGGGGGCGGGGAGGAGCCCCGGTGCCTGCTCTTCTTTCTGGGGTGGTGATGAGCGTGCAAGTTCTTCTGGTGTCCAGGCTGCTGGTCTACCGGAGGGGTGGGGTCAGACAAGGCTGACACCTGTGGGGTAGGAAGAGGCGACACCCTTGAGTCCTGCCACATCTACGAGAGTGACACCAGCCAATGGCTCCATCTCCCCCACTTTTGGGCATACAACACCACCTGGCTTCACCTCATGGTATTTGACTTGGTAACATATGTCAAAAGAAGAAACACATTGGCATGCTCACCTGGTCTGAAGTCAGTGAGATTTCATTTCTATGCTCTGGCTCCAAAACAGCTAGAGAAGTGAGGTGGCTTCTTAGCTGCTGGCCACAAGAGTTCCAGGACCCTGCACCAACCTGCCTCCCAGTCACCCCACCACTGCTTAATGTGCTTCCTCACCTTGGGTCTCGACTTTCTTCTCCTGTTATCCTTTGCTCTGGGCTCTGGGGAGGCTGACAGGAAATCTTCTCCAGCCTCTTCTTTTCTGAGCACAGCCTGCTCACTGCTGGGGGTGTCTCTGGCTGAGCCACTTCCCTGCAGAGGAAAAAGCCAGAAGCCTGTTCTACCTACACCTGGGCCTCTGTCACCAAGATTCCATCCAGTAAGAGGTCCCTGGTAATCTTTGCCAATGACATAAATTTCACACACACACACACACACACACACAACACTGCTTGGTGGTTTTAATGGAACATATACTACTTTCCATGATTGGTTGAATAGCTGGTTTTTATTTTATCTGATAGGTCCCTAATGAAATCTAATCATGAGTCCAAAACTATGTTCTAGATCTCCAGGACCCCTGCATACACAAAAAACATTTGAGGTTTTTGGGTCTTTTGCATTTCAACAAAATATAACCCCACTCATTCTGTGAAATTGGACCCGCCGCCATTTATGGCAGAGAGGGAATACTCTGAAAAATGGAAAATGCCATTTTTCTGACCTTTGTGAGATTCTTTGTAACTTGATATGCATAATTCATGAGTAGAAACTAAGAGTCATAATGCCTTAACCCTGGAAACCGATGAGAGGATTTTGAAACAGCGCAGAGAACAAGTCCTTGGTGATACCATTTTATGTGTCTAAGAGACCTAAAAGGGCTGCCAGGTACAGCTGTGCAATCAATCTGTTCACTGCACCAGGGTACCCAGCTGAGGGTGGAAAAAGGAGGGCTGAAATCTGTTCACCATGTGCCTCCTGTACAGGGCAGGTGTGCCCTGGGTTCATCTTATTCTGATTTGCACACAGAAGCCAGATGGGACAGCAAAGCCTTGGTCCATTCTCTAAGTGGAAATGGAGGAGCAGCCTGTGCCAGTAGCTCCATCAGAACCACCTGGAGGACTTGTTCAAATGCAGACTGTGGGGCCCCACACCATTCGAATCAGAGGATCTGAGGTGAAGCCTGGGAACCTGCATTCCTAACAAGGCCCCACGTGACACGTGGACACCACACTTGGAGAACTGCTGCTCTGTAAAATTACAGCATGGTGTCTGGTGGGACAAGGCCATATTACACAGGGCTGGTAAATCCCCACATGAGGGTGCTGGATGGCTGGCGGGCAATACATACATATGGAGGCACAGGAACTGGATGGAGTCTTAGAGGAGCAGAGGGCATGAAGCCAAAAGGAGAAAGAACTCTAGGGTGAAGGACAGCCAGAAGACCCGACAGCCACCAGTGAGCCCAGCAGGAGCAGGGGGTATAGCAAGCAGACAGGCAGGCCAGGAGGGAGGACCTCACACCTTGCTCTGTGCCACCTCATCTCTGGGCACGGACTGGGCCCTCCTTCCTTGCTTGAGCTTCTCTCTCCTCTTCCGCAGGCTTCGCCCACGACTGAAGCGCAAGACCTGACAGAGACAAAGGCATCGTTACAGAAGGCCAGTGTACAGCACTGACCTGGCATTGCGACCCAGGGGGACCTGCAGCCTAAGACGAGACACCATGCATCCACATAAAATAAGCAACTCTGCACTTACAATGCAAGCACTACAGGGACACAAAGATAGGTAAGATATTTTCCTGAACTCAAGAAGTTTAGATTCTATGAAGATGACAGTTGGCCCAGCATAGCCAAGGATGTATGCCCTGGCTGCACACTGCGTAACTCCAGGGAGCACCACTCACATCCACTAGGAGATGAATGGCGTCCCTGGAGTTGTGCCATGGGGCAGCCCTATACCAGGCACAGCCTCATTCTCTACTTTGGGACACTAGATCTAAACTAGCACATCAGACTTTCGCTTGGTCAAACTGTGTCCAAATCATATTTGATTCAAACACCACTGAGGTTCATCTATGATTCATCATACTAACTGTGGCTTCCAAAAAGAAGTATTTAGTAGGTCCCTGGTAGAAAGGAAACAAATAAGGACATAGAAGCAGCTGAAGGGTCTTTAGGAAAATGATTCTGCCCTCTGTGCTGTCTCCCCTAACATAAAGACAGAGACAAGAAGGAAGCTAGCACACAGCGGACCCTCAGTCACTGCCAGGAGCCTCCCTTCCTGCCTTACACTTGCTCAATAGGCAGAGGATGTTTAACCACAGAGTATGGATATTTGAGCTGCTGGAAACCTGCAACCTCTAGTCCACAGTATTTAAGAATGTAAAAGAGTCCTGAGACCAAAAACTCTAAGAACTGGGCTGGGGGTGTAGCTCAGTGGTAAAGTGCTCACCTAGCATGTGCAAGCCTGGGTTCCATCCTAGCAATGAAAGAAACAAAAAGGCTTGAGAATTACATCCCTAAACATTTTCTAATGCTCCATTTGGATTCACTAGGAAGTCAAGTCTGATAAAGTGACAAGTTCTGACCATCCACATGCTCTGTGGACTCTTAGAATAGGGCACAGCATCAAAATCAGCCAGAGACTCCCTTCTAAGCACTTGTGAACCACATAAATCAAATATGACAAGTGACAATGGGAGGCCACCCAAACCCCAAGTAATCATTGACAAAATTCTCTCCACTTACCATGCTACTAGCCAGTGAAAATAACTGCACAGTTTACAGCCTTTCTCAGTGAACCATACCATGTACCAGATGTAATGCCATTAATCTTTTCCAGTCCACAGAAATCAGGCAATATTGATTTTCAGGCCTCAGAAAGAAGTATCCTCTTACTACCACTGTGGCCCAATAAAATCCATGGCCCACTAAGGGGCTAAAAGCAGAGGATTTCTCTTTGCAGATGAAACAAGAAATAAGACTGTTTCTATAACTACAAATCAACACAACCCTATGCATAAAATCTTATGCATATTTTAAAGTAGAGGATAAGGTTTAGCATATACAACTGTATGTGAAATAGATTTCCATGCCATCCAGCTCATTTGAGACTCAATATGGGTGTGGAAAAACTGAAGTCATGTTTAAATGAAAACACAAAATGGGAGAGGCACAGGGAAACAGGAAAGCTTTTTTTCCCTATAAAGTCCTTGGACTTTGGGAGACAAACAACAGGCAGAGTTAAGATGCATCAGTCTTCCTGTGCCTGGGGAATTCTCCAGTCCCACAAGATCTGATGATCTTTGTATGGCCAAGGAGGGGCCTGGCTGTCTATCAAGTTGCCAAATGCTAAAATCCCAGATAAATGAGATAGATTCTGACATTTATGTAGCACCCTGAACTTGTGATCCATGAGAGACCAGCATTCTTCTATCAGGATTCATGGATGTGATTCCACTGATGATGCTTTTCAAAAAGCTGAGGGATGTGGGACACTCCACTCCTGCAGCTTCCCACACTGATTCCCTCCCATCAAGAGTAGACAGGTTTCCAGAGACCAGTGAGAAGGACCAGCTCTACGCTCAAGAGGGTGATCAAGTTTGGAAAGACAAAAAAAAAAAAATAGTTCTGGAAACTGCTATCATATTAGGTGGTAAGTTTTTAAAATTTAAATGAAATGAAGATCATGCAAACCCCTGGGCTAGTTTGGTACCGAGCAGGGTGGTGTTTAGAATCTTTTCACTCCATGATACTGGCTTCTTCTTGCAACATTAGGCAGAATAAGATGGAAAACAATCAGTGTTTGCTATAATGTAATACAGAATAGCTCTGATCTGGAAATAATCTAAAGTCCAACATTAAAGAAATTACTTAAAATACTGAAAGCAATAAAAAGATATACTTTCATTATAGTGAATAATTATGAAGGCTGCAGGACATTATCCTATGATAGCTAGATAAAAGGCAGAATATAAAGGGTGTATAAAATATAGACCCAATTATTTAAAAAAAAAACTGTGTATCTGTGGAAGATAAAATAAAGAAACAAAGGCAGTTACTTCAGGGTTTATAAATTATATTAAATGTCTTTTTTTTTTTTTTTTTTGCGGTACTGGGGTTTGAACTCAGGGCCTTCACCTTGAGTCACTCCACCAGCTTTTTTTTGTAATGTATTTTTTTAAGATAGGGTCTCATAAACTATTTGCTGAGGTTGGCTTCGAACCATGATCCTCCTGGTCTCTGCTTCCTGAGTAGGTAGGATTACAGGTGTCAGCCACCAGCACCTGGCTATTAAATGTCTTTATTGTTGCTTCGATAATGTCAACCTCAATTCAAATAATGGCATCAGCCATCTTTTTTAATGAAGGCTAAACTACCATTATTCAATAAAAAAGGAAAGCAAGTACTTAACTGCCTCTGGTGAATGTTCACTGCTCTGTGTGCCCAGAAAGGCCCCTGTCCCCCACCTTCTTCTGGAAAATGCTCCGAACCTTTTTGAAGGCCCTGTCCACTTGTTCAGGAGAGGATTTGCCCCACTCTCTGTAATCACAGTCCTCTCCCACAGTGTTTAAACTGGAGCTTCTTCCCTAGCTGTGTAGCTGGGAAGTTGTGGTCTGGGAGTTGGTAGTGACAAGGATCTGCTGTCAGGGAGAAAATGACACCCATGTATAGAGTGAGGACTTATAAGTCTCTGGTTCCAGTCATCCAGGAGGCCCTCACCAATTCCTGCATTTTCCACTGCCCAGCTAGTAAGCCTATCCATTTCCTACTTAGTTTCAATTGGCTTTGATAATCACAACCTCAAGAACCTCATTGATTTTGTAGCCCCATGTAAAGGTACAATGGAAAAGCAGTAAATCCTACCTGGGGAGCTTTAGTGAGGAGCAGAGCCACTTCTGGGTTATTGTGGTAGCGAGCAGTCTCCAGTGGGGTCTGGCCTACCTGAGGAAAGGCAGACGGAGGACAGGTGAGAAAGGGACACCAGGGCAGGCACTTCTGCATTGGGTCACACCAGCACCTGCATGTGCTCAGCCCCATAGGAGGTGCTGCTCCTCTCCTCAACCCTGTCCCATACACTGAGGGAGCAAGTCACCCCTGGGCACGCATAGGTTAACACTTCTCGGAAATGAGTGCTTTAGGAGGCAAAGGTCTGGGCACTGCCTATCAAGGAATGCTTCCTGGAAAAAGACAGGAAAAGGTCAAGAAAGAGCATTTCTGTTGAGAAACAAGAGAAAGAATCATTAAATCCTCCTAGCAATGAATTTTCCCTGGAGAGCAGGGGGCAAGACGCCTGGAGGGGCAGCCATAGAGTTTCAGGACTTGGACTGTGAAAACAGAAGCTATAGTCGTAATGTAGGCTAAGGAGAGTAAGTCAAAACCCAGGAACAGATAACAGTGGGATTCAAAAGGAAGGGGAAGGTATGCTAGGCATCACGGGAGAAGTGACTGTACCACCCAGGGAATGTTCTAGGGCTATCTAGAGAAGGCAGGAGGAGAATGAGCGCTAGGTACAGAGCCTTTTGCCTGCTTCGACACATCTGAATCCTACACAACAGTTCTGCCCCAGGCCCCTCTGAGCCTTTTGGAGGCACTGACTACTAGTCAGCCTGGAGGAAGAAGGGAATCTGGGCTGGTGCCTGCTGTGGAATCTGGAGGAGGGGAGGGGAACATGACAGAGAAGGAAAGAGTGAGGTGAGACAATCTGGGAGGAGCTGGAGTTAGTTTGATGGCTATGAGTACATTTTTCTGAGGACCATGTGTGTTCACAGGTCTGGAAAGTCACTTTTGGATCACCCACTTACCAGTTTAGACAACTTTGAGCTTCCTTTTCCTGCCAGGTTGTGCTCATTGTAGCTAGGTCTCTAAAAGGGGGCTGCCAAGGTTTGTCAACTCCTGTGGCTGCTTAAAGCTAGGGTTCCCTCAAGTCTGCCCTGAGAGGTGTGGCTTCAGCTGAGCTTGTTGTATCCTTGGGGCTTGCAGGGGGTTAGGTGGTAACAACACATCCCATCCCAGAAGTGAGTGAGAAACCCTTGAAGCCACTGTTGCAACTCAACTTACATTATTCACAATGGTCCCATCTGCTCCAGCTTCTAATAAGATTTTAACCACCTTCTTGTGGTTTAGGGCAGCGGCAACATGAAGGGCTGTGTCTCCAGCCTGAAATCAATCAGAAAAAAGCCTAAACCCATCTGATCCTGGCCCTCAGCTCCGGCTTTTCATCCCCCAGTGTTGGGTACTCTCCAGTCAAGAGACTGGAGACATGACATGAGGCCCGACATGACATGAGGCCCTCTGTTAAATTGCTGTGTGATGCTATTTAGAGATCTTAGAACTAACTGACACTATACCCAGATCATGTTCCTTTCTGACTGGGTGGGGAGGGGGAGGGGAGGGGATCCAAAAGCCACAGAACAGGATTAAATGCAAAGGCAAAGCCAGTCCTGGGCTAGGGTGCTAAGAATGGTGGGGCCCCAAGTGTCACTGAAACAGGATGATGGGCAGGAAGCCTAGGACAGGCAGCCTTGCCTTCCTAGAGGTATGGACACTGCCCCTGCCCCGGGAAGTCAGACGTCAGAGAACCACCTGGGTTCTGAGTGCAAGAACAGGAGGTAACAACCCAGTCCACAGCCAAGTGTGGATCTAAAGTTGCTGCTGGGACTCGGCCTCTCTGCAGGCTCTTGCATTCTTTGGGTCTACACCCAAAGCCAGTGTTCGTGTAAGACAAGCTGCTTTCTACCTCTTACCATACAGCTAGTCAGAAAATTTTCGTTATACAAAAAGTGTTTTCAGACAATCAACTCTGAAAGGTTAAAGACAACTATAGCTTAGCAGGCCGATTCCAAATGTAAATGCTGTCATTCTCCAAGGAGAATGTTATAAGTGAACTAAATAGAGTGATATAATTCATTCCCTCTCCTGCCAGGGGCCCAGGCAGACAGCCTTCACATTGATATGAAAATTCAATGCTCTCTGAGCAATGGCAAAAATATTTATTTCATTTCTTAGTTGTGTGTTAGGGGAAAAGTTCTGAGGAAGTGTTTTCCATTCCTGGCTCATACTAGAATCCACTGGAAACCTTTTAAAAAACACTGATGCCAGGGTCCCCCTCTCAGACCTGATTCCACTAGTCTGTAGTGTGGGCTGGGCATGAGATTGTTAAAGCGCTAGGTGAGTGTCACATGCCATCATGTGACACCCTGGAGAAACCCTGGAGGGTGGGTATGGAGGAGTAACCTGGTTAATTGGAATCCACTGGGGAATCTGCGTGACCGACTTAGCTGTTTTATTTTTTAGGTCAGTAGTTCTCAACCTGGTTGAACATGCAGACAGGGAGCTTTTAGAAAATACTATGGCTTGGCCCTCAAGCTCAGGGGTTATGGTTCTTTTAAACTGCGGTGGGACCCATGAATGGTATTTTTAATTCTGCTGTTGATTTTCATATGCAGCCAGGTTATAGAGTATATTTAATTTGAACCACAATCTAACTTTTTTAAATTTCAGATTTATGCATCCGAACTCAGAAAAGTTAAACAATGCTTCATTTAGGTATCACAAAATATCTCAACAATCTACTTCTTCTATCCAAAGGACTACTGGATAGCACACGTTTCCAAAGAAGACTGGATGCAGCTTCATTTGAAAACCCCCTATATGGACAGATACAGATCATGTACCCAGTTTTACAGATGTAAGAGACTCCAGCAGCTCAAATAAAAGAGCAAGTGGCAACACGGGGAACAGAACTCAGGTAGTCAGGAGACACCCAACTCCCTTGCTGCGCTACTAAGCCACATTCCTCCTTGTTGCTTACTTGACATCATGTCATAAACAAAACCTGCCCTAGGAGCTCCAAAAACTGTTCAAAATGCAAATGTGGTGATATGCACAGAAATGATCAGGGATAGGAGGCCAGATAAGGGAGGGACACTGGAACTCTGTGGGACACCCATGCAGAGACCAGCACTGGTGGAGTCCCAGATGGTCAGAGGGCAGCAGCTCTCCTCAGCCTCTGTTCCTGTCCACTCTAATACACCCGCTGGGTAGCCATGGGAAGGGTGCTGGTGGGCATGACGAGATACATGCACTGACCTGGTTCTTTTCATGGACTGAACAGAAAGCACTGAGGAGCAGCCTAATGATGGACAAGTGATTATAGCGCACAGCAACGTGCAAACAGGTGTCGCCTGCCTGCGGACAAAAATCAAACTCTAAGCACAGTCAGAAATGACAAAGCATAACAGAAAAACAAAGAGAAAGTATAATTTAAAAGCTGGCAGACTACTGAATATTCTTTAGGGACATAAACATGCATTACAAACAAGTTTTTTAACCTAGATGTTCCACTCCAAGGCTTGCTGTCCTGTGCCCTGTTGCCGTGCTCTGCACTCTTGCTACTGTGCAGAACAACTGTGTGGGTGTACCAGAACCTCTACTTTCATGCTTATGGAACTAGATGCCTGCTCCCCACAAGACCTTCAGAATTGCTAAAGCAGTTGATTTAAAAAAAAAAACCCTCCTCCCCAACCCAACTCAAAGGGTCTGAACCAAGCAGAATTAAGATCAACATCATAACATTGCTTTGGAAATGAGCATTTCCCAACACAGACTCATCATAGCTGGTAGGACCCTAATCTCCCCCATGGAGCAATGTGGCCTAGGGAACTCATGAGCAAGCTGAGAGCAAAGAAGGGCATTCAGAAACTCAGGATCCTTCTTAGTGGACACAGACCAAGCTCTGCTGCCAAAGAGACAACAAATGTGGAGACAGTTGTGATGTTCTGCACTGCAGAAGAACAGCAACCACTCAGCATGTCTCCCCTGGAGTAAGAAAGAGCCAAGCTCAAGGCTGAGGTTCAGAGCATTCTAGAATTGCTTTAGGTGAGATTGTCCCCATATAGGGAAGATCTTGGCAATTTTTGAGAGAAGCCAATGATTCTCTTGCAATTGTGACTCCTGCCAAAGTGTCTACAGGAAAGACAGCATCTTTATGGAGGGAGGATTGATACAGGACCTTTTAGGTCAGGCATCCTCAGTTCACTGGAAGGACACTTCAGTCATCAATGGAATTGTCCTCTGAAGATGCTGAGAGGGGAGCATCACAGGACCTTCCCCATATGGTATTGTCCCATATATGCTGATCCCACAATGGTATTGCCCCATATGTGCTAGTAATAATGCAACACTGTATATGGATAAACTTTCTTAAAATGTTTACAGGCTTCCTAGCCTGCCCTGGTCAGACATGTGCTAGAAGAAATGATAAAATGAACTGAAGTTGAAGAGCAAAGGAAGAAGGGGAAAAGGCAGTACTTTCAAGACTTTTCATTCCTCATCTCCTTGCCTAAATGACCCCTCAGGAAATTAGTGATAAAAAGAATAATTTAGAGATAGAGCCCAAATTCTTTTTGACATTTTCATTCCTAGATGTTAATATGGAAGTATGCTGTGGGGATCATCTTCCAAGATGACACAAACAAGAGAGCACAAAGAAGCCGGTTCTGTTCACCCACGTTATTTTTGAGGTCAGCGCGGGAGCCACCCAGCAGGAGGACTCGTGTGCTCTGGGAATGGCTGTTCTGGCAGGCCAGGTGCAGGGCTGTGTTCCCTGCCTTGGAGAGAGGCAGAGAGAAGGACACATTAGCAACATGCTTCTACACAGACCTGTATGCCTGGGAGGAGGGGATACTTACTCCGGGAGGAAGAGTCAGAGCTCACACAGCCTTCTGATGGAGTCCAAGGGGTGCTCCAAAGTATGCAATCCAAACAGGCCCAAGAGTCCTATCTACCATAAAACCCTGCTCCCAGCCCTGGCTCTGCCACCTACTGGATAAAAGTCACTGAGCAATGCTCAGCCTTGGCTTCCTTACCAGGACAAGGGAGAGTGAGCCCTGTCTTCTGAGGCCGTGAAGGATCAATTCAGGGCCCCGTGGAAGGCATTTTCTGAACGATGAAATGCTGTACACTAGCTCAGCTCAGCATCCCTCTTGGACAGGACATGGGCAGAAGCTGTGACTACAGTGAGTTCTCAGTGCTAGCATAAAGAAAGCCACACAGAGCACTTCCTGGAAGTACAGGCTGACAGTAACTGACTTAACCTATACGCCTTTATCAAATTATCCATTCTTGGACTTGTCCTGAAACATCAAAAATTGACCTGTGATTAGGCATCCCATGTAACAGGAACTACAGCTGCATCTGTGGCTTGCCACATAGAAAAATCCTCTTGCTTTCTTTACGCTGTACCTTCAACATGCCACCTCACAATGACAACCAAGGATCAGGAACCCATTTTTGGTTCTATGGGAATAGGTTGTGCAAGGTGGCTGGTAACCCTAGAAAAGTAACACAGAAAGCAGGCAGTGTAATGGGAAACTTGGACTCAGAAGGTCAAATCTACAAGTCCAGGGTTTGTCCTGTTGGACTCAAGAGCTGGGCCAGGCCTGCAGTGATATAGGCACACAGCTATCACACTGACTGCTTCTTGCATTTTCCTCCCCTCGCTTACTTCCTCGGATCTCACAGCACTGCCTGCCGAAACTCCAGGATATTAGATTCTTGACTTTATGAAAAGAGGAATGAGGAATAAACATATCACTGAAAATTGAATCACCAGTGCCCTTACTGCCCCTCTCATCATAACCTTAGCTGTAGCCGGCCTGTTGGATCTTTTCTTTGCTTCCTGCAGGAATGTAGGATTGGAAGACTATAGCCTGAGGACTCGGTAAGCTCATTGGTTCTCAACTCTGGGCTGGACATGACAATCATGGGAGGGGGCGGTTCCAGACCTCCAATGCACAGCTGCAGCTCTCCTGGGGACCCTGATTTACTTGGTCTAGCAGGTCCCAGTTTTAGCATTGAAAGTCTCACATTCTGGGAAACTTCCCAGTCAACAGCAAACTGGGATAGTCACTCACCCTAGGCTGAGTCATCAAGCCTGGCTTGGATTTTTTTTTTTCCCCTTATTTATTTGGTTTAAAATTCCCCAGGAAAGTCCAGAAAGGGAACCACTGCTAGCTTAGTTCTTAGCAATGAAGGATCTACCCACATTTTATCTACTCCCACTTGTCTCCAAGTTGATGGCTTTGAGACCATAGCTAAATATGCACTGAATAAATGAGTGAAATAAAAGAAATACGATGGTTCTACAAATGTAACACATCAGAATTTACTTCATCAGGAAGAAAATATCAAATATGTAGAAATAATTTGGATCAAGAAAGTAAATCCCTTCTGTTTGGATAAAAAACTTGTTGTGTATCATTGATAGACTATTATGCAGCACAAAAATAAAAGGATTGAACGCGTCATCCATGGAAGAATCTCAACACGTGATGTTATGTGAAAGAAGCCAGCACAAAAGGTTGCATAGGACATGATTCCATTTGTATGGCATTTTCAAAAGGCAAACAGATCTGTGATTGCCAGGGGCTAGGAGGAGGTCACTGAAGGATTCTCAACAAAGGGAACAAAGGAACATGGGTGACAGGAACATTCTATTGTCTTGTGGTAGTGATTATAGGACTGTATACATTTGTCAAAAGTCATAAAACAATACGCTTTCATACCTAAAAAAAAAGTACTTTATACATGTAAATTCTACGTCAAAACCTGACATTTAAAAATGTGACCTACACTGGCAGAGTGGCTCCAGTGGTAGAGTGCCTGCCTAGCATGTGCACGATCCTGAGTTCAAACACCAAGACCACCAGTAAAACAACAACAACAAAAAACAAATACAATAAAAATGTAACCTACAATAGATAGGTGTAATAGGTTATTCTTTTTGCCACCTTAAGCAATGGGTACTCATTTCCCACACAGGGGCTGCTATATTTGCTAAATAAGAAGGAGGATCTTTCTAGAAGCTTTCCAAGAGGCTGGCTGTATAAAAGTCTTCTGGATGGCACAAGTCACCTTACCAGTGCTTCTAAATCTTAGTCACTGTCTAAAGAGAGAACTTCTGGCTTTCCATAATGCTCTTGGGGCCCTCCTTAGGATAGGAGGCAGTGTGTTGGAATAGGTAGACCCAGACTAGCTGATGGCCTAAATGTGTCACAGCGATACCTATGTCATACACTGGCTCCCAGCTCAAACTTACTTATCCATGAACTGGGATGTCCAGGAATGGGTGTAAAAAGAAAATGTGATTATTTATCAATCCATGTTCAGACCACGCACCACCTCAAAAAACTAGTAAGCCACCAGCCTGCCAAGCGGTGAGGCCAGCATCACTGGTGATGTTGCAGGCACAGCCTGATTCTTTCCTTCAAGCTTTTGACTCATATGGGAACCATGAGAAACATTTGACCAGTCAATGGAAGTACAGAGCTGTGTGCAGTGCCAAGGGAAAGCCGCAGGCAGCCTTGTGAACCATCTAGGAGGGAGGCTGAGGCCTGGGTTGGAGAGCAAAGGCAAGGAAGGGCAGGAGTGCAGGAAAGAGAGACAGGAACCACTCTGACAGTGCAGAGGATGCATGCTGGGGAAGGTAATGGAAAGGAGGAGGCCCAGAGCTTCACCGGAAGGTTTCTGAGTTGAAGAGCAGGATAGAGGCACTAGATTCGAGCTACTCAAATGGCTTTGAGGCTTCTAAAATAATCCAGAAGTCTTAAATGAGTGTGGAAGGAGAGGGACAAATAGGAGATATGAGGAAAATGTCCTAAGATGTGAAGAGTGGTAGGAGAGGGAGATAGATGAAAACAAGGGAAATGCATGAGGAGGGACGGTTATTCTGTTCCTGTGTCCATGAGGACAGGGGTGGCTTGCTGTACCACACTCTAATCAGGCAATGGAACAGCAGTTAGGGCCAGATTTCAAAGGTCAAAGCCACTGATGCAGGCTTGTCATTCCTCATGAAGATGACATTCACCGAGATGTTTCCAGCTTTCATTTTTATGTCCTGCAGCAGGTACGGCCCAGAGAAGTCACAACTATGGAGAAGTCCATTTCTGATAGGTTGGTTAATATTATTAGAGCTCACTCTTGATTGGTGTTCAATATCTTGCATAGAGATGTATGTCTTACACTAGAGATATTCAGTTTCAGATCTTGCTGTGCTGTGAAGCTGTACATATACTGTGTGTGTATGTTTTAGGAAGGGTACTTAATGCTGCCCATGGTACCCAGACTGCTGTCACCCAAACCCCACTCTAGCACAGCAACTTCAATACTCCACTACCACCCATGGCTACCATCCAATGACTCCAGATGTGCATTGTGGTAAGTCCTCGACTCCTAACACTTTAACACTTGCCACAGACCCAGCCTGGCCTTCTAAAGACAGAAAAGACAACATGCCCTTTTAGAACCCCTTCTCACCACGACTGCCAAACCCCAGGAATATGGATAATGCTTTTTTTTATTTTTAAAAGAAAATATGCCTCTTCTTCCAACTGTGAAGGAAATAATCAGTTCAGCTTGGGAACTTTGGCAAGGGCAAAAAGCAAAAACAAAAACAAAAATCAGTCCTCAATTTCCTTACATAACCACTGTTCATATACTGATGACATCCTTCCAGGTTTATATATGAATTTACATTGGGCACTGAGACATGTCTGTATGATTTTGAACCCCTCTGTCATGCTCTTTTGCAATGCAAGGGCATTAACTTCAAAACTATGGTGTTAATTATATTAATCATATTCATTATAATGATGAATAAAAATTTTAAATCCCTCTCCCCACATTTTTTATATTTTAATTAATGTTGTCATAAACATCCTTGAGAGTAATTTTTACCAGTCTATTTTATTGCCTTTTGTTTTTTAGAAGGGAATCCTAGGAGTGTAGCTACAGGGTACAAATATAGAACTTTTTTAGGGGAATGTACTAGAGATCAAACTGGGGCACTCATGCAGACTATGCAGATTTCTACCACTGAGCTACATCCTTCCTCAGTCTGAAAGAACCATTTTAAGGTTACTGTTTTGCCAAGTTGCCTCCCAAGGGTGGCTGTTCCCATCATGCCTCCCCAGTAGTATCTGAGTGAACACTCTTGCTACTGTTGGACATTAGTATTTTAAGGTTCTTCACTGGTATTTTTCATGCCAACTCTCTGTTGCTATACTTGTACAATAGTGTCAAGTGATGAGAACATAATCTGATGTAGGTTCCCAGCAGCAGTCAGGGGGCTTCTCCCATCAGGAGGGTTTCAGCACTGTTGGTGGGCATGGTCCTGGCCAGACATGGATCTACTTCTGTCTTTCTCTTCAAATGACCCTTGTGGATGGACTGGCCCTGGAGGGTCTACGTTCCCTCTGAGCAATCTCTGCTCACTGAGAGGAGACTCTTGCAGGGAAGAAGACCCACAGTCATCCCTCACCTGGGAATGAGGAGTTCTAGCACCTGCCGGGCCTCACCTTGTTCCTGGCAAGCACGTTGGCTCCTGCTTTAATGAGCAGCTTAGCTGACTGGCTGAAACCATGCCAGGAGGCTTCATGCAGGGCTGTTCCGTCCTAAGGAACACAGAGGGAGAAGTCGCGTTACCCAAGGCCTAATTCTTGTCATTATGGTCAACATGGCATGATGATTTTGTTTTGTTTTTGGTGGCACTGGGCTTACACTTGCTAGGCAAGCGCTCCACCATTTGAGCCACACTCCCAGCCTTTTTTGCTTTAGTTATTTTTAGAATATAGAATAGGGTCTTGTACTTTTGCCTGGGCTAGCCTGGACCATATCCTCTTATTTATGCCTCTAGCATAGTTGGGATGACAGGTGTACACCATCATGCCCAGCATTTTTTATTGGTTGAGATGAGATCTTGCCAACTTTTTGCTAGGGCTGACCTCGAACCATGATTCTCCTTATCTCTACATCCCAAGTCACTGAGGTTACAGGCCTGAGCCACCGTGTTCAGTTAGGATAGATTTTTATAGTATACATAGGGCCTTTCCTTTTTTTTTTTTTTTTTTTTTTTTTTTTTAATATTTTATTTTTAACTGACAAAATAATAACTGTATACATGCACACAGACATAGACATACATTGTGGAATCATTGAATTAAGCTAATTAACTCTACTTATAATTTTCATAGGCAGTATATTTAAACTTTTTTAGGAATTTTGAAATATACATTTCTACTAACTCTGGTCACCACTCTGTACAATAGATCAGTAAAACTAACAAACTTTGTATGCTTTGGCTATCTTCTATTTACTCATTCTTCCTTTCCACCAGCCCTGGTAAGTGCCATTCTTTTTCTACTCTGTAACCTTGAACTTTTCTTAGAGTGCACATATAAGGGAATTCATGCACCATCTCACTGTGTATCTTTCTGTGGCTGGCCCATTCTGCTAAGCAGATTCATTCACGTCGTTCCAAATGACAGGATTTCCTTCTTCTTTTATGGCCATGTAGTATTTTCTTTATCTGCTCATGTGTTGATGGAATTTAAGTTGCTTCTCTAACTTGCTATTGTGAGCAGTGCTGCAGTGAGCATGGGAAGGCAGATATTGCTATGAGATCTTTGATTTCAGTTCCTTGGGATACATGCCCAGAATTAGGGTTGTTGGATGGCTTGATAGTTCTATTTGTAACTTTTGGGGAATCTCCATTCTGTTTTCCACAATGGCTATACTAATTTACGTTCCCACCAACAGTACACTAGGGTTTCCTTTTCTGTACATCCTTGCTAACATTCATTATCTTTTAAAAAATAGCCATTTTAACAGGTATAAAATGATATCTTATTATGGTTTTCATTTGCATTTGTCTGATAATTAGTAATGTTGAACTTTTTTCATATGTTTGTTGTCCATTTGCTTTTCTTAATAGTAGAGTATTTGGTGATTTCATTCTGTCTCTATCTGCTCAGAGGGGAACAATTCAAAGCATGCATTTCTTGCTGATATTCATTTCATCATAGTGAAAATCTTTTTTTTTTTTTTTTTTTATCTTTAATTCATTAATTCTTTTTTTTTTTTTTTTTTTTTTTTTTTTTTTTTTCATTTTTCTTTTATTATTCATATGTGCATACAAGGCTTGGTTCATTTCTCCCCCCTGCCCCCACCCTCCCTTACCACCCACTCCACCCTCCGCTCCCCCCTCAATACCCAGCAGAAACTATTTTGCCCTTATCTCTAATTTTGTTGTAGAGAGAGTATAAGCAATAATAGGAAGGAACAAGGGGTTTTGCTGGTTGAGATAAGGATAGCTATACAGGGCATTGACTCACATTGATTTCCTGTGTGTGGGTGTTACCTTCTAGGTTAATTCTTTTTGATCTAACCTTTTCTCTAGTTCCTGGTCCCCTTTTCCTATTGGCCTCAGTTGCTTTAAGGTATCTGCTTTAGTTTCTCTGCGTTAAGGGCAACAAATGCTAGCTAGTTTTTTAGGTGTCTTACCTATCCTCACCCCTCCCTTGTGTGCTCTCGCTTTTATCATGTGCTCATAGTCCAATCCCCTTGTTGTGTTTGTACATAGGGCCTTCCTCAACTGGGGTTTCTCATCTGAACCACAGAACAAATACAAAAGTGATTGGAGTGGTCAGTGTCTCCGTTCTGCCAGAAATACATAAGAGCCAGCCTAGACGTGTAGAGACACAAAGGCATGACGGCTCAGGTCTCTCTGGGAAGCCCCTGTTGAGAAAGGCCTTAGAACCCTACAGTGTCTGTCTAATGGCAAGGCACATTATTGAGAGGCCATTTTCCATTACTTCCCATCTCCACTGCCCCTCGGAGTCCACTCTTCCTGACACCAGAGAGAATGCTGCAAAGATGGGGAAAGAAGAGTTCAACTTCTTAAGTTCCAGGGGCCTGATTGGTAGGTTCCTGATTTTTTCCCCAAAATTTAATGTCCTGCAGCTTATTCTAAACACTTTAGGACCCTAAACAAATGGGCAGGTACCAAGGAAACAGTGATGTGTAAACAAGATAAACAACTGTCCTCAAGTGGCTTTAAGATGAAAACCGTCTAATAAACATGGCTTATACATGTTTGACTCATATTTTTATGAAAAAGTAAGAAATAGTACAAAGTGCAGTGAAGCAAGGGGGGTAGGGTTGGGAGGGCAGGTGTTACAGGGATGGAAAGCATGGAGGGACAGGTTCCAGGCCAGGGTGCTCAGCAGGACCAGTGCAGACACATTCTCTATGTTCAGACTATGGCTTCGACTTCCACTCAGACACACTTGTGCCTCTAGAAACATGTGGAAATGTGTACCAAAGAGACAACACCTAATTCAACTGACACCCACAAGACGAAGTCTAGGGCCCAAAGGCCAGGGATGTGAGGCCAGGCTAGGGGGCCAACTATATAAGCAGAAGCAAGAGGAGAGAAGGGAAGTGACAGGGAGGGGTCTTCCAGATGCTGTGAAGGAGTGGCCTCTTGATTTGGGCGTCCACTCAGGTGTGCTCAGGTATGAGCCTCACAAGCAGCGAGTCTTACAATTTGTGTGCTTTTCTGCGCACAAAATGAAAAGTTGTTAGATGAAAAGCAGCAAACACCGAATTACACTTAATTGCAAAATCCCACACTTTTCTGCATGTATTCTATACTTAAATGAAATGTTTTTAGGGGGAAAAAAGTAAGCAGAGGCAAAATCACACGTAATTGCAAAATTCCTTATTTTAAGATTATTTGACAATTTAAAAACATTGGGTTAACATATGCCATTAGGATTCCTTAAAGAAAGAACTGATTTGGCTTCTTTTTTTTTCTTCCAATAGTTTAAAGAAATTAAGTTGCTTCCTTATCCAAAAAGCAAAAGTAAACAGAATGTCTGAGATCATAGCCCCACCCACTCTGGGCCTCTGCAGGCCATGATATCTACATTTTTTTCCCTTTACCACTTGGGTTCATTTGGTTGTCACTGGTGCCACAGAATGGAAGGACAGAGTTTAAAATAGATACAACTGGCTGGGGCTCTTTTAGGAGGAGCTGTGGGCTGATCTGTGTTGAATCACAGTGGTAAGATAGGAATAACATGCTGAGTACTCAAAAGTGGCCAAAGAGCACTCCTCCAGCCCCCACAAACCCCTGCAACTGTCGCCTGGGGATTGAGAGCTGACAGGCCCTGCTTCACCTTATCTTGTCTGTCCAGAGCACAACCCTCTTGGATGAGCGCCGTGATGATCTCAGTGTTCCCCACCACCGTGGCCCGATGCAAGGCGGTCTGGTCCCCCTGCAAAGTTACACAGAAGCAGAAATCAGCTTTCCCCAACACCCCACAAATTCCTCCACTCAGACACCAGGGAATCTCCTATCCCCACACAGAGCAGACTGGTTACTTGCAAAAGGGTTTGGTCACCACAGGCAAGGCAAGCTATGTGGTCCTGTTAGTAGAGAGTGCATACTGACAGAGCAATTTTGTTCACAAACTCCAGGACATCTTAGGTCTATAGCAAGAATCAAACTCACTGGCCTCAGATCAAGCTCAGAATGAGGATCAGGCCTCCTCCTATTACCCAGAGGGATGTGGCAGTAACATGTATGAAGAACCGGGCTGTGTGTGCTATGCAGTTGAACCTGTATGTGATGCCAGCAGTCTTTACTTCCCACAACAGTCCTGGTTCATGGGGAATCAATCACTCTCCAGCTGAGTCAGTTAGTCGCACTCATGCTTTGATGCCAGGTGTATATTTTGTTCACTGATTTGGACTTGCCAAGAGCAACACAGGGGTTTGCTGTGCTTCATCTGAGGACTCAGAGACTGCAGCCTATTCCTGCATATGTCTAAGAAGCTTCTTTGGTTATTTTCTGACAATATCCTCACTGATTTATGCTGTTCTAACCCTTTTCTTTGTGATCAGATTCATGGGATTGCTGAATCAATTTCTCCTTCAGGCACCAAAGGGAACTTGAAGCTTTCCCCTAATTACAGAGGGGAGAAGGGCTAACACTCCCAGGGGTAAGAAGGTCACGACTACAATGACAGTGTTTGAGTCTTTAAGAGCATATTTTATCTGACACATACTCAGGGAGTCAAGTCGAGGCAAAGCAAGTCCAGCATGTGGTCAGGCTTGGAAATGGAGAAATTTCTGATGGAGAGGAATGAGCACAGAGCCAGGGGATGAGACCTCACTTGTGTATAGCCTTGGGAGAGAACTGTCACCTCCCTGGGCCCCAGGATCTTCACCTAATGATCCCCAAGGTCCCTCCCTTCCTTTTTGGACTCTATGATTCAGTTGTTAAGATTTATATACATGAATTTTCCTGACAGAGCATGGCAAGACAAAGAACACACTTTGGGGCACCCCTGGCCCTTAGCCCAAGAGACAAGAGAGACTATTAGAAGACAGATAACAATTTTTTTTAAAAAGGGATGCACCACTAAGTATAAGTAGTCTTAATGAAATGCTGATTCCCTGGGAATTATAACAAACAACAATGCACATTAAAGGCATTTAAAAAACAAGCTCTGGAGATGGATGGTGGTGATGGTTGCACAAAAATTAGGAATGTACTTATTGCCACTGAAGTATACTTCAAAATGGTTATGGTGACAAATTTTATGCTACATACGCATTTTATCACAATAAAAAATCCAGTCAATCCTAGTCAAAACTCAAACCTGCTTTCTTTAAATTAAAAAAGTCTCCATCCAGGGCTGGAGGCATGGCTCAAGTGGTAGAGCGCCCGCCCAGCAAGTGCAAGTTCAACCCCCCAGTACTACCAAAAAACAGTCTTCCTTTAAAAATCCACAGGGGAAGTGAATTTATTTTTTTCCTTATACTTTTTAATATTTCCCAACTTTTTATATTTAACATATATAACTTTGAGCATTAGGAAAAGCTACTAGTTAATAAAGTCTAAACCATAAGACTACACCACAAATGGACCATCCCCATCTCAGAATCCTTTTTGATAGGTTATTGGTAGGTTTAAGGGACTTCCAGAGTAATGGGGTCAGGACATTCAGCCCCATTACCATGATGGCCATCACCACCCTCTCCCTGGCTTCCTAAGCCTTTTCCCCACTATAAATCAGGTTGAGACTAGGTTTCTTCTTGTCCATTTTCTCAGACCCTGATTAAAAAGGACCCACTTGTTCTGTGTGCCATGCGGTCAAAAGGAAAATGTGACGCTGGACCAGAGGATGCTATTGTTACTCATCTCCAACATCCGTGGAATTATTTTCAGATAAGGGTGCTTGATGGCCAAATAAGTCATCAGAGGAGATATTGCCCAAGTCTTACCTTCCCATTTCCCTATTAGACTGATAATGAATTTTCCCCAAATAAGGCTCAAGTGTGACATATTATTACTAACCTGCTAAGAATGATGATGCTCTGTTTCAACAAGAACTGTGAGATTTCAGGGGAGGACTGAATCAGCCAGATTTCCAATTGTTGGAGGCCTTTTTCATAATTCCACAAATAGTAGGCATCTAGCTAGCACTCCTTGGGCAGATCAGAACCACAATTTACAGGACAAAACCTATCATTCTTTTCTGTGCTCTGCTTGAAGTGTCAGCAACAAATCCCAAGCCTGCAAATCATGTCAGCCATACTTGTGGGACAGAAGCTCATGTGACAGGCATTCCCTGCCAGGACTTGGTCTAACATTTCACCATGTTCAATAACCTACTCACTAAATCATGCGTTGATGCAGCTGTGGGGCCATCCCAGCACCATTATGTGTGCTTGCATGCATCATTAACTTAGTGTATTTGCTCCCTTACAAACAACTTTCCTTTGTGAAACTCTAGTTCAATGAAAGCAGCTAAACCTAACCATTGAGAGTTTCCAGATGGATTATCAAGACTCAAGGACATCTAACTACCTGTGTAAAGCTGCAGGAAGAACCCAAATTGTTGCAAACCAGTTGGCATAGGTGTCCCCTCTGAGGAAACCTGACAACTCCATTCATTGTGGAGACTGGTCAGTTGCGTTCATTACCTATCTCCAGTACGCAAGTCCCCTTCCAACTTACTCCTGTCAGACAGAGACATGCTCAGAGCCTGGCTCCTGGCTTCCCAATCACAGAGGCACCACTGTGCAGGCCACACTCAGTTGTACTCCTCTGTAAATGGCTGGACAATTAGCTTTGCTTATACTGGCGGGATGTTTCTAGCGAACTAGGCAATATACTTTCTCTTAAAAACCAGCCACTCTTAAGTTGCCAAAACACGAATGAAAGACTCTGAGAGAGACAAAACTCATAAACAAAGAGCTGCCCCAGCTTGTCACTTTGGAATGACTTTCCCTTAATTCAACACAAACAGCCCAACACCCTGAAACCCTCAGTGAAACAAGATCAGTTACCTACAAATCAACTCTTGGCGCCTACAAAATTTAAAAGTGCTGTAAAACACACACACACACACACCATACACAAGATGTGATCGACATACTAAAGGACCAAAGCAATAACTCTGTCATAATCCTTATTTCTATATGATCTAAGTATCTACTCAGTGAGAATTTACTGATCCCCTACTATGCACCAAGTGTTACGACATCTAATTCTCAAATTCTTTTGATAAGCTTTGCTTAGGATAACTAGCTAATTCCAGCTAGCCTGGCTGGACCAGAATTCAAATAGTCAAGGCTCTTTTGTATCCAGGCCTAGCTTATTCCAACCTGTGAAGCCAATTAACCTTAAAATGGGGCTCAAAGACCAGGGGCCTCTGAGAGGCTGGGGCCTCAATATGCACTCTAAGTGTTTAGCATAGAGCAGGAACACTGTAGACCTATTTGTTGAATAATTAACAGCAAAGAAGGAAAGGGAAAATGCCAGAAGTAGCAGAGCCAGCAACCTTGCAGTCCAGCACTTTGATTTGGAACATACTGACCTGTTTGCAGGACATGAACTGCCAGCTCTCAGTCTTTCTGAGACATGGTTTCTCACTTAAGAGCTTTGGAACTTCTGAGGTCTAAAGTTTTGTTTTGCAATACTTTTATTTCCCTCTCCTATGTGGTAAGACCAGCAAGTATTCCAAAGCCAAGCTTGCAAAGAAACCCCAGTCATGCAAGAGTGGAGTGAGCCCCTCTTTGGGGGAACTACTCTGCCCGGGGGCCAAAGCAGACATGTTGCCAGCTACCCAGAAGTTCAACACAGGTAAGGTGTACAAAGCAGGGTGCTGACCTCTTTTCTCTCTGATCTTCTAGGGCTCTTCCTAGTCTTTCTTCTCTGGTTTCTCTTATTTTTTTCTTCCATCATGCCTTTTACTGCGGCCACAGGGTCCTGGTCTATTTCTGAGGTGGGGGTCATGTGATTGCTCATTGACCAACCAGAGACAGTGTTAGCGCTCCACTGGGAGTTGACAGGACCGGCAGCAAGCGAGACCGAATTTGCTCCTGGAGTTGCATATTCTAAAGAACTGTTTTCCATGAGTAGACATTCGTAATAATCCCACTCTAGGCCACTGGAGGTCATTCTTCAACTAATTCTCAGTCCTTACCATGCCATAAAGCTCAGTATCTGTAGAATATGAAGTTTGTAGTAAATTCTTCATAACATTAACACTCTCTATTTCTACCCACCATCCAAAACAGCTAACTTCTACACTGATTTTTTTCCAATGCGTAATTGCTCAGCTTCTTTTTGGCAGTACTGAGGCTTAAACTCAGGGTTGCGTGCTTGCTAAGCAGGTGCTCTACAACCTGGGTCACTCTCCCAGTACTGGGGCTTGAGCTCAGAGCCATGTGCTTGCTAGGCAGGTGCTCTACCACCTGAGCCACTCTCCCAGCCCATCTCCCAGCTTCTTTAAAGAGCATAAAGAGATTCCTTCCTTGAGTTCTTGCATGTATTTCAAGGTTGACCATCAACAGGTGTGGTAAATGCACAGAAGTCAGCCAAGGACTGTAGACTGATGACTGCATTACCTCAGAACTAGTGAAAGTCAGTTACACTTTCCCCATTTCCAGCTGTTTTTTAGTTTGTTATTGTGTTAAGTTCTGTTGTAGTCTTTTTTAAGTTATGTGGGAGAAGCAAGGTATGCATCATTTGTCTAAGGCAAGGCAAAGATGTAAGAAAACAATTCCAATAAATGAAAGAGGGTCTTATTATCTAGAAGCAGAGCAGGCTTTCCTTCTGCCCATGCATCTTACCTTGGCCACTTTGTGACGACTCTTGCCTGTTTTGCTTCCTACTTTGCCCAAGAGAAAGAGGAGCAGTCGTAGAAAATTAGCATGGGTTTTGCCTCATGAGAATACAGTTATTCTCAGAGCTGAGTATCCAAGCAGGGGGTTGGGTTCGGATGGTTTAGCATGTTTGTCATTGTGGCCTTGCCACAGTGGCAAACCAGGGCTTTAATTATGCAAAGAGAAAACTGGAGGATCTTAACATGTTTGTACGGGGAACACAAGGCCCCAGCTTTCCTGTAGTCAGCCTCTCCTCTCTGTTGCTATATTTTCCTCCTGTCATCTAAGGAGATGATATGGGTGGGGAGTATTATGTTGGTTATAGTGTGCAAAAATAAAGTATTATGACCCAAGGTAAAAATCATCAGCCTAAAGCTAAATCAGCATCTTTTGAAAATAACATCCTGGATGACCTAACCAGCTCCAGATATAACCAGAGATTTATGAGAGACGCTAGGTGGCCCTCTGCCCACACATTAAACAATGCCATACTTAGGAAAGTCTCTGCAAACGTGGTCCTTCACACTTATAAATGTGCTTGCCAAGTTTTAGGACAGTGCACAGAGATGCAAGGAAAACTCAAAGAACTATGGTAAACCATATCTTGGCATAGCTGAGGGCCTGAAATCTGAATAACACACTCCAGCCAGAGTTATCAAAGGTGGATTAAAAGAGGTTATGTATAATAAGGGCAAACTTTTCAAGATGTTGTGTTGCTCACACAAGTTCTTATTTCTTAGAACTGTATCACAACCAAGAGTTGAAATAATTTCTGAAAATAACCTCCAATCCCATTATCATTGGACTTTTTCCTAATATCTCACTGGGGGACAATTTATACAGTTTCTTCTTAGAGCACTCACCTTCTCCAAAGATCCAACAGGACAACCCTTGTACTATGTAACCCCACCCCAGCCACAGCTCACAGACTCAGGAATGGACAGTTGACACTAGAGGAGCCAAGCCAAGTCCTGTCTAAATAATCTGAGTGGACAGACTCAGACTGGGGTGATAGTAGCTGTCTCAATAATAACACAGTGCCAGAAGAAGAAACTCCTCCTAGAGACCTTCTTTTCCTTGGAATCTGTGATATCTATGTCCTTTATCCCTCCTTCACCCCCTTGAATGGGTCCTTTCCAAGTAAATGTACACTGACCAAGAGAAATCAAGGTGAAAAAGGAATAAATAATGTTTTTAAGTCCTATCTTTTTCTCCAGTGGTAAAGTTGGTCAACAACCTACACTTCCAATAGGCCTTGCCCACAGTCACTGGTGTTTGTATTCCTTTGTACTGAGACAGGCCACAGAAAAATTCCCTTGGAGGCTTGCCACTTGAACCATGGCAGGAGAACCATCCACATTCCCAAATTCCAACTTGCTATGGGAATGGGTCTCAGAACAGGGCTTTCCTAGAAAGTCCTTCCTACCACAGGAACCAGAACACAGCGAAAAAAGCACTGGGAGAGCATCTACTACATCCCACCTCAGAACTATGGGCTTCTAGGCAGACAAGCTCCCCTGCCAAGCCCTCCCCTGGTAGAAAAATGGCTTCTACTCACATCGTCCTGCACATCGAGGTCGCAGCCAGCCTTCAGCAAGATCTGGACCACAGAAAGATGGCCCTTATTGGCAGCAAGATGCAAGGGCGTCCGGCCATGCTGTTAATGGAAAGCAAACAGTGATTTCAGAGCATAACAACAAAACCATCTCATTAGGGCAGGTGGGACTAGAGCAAGGAAGGATTGCATAACAGCTTTTAAGGAGAACACTCACCTGCCCCTCAGCCTTGGCAGGAGATTCTTATGAATTTATCCAGAATTCAAGTTGTCTCTGTCAACTTTGGCTATCGGTTTTATAATCAGTGAACAAAATATGTTCAAAATGTGAAGATACCCTTTACTGTAAAATTTCTACTCTTCACTCCTAAGCAGTAAATTAACAAGTAGCAAAATAGGGGGCCTCCTGTCTTCTCATTTTCCCACTGGTGATAGTACTATGGGTGAAGAAGCACCATGATGAATCTGACCAGGGCAAGGAGTAGCAGGATACCAAATTCCAAGCTAATCAGCCCTGGAAAACTCCCTTTAGCAACCTTAAAATTAAAAACCACAATTACACAGATGAGGAAATGTTCTCTCTCCTTTTCAAATCACATTTTAAAATTATAAAATAGCACAGTCATTTAAAAATATAAAAATTTTAAATTCACATGCCCACCAACCATTTTAAGAAAGCATCAGAGAAACCACTGATGTTCCTGTTAAGGCCCCCCACATCTCACACCTCTCTCCCTCCCCAGAGGCACCACCTCCCACTGCTTCAGCATTCATCTTTCCATGGCCTTCCATGATGTCATGGTTACCTGTCTGTAGCAAGAGATAATCTATAAGCATTGCTTTGCTTGTTTCAAACTTTATAGCAAAGGTATTAAACTATACACTATAACCTGGCACTTTTATTATCTGACATGTATTTTTAATTTTTTTTTTTGGCAGTATGGGGTTTTGAACTCAGGGCCTTGTGCTTGCTAGACAGGTGCTCTACTATTTAATCCTTGCTCCAAGTCCTTTTTTTTTTTTTTTTTTGCTTTATTTTTGGAATAGCATCATGCATACCCCCTCACCCAAGGTGGACTGGCCTGGATGGCAATCCTCCTATTTATGCTTCCTTTGTAGACAGGATGACGGGCACATACCACTGCACCCAGCTATTAACTGAGATGGGGGTCTCAATAATATTTTGCTAGGGCCAGCCTGGAACCTCTATCCTACCAGCCTCTGTAGCTGGATTACAGACATGAAACATCACACCTGGCCTTGAGGTTGTTTATCATATTGTTATGTGCAGTTTCAGTTCATGATCTATTCTACTGCAAGCACCTGGCTGCTTCCTGCCATTTGCAGATCACATCTGTGTGATGATCTCCTCATGCACCTGAGTGGGCTTCTCAGCCCTGTGACTGTGTCACAGAGAAGACCATTCTATCAACTGCTCAAAGCCTATAGGCTTCGAGTAACACACTGAGGGTGACACCCAGAAGAAATAACACTCTGTAGTGTTAATTAACTTCTGCCCAGAGAACTGATCTTGCCAAACTCCAACTTCTCCAAGCTCTAAAGGAGGTATTCTGTTCCCCTTGCTCTCTTCTTTAAGGTTCAGTGTAAGTAAAGGTTCAAGCATCATTTAACCAGGTCCCACCCACAAGAAAATGCATCCCTGAGGAATAAGGGTATCATTGGGCCTTTCATCCTGTTTGGCATTTCAATAAAAACCCAAAGCCTTTATTGACATTCTAGCAGAATGAACCTGTTTATGATCTCTGTAAAGTAGCAATTTGACATGGGTAACTAGCCACAGAGGAAAACAGAGATAATAGTAAAGAATCTTAATTTCTAAGCCATCAATGCAATCAAAGCAGTAGAATGAGTATGGAAAGAAAGAGGTCAGAGCTCATTTTAAAATTAGAATTCTTAATTAAGAACAAAGCTACTCCCGAGAAAGTGGGCTATAAAAAGCCTCCATAAAAAAGGCAAGGTCTCAGATGAGAGGAAGGAATGACCTTTCTCGGCTGGTGACTGTGCTTGGCCACATGCTACTTAGCCTTGATTCTTTAAAGAAATGTCCATAGCTGATCAGATGGAGCAAAATGACTGGGTTTCACTCACTGGGCCTTGTCTCAGGCCCACCTGTCATCACACGTCCTTGTCAAGGATCTCACACCTTGACATTGAATGAGTGGTCTTCACAGTTTTCTAAGGCATTCTGAATCACAGGAGAGTTCATCACAGGTGTGAGGAAGGTGACAGCATGGTCAGACACAGGTGCCTTCCAGTACCAAAAAACATGGACCAAACTTGAGTACTGGTGGCTCACACCTATAATCTTAGCTACTTGGAGGCTGAGATTAGGAAGATAGAGGTTCTAGGGCAGCGGAGGCAAATAATTCACTAGAGCCCATCTCCAAAATAACCAGAGCAAAGTGGGCTGGAGGTGCGGCTCAAGTGGTAGAGTACCTGCTTTACAAGCTCAAAGCCCTGAGTTCAAACCCTAGTTCCACTAAACATAGGCCAGGACAGGAAGAGGTTGCATAGAGAGAGGCTGACTATAGACAGGGGATCCTAGGGAACATTGTGGTAGCATTCACCTGGTGGGGAAGTTGAAGCCAAAGGAGGAAAACAGGTTTGTCACGTACATAGAAGTAATTAGAAGGCAGAAAAGGAAACACTTGTTGTGGTCTGCTATGGAATGAGCTAACATCCAATGAATATTTGCACCCCCCCCGCCCCGCCACCATGCTAAAGCCCTAATGCCCAGTGTAATGGTATTTGGAGATGAGGCCTTAGGTCATAGTGATGAGCCCTCATAATGGGATTAGTGCCCTTATAAGAAAAGATATGAGAGAGGTTGCTGCCTATCTTCCCACTAGGTAAATACATTGTAAGAAGGCAGCCATGTTCAATCCAGAAAGCAAGGACCTCACTGGGCCCTGGGTGCCAGTACCTTGATCTTGGCTCTTGATCTAGAATAGCGAGAAACTAATGTCTGCAGTTTAAACACCCAGTCTATGGTCTCTTGTTAGGGAACCAGATTGGACTACGATGGGCTCAAATCAGATCACATCTGGGAGGATACTTTTGAAATGACAAATAAAAAACAAGGTGGGCCTGGACTGGAGACTCTGACCTAATCCAAAGTCAACCAAGAGTCCCCACTGTGGAGAAATGAAAGGCCAAAGGTATTGGGATGGGATGCACCTACTGCAAATGCTAGCTCTGACTAGTAACACCTGTGTGATTTTGTGCACCATAATTTCCTAAGCCAGCCATGGAGCACATACAAACTGATCCTTCCAGACATCTTTGAATGAATTTGACAAGACAATAACACTGTTGTCATTTCCATGTTCCTAGAACTGGCCAGGGAAAGAAATGGGGACAGGAAAAAAAAAGACTGTACTACTAATAATAAGATGAAGAAGTTTTAGTTTGTTTTGGTTTTTTGGCAGTACTGAGGTTTGAACTCAGGGCCTCACACTTGGTAGGCAGGTGTTCTACCACTTGAGCCATGCTCCCAGCCCTTTTTCTTTCTCTCTCTCTCTCTTTTTTTTTTTCCATGAAAGTATAAAAGTGGTATTTTATTATCATAGACCTCTTTTGTAAGTTTAAATTTATTTCTACTTATCAGAAAGTCAATGGGAGCCAAGGGTGCTTTGATGAGGAAAAGAGAACATAGAACAATGCAATTATGTGTGTTTGCCATTACAGTTTTTAATAGCATTTTAAAACAAGAATTCCAAATCAAGCATTTCTAAAGCTCTTGAAATACCTCACTGGCATATAAAATTTTAATGAACACAATCTGGAAACCACAGATATCCCAGCCCTTTTTGCTTTGGTTATTTTTTGAGTAGTGTCTTGTGTTTATGCCCAGGCCAGCCTTCTCCTATTTATGCCTCTCACATAGCTCGGATGACAGGTGCATGTCACCATGCTTGGCTCTTTTCAATTGAGATGGGTTCTTGTGGATTTTTTACCTGGGGTTGGCCTCAAACCCCAAAGTAGAAGAAACTTTTGAAGCATCAGTTTGTACTGGATTCTACTCCAGCCATCCTCAAGGATAAGTTCAGCTCAACTCACCCCAGGCTCTGGTGGCTCAGGGAGACCAATGCCAACAAAGGCCAAAAGCATGGAATAGCAGTGACTAACGTTTACTGTATGATCAGCACTATATTAATATCTTACATGTGTTAGTTCATTCAGTCCTCCCGATTACCCCCATAAGGTGATTAACAATAGTGTTAATACAGATGAGGAAACTGAGGCACAGGGAGACTGTCACTTCTTCTAGAAGTATAGACTCATCCCTTAGGGCACCTGACTCTTACCCACCCACCCACATGCCAACCTGGTGGTGCGGGGAAGTGGAGAGAGCAATGTCTTGCTCTTAGGATGCTCCCAAGTTCTTGAGTGTTGTGCCCCTGGCCAAACACTGACCTCTGGGATTTCTTAGAAATCACCTGCTTTCCTTAGAACCTCAAGGATGAGCACAAGTTTTCTGTTTTCTGTGTACACCTAAATGTTCTAGGAAGGCTGATCTGCCTACCTGTCTACACTGATGTGTAAGCCCCTTCAGAGTCTCCGATGTACTAACTCTTGGTGATAGGGCCCAGGTGTTGTCATTTTGTACAACTTCCCCAGGTGACTCTAATGTGTCAGAATGAGAGGAGGAGGGGACGAGATAAACAGTCCCCAGAGCAGCTCTCAGGCTAAACCTGCCAGACTGAGCCTGCCCAAGCAAGACCCATTCTTCTGGAAAACATTCTTCACGATACTTCTCCCCAGCTGTCAGTGCAAAACACCCCAAGTACTGCATTGCCACAACTCACAGCTCCCCACATCTTCAAAGGTTGTATATACCAAATAATGACATTACTAAAACCTTGGGAGAAAAAAATCATCTCTAATTCCACAACACAACTCAACTATTACCCTTTTGAACCCATCTTTCTCAGAACATCTCTTCTACTGGTACTTTTGCAGAAATACATTCCATGTCACATAAAATCCTGCCTTTTGTTTGTTTGTTTGCAGGGGTGTGGGGTGGCAATACTGGGATTTGAACTCAACGTCTTGCACTTGCTAGGCAGGTGTTAAAAAAG